GGGGGGAGGGGGTGGCCCCCGGGGACACGTAGGGGAAGCACGAGATTTTCGTTGCTGTCGTTGCTGTTGTTTCAGCTCAACCTCTTGATGCGACGGGCTGGGAAGCTTGTTGCACCCGGCCTCGTGGGATGATCTTCGCCATCTCGTTCGATCCCGGGAAGGTTCTTCCCAGCTAGTCACATTGATCGTTGCACCTCTTCATGGTTGCTTTAAAGCAATCCTTGTAGCTGCTGTATTGACCACCAGCAGATCTAGAAATCCAAAATTATGTTTCAATCATCCATTGTCTTTTAAGTAAACCCCAGTGTATAGAGTTTTCCTTGTGTGTGTAAATGTTGTTTACAACCAAAATGTGTTTTCCTTTTGATTCCCATTCCTTAAAAACCCTCCTCCATCCCTTCCCTCCATGTTTTATCATCCAAACATTATTCCTCAATGATCCTTTCCCATCCGTACCCCAAGCGCGACCGGTGACCCCTGGGTACGGATACGATTTGCCGCGGCGCCGTGTTTTGGAGTAAGGCCAAAAAAAAAAGTCTCCGGTTTCTGGTATGCGCGCGCGTCGCCGTAGCCATGCGCGTCGGCAAAATGAAAACTTTTTTTTTTCAATGAAAGATGATGTCTCAAAACCGCCAAACTCACTGGTTTGACTGGAATCCTGCTGCTGCACAATTTTAACGTGTTTTTAGATTGAGTTATGGTCCGAGAATAAGCTTTATGTGGCCTCTCTGGACTCCAATATATTTGCACTAAGTTTAGTCGGGCACCATGTGCAGTCATCAGCCGACATTTGAAGCAAAAAAATCAGGTAAAAAAAAAAAAAAGCCGCGTCGCGTCGCCGCACCACTTTTTGGGCAAGCTCCATACCAGAAACCGGAGACTTTTTTTTTTGGCCTAATAAATTTCTTCTGATGAAAATACGTGACTCGAGTCACGAGTCACCAAGCTCGAGTCCGAGTCATCATGGTCGAGTCCGACTGCAAGTAATTTTCCAATGTGACTCGACTCGAGTCCGAGTCACGAAAAATGTGACTCGAGTCCGACTCGAGTCCGAGTCCTGGACTCGAGTCCTTTAACACTGTATCTGTCCCATGATAGACATTATGCGCACTGAGCAGCCACTCAGAGGGCAATGCCTTTGTTTTGCTGGGGTATGCATGAGTGAGCCTTTAGTGCATTCATTGTTATTGAATTTAAATAACAAAGATGGCCGCGCTACGCATGAGGCCAAAGGTCTATAGCTACCACATTAAAAAAAAATCAACTGTCACACTGTTTTACTTAATTTTCTAGATGGCATTTTACTTGCGTCATAATAGTTGTTGCTTCTGAGAACCTCCTGCCAAATGAATTTTTGCCCAAATCTTGAAAATTCTGCGTATTAGAGTATTGATTGATGTTCCTTTTGCATCCAGATGAATTTCTGCCTTGTTTTGAGAAAACTCATTTTTGGCCAATTTTGACTAAAAATGTAAGGTTAACCCCTTGCATTTTTTTCAATTTCGGCCTAAAAAGGAAATTGCATCAAAGTTGCTAGAAAGATGCCTGAAGGGCCCTAGAACACATTCCAAATCGCTTTCTGGACAATTGTGCTATTAAAGGGGAAATTCCATCGAAAATTTAAGGTAAAATCACTCAAAAAATAGTTGTTGCTTTTGAGAACCTCCTGCCAAATGAACCTTTAATACATGTATATGCTATTTATAAGTATAAAAGCAATTACTACAAGCCTAACAAAGAAAAAGGAATTGAAAATAGAATTATGTACAGAGTGAAAGCAAGTGAAAGCATTTCTTTATTTCCGTATAAAGGCTCAGTTTCTACGAGGCAAAAGGCTACTTTATTACGACCACTGAAGCTTATATCGATTTACCAACAATAGAGATGTCGTGTGTTCGCGACGGAATGCACGTACACCAATCCCAGGGACCTACTTTCACATGCGCTGCATAGTATGTACGTGCACATCCTCAGGGTATCCATAGTGAGTGAGCCTCGCGTGGTATAGCGAAGAAATTGCACTTAAGTTGAAGAATCTTCCCCAAGAAAATGATTTGTCACATTCTACTTTTTCTCCTGGTACCATTCACAGCCATTTGAACTCCACGAACTGTACATCCTAACTCGTCAGCAACAACAAGAACCGGTTCCTTGAGGCAGAAAATGCGGTCATAAGGCCCAAAAAAAAAAGTCTCCGGTTTCTGGTATGCGCGCGCGTCGCCGTAGCCATGCGCGTCGGCAAATTGAAAAAGTTTTTTTTTTTCAATGAAAGATGATGTCTCAAAACCGCCAAACTCACTGGTTTGACTGGAATCCTGCTGCTGCACAATTTTAACGTGTTTTTAGATGGGGTTATGATCGAGAATAAGCTTTATGTAGCCTCTCTGATCTCCCATAATATTTGCACTAATTAGTTTAGTCGGGCACCATTTGCAGTCATCAGCCGACATTTGTAGCAAAAAAAAACAAAAGCCGCGTCGCCGCACCACTTTTTGGGCAAGCTCCATACCAGAAACCGGAGACTTTTTTTTTTTTGGCCTAAGTTTACCTTTATTCATTTGTGCATGTGGCGTACTAAATGCGTCCGTCATGTTTTGTCAAATATCTTAATATTACAGACGACAGAAAAGACCAACATCGGCAACTAATTATTGCTTTCCAAAAACAAACAGACTGGAAAATAATAGTCTTACCGATCATGCACGTTAGCTCTTCGGAAAACTGGAAATCTCACGATTTCTTAGGTTGAACCATTCATTTTTCCGGCTATTTTCAACTCTTCTAGAATCACTGGACTGTTTCATTAAGAAGATAGGACATGATTATTTTCTAATGTCAAAGAATATTCGTTTCGCTGAATGAAATCTGTGCGTATATTTCAGTGTCACTAGTTTGGCTACTCTAGCTCTGCCGATCTTGTATCGCTCGTGTGACTGCATTCCGGGGGCGGACGCGGGGAGAAAAAAAAGTCGAGGGGCGTGCACTTCATGTTTATTTACAATTACGAAACGGACGTATTAATTAGCATCCATCCACAGGCTTAAGGACAATTATAATTTGAGACATCATCTGCAGTTTGAAAATTACATAAGCTGACCTATAGCTTACAATAGCGGAACGTATAGGCCCGTAGGCGCATCAAAATCTATTACCGGTATGTGATCGAAATTGCACCTTTTACCAAGACGTTGGTTAGCACTTATAGACAAAGGTATTCATGTTTCAAATTATTATTGTTATTATTATTATTAAATACAAATTACAATCGTTGTTCAGATAAAACTGGTGAAACATACAGTAACAATAATTTGCATTGGAATGAGCTCCTCTGCGGAGGCCGGACTCGCTGATGGGCTTTTAAAAAGAACTTTTGCAAATGGGAAAGACACTTTGGAAACATCCAATCAGTTTGAATATGCTTCATGAATTTCTGAATAAACGAGCACATTTTTGGCGCAATATGGCGCAATAAGACCGACAGCGGGCGCAATAATTTTGATTAGGGTTTCAAACATTTCTACGCGAGTCGTTAATTTGCATAACAAGTGCCCCCGCAATTTTTTGTAAAAAACGAGACCGTCTAGTTTAAAAATCGGTGGAATCGTGCGAATATAGCCGAGGATCATCTCCCTAGCTTTTGGGCTATTATCTGAGAGCAGATTTGATAAAATTAGGGTCCAAAAATGGGTCCTATTTGAACGAGAAAATGTAGGATGTCACTGGTAACTTTGGAGTCGTGTTCCCTAACGTGGCGCACTTCGAAGCTTACCCAACTTTCCTCGTGTAGTGTTTCCAAACCTCTTTGTTGATAAACCTCAAATTCATGCAGTGAAATACTGGTACTTTTACCTTTTTAATGCTTGCTATTTAACCTCTGTGTACAATTTCGGTTTCATAAAATTTAATCCGAAATGCAAAAACGGTCTCGTCCGGAAATTGGGCACAAATTGGCGGAGTGTTCCCTAACGTGGCGCACTTGAATAAATATCGGAAAATTCCAAATTAACATTTAAGAATTTCTGTAAACTTGATAAATTCTGATAAATCATTATTATCTTTACTTACAAACCCAGCCAGATGTTTGTCAGAAAATTATTTTCTTATTTTTCGGGGCATTTTTAAAGGGTTCACTTTGCACTTGAAAATAAAATCGGAAAATCACGCCAAAATAATGTTTTCTTTTAATTTTGTAACGGGTAAATAAACTCGCGATTTATGAACGGGAGTGTTTAGAACTTGATGAAATTTCACTTTCTGTGAAATTTCAGTTAAAACTTTTGCTCTAGCTAGGCGCTACAGGCGAAAAATCAAAGTGCGCCACGTTAGGGGCCGCGCCGTTAGGGTACATCAACAATATGCAGGCTCAGCATTACCGGCAGGCTTCAAGCATTATACGGACACACTCTCGCAAAATGTGGTCCGGCAGCTTTCTATACAAAAACCTCGTTGGCTCGGGGTTTTGTACGTAAACCTTATCAGTCAGCCGATCACGCTCTTGACTTCGGCCAAACCGCAGTCCTCATAAGAAATTAACAATGTTAACCGGACCATTTTTTCCAAGAGTGCATCTCTAATGGAGGATGCACAAAAAGGAACCATATAATATGATAGAAAACAGGTAGCTTTTCAGTCCTTTGAAAAATCGTCGCTTTTTATCACTGTAACGTCTCTTCCACTGCAATTGTCCTCAGGGAGCACTTTAATTGACAACAAAGAATACTCACCCAACCCGGGATAAATGTCAGAAGTCGTGGCCAATGACCTGTAGCAAATGATCAACTTGAACTTGCGGTTACACGTAATTTCAACGGTTCGCGCACGTAGGCCAAAAAAAATTAGGTCACTTTTGCTGTGGTTGAAAATGGCACGTACGCCCTACTTGACCAAAATAGTGATCAACCCTGCCCGCATGTGTTTTGTTTATGCTCTTTTAGTCTGGTTGCCTTCCCCCCTAGGTATTCAGTGACATTACAACGAGAGTGGATAGAAGACTTACTCGTCTATTTATAGCTTTGCAACGTACCCAGTAGCTGCACATGTGACACGCGATTTCTTTATGAGAGATGCGTAAATTGGACATGAGGTTGAAGTGTTTATAGTCGCCTGATACTATCCTTGCCTTTCAATACACGGAGATACACAGTGCTGTGATGAGCTGATTATTTTTGGTTGCAAATCAAGGACTTTTTTTCAAATAAATCCATGAGTTTACAGCCAAATTATCTGAAATGACGTCGACCGGAGGAGAATGGGACGCTTCTCAGCTCAGGGAGTACCCGTTTCCTTTGGAAAACATCCCCCGATTGGACGTAAACGACCCAGAAGTTGGGAGATGTATTGCGCAAACGGTGAGAATGTATTGCATCTATTTCGTGAAAAAATAACATCTTATATAGAGTTAGACCCTTGAACGTGGCTTGTAAGGTTGTAAACTAACGCCACGTTCACGGGACTAATAGAGAGTATGCACAGTCGTTTTCCCACAGTTAACCTGTGCGAGATTTTACCTGAGTGAGGTCATGGAGGTCATGCTGTGCATTTCTCATAGCTGGAGTTACCCAGCCCTGAGTTTTATCATTGGGTTGTCATCTAGGGCTGGAGCGCATTTTTCTCAAAACTTGTAGTATTTGCAAAAAAAATTGGAAAATGTTCAATTTTGTCCCCGTTACACACTAATTGCAACTGCAACTCACCCCAAACTTGCCTGGAATAACCATTACACAGGTCCTTGAAGTAAAAAACGATCCACGATGAAGATTCAGCCTACAATTGCAGTGAAAACAGGAGGAATAACCGCTAACTTGACAACCTTGCTGGATTGGCCAGGACCGCTATTGGTTTGTGCACAAAAAAAATTGTGTACAATGAATGGCGGTCGATTAACAGGCACAGAGAGCGATCGCTGTCAACTACTCGTTTTTGCCGGCTGCGCTGGCTGTTGGCGCCTGACGTCACGCGGAAGCGTAACACCCGATGACTGTTTCATGCACTAGTATAAGGTTAACCACTCGCATCACAGCTTTGGTACTGGAACCGCAACCAATAGTGCATGAAACAGTCATCGGGTAATACGCTTCCGCGTGACGTCAGGCGCCAACAGCCAGCGCAGCCGGCAAAACGAGTAGTTGACAGCGATCGCTCTCTGTGCCTGTTAATCGACCGCCATTCATTGTACACAATTTTTTTTGTGCACAAACCAATAGCGGTCCTGGCCAATCCAGCAAGGTTGTCAAGTTAGCGGTTATTCCTCCTGTTTTCACTGCAATTGTAGGCTGAATCTTCATCGTGGATCGTTTTTTACTTCAAGGACCTGTGTAATGGTTATTCCAGGCAAGTTTGGGGTGAGTTGCAGTTGCAATTAGTGTGTAACGGGGACAAAATTGAACATTTTCCAATTTTTTTTTGCAAATACTACAAGTTTTGAGAAAAATGCGCTCCAGCCCTAGATGACAACCCAATGATAAAACTCAGGGCTGGGTAACTCCAGCTACATTTCTCAAGGGTTTATTTGTTGCACCATTTGCACGAAGAGAGATATTCAATGAAAATGCATTAAAATTTAATAAGATCGATCATGAAGACATTTTTTTCCAACTGTATATGTAATGTAACCTCGTAATCTCACTCATACTCGGAGAGTGAAATTACGGTTTGAGTTTGACATCAAAATTTAACCAACTATTTACCGTACAATTTCTTTGCACACATTTATGTCATTTGTTGACATTTTGGCAATGCACTCGCTTAAATTCTGAATGATGTTTTGACTATAAACCTGTACTGTTTTCCCCTTCAGCAACCAGTGGTTATTACGGGTTCAAAGCTTGCAGAACCAGCTCTGAAATGGAACCTAGACTACCTCCAAGAACACTTAGGTAAGCATGCTAAGGTTTAGACCCGTAAACGTGGCGTCAATAACAATGCCACACTAATTCGCGTAAATACACTTGAAATTATCACGCCGCACATCATTTCGCCAGTATTATAGACACTCACATACAAAGCTTTCTGTAATTTCACGCAAGGTAGGATCTTGCATTGCCAAGAAATTTGAGAGCATGCTCTAAACGCGAGTTCTCGCTTCCAGGTCATGACCAACGGATTTGATGCACCAAACACTTTCATGTGCACCACTGCATTACTGAGAGTTAGGGAAATCATTAAATATACACTAAAGCTTTAATACCACAATTGTAAATTGTGCACACAAAAAGTGAAGACAAACTTTTTGGAACCAGTCAAAATGTGTATCTCACCTTTTATTTGTTCGTCCCCTTCAGGCCAGTGTATGTTCAATGTATTTGCGGCCAAGGGCACAGGTCACAAGTTCATGTACTATGACCCCAAAAAGGCTGCGAACTGCAAGGACTTTGAGCCTCAGATGCACGCAGTGGATATGACATTCCCGGAGTTTGTTCATCGGTTCCGAACATCTAAGCCTGAGGATAGTCGGTAAGTGGTTGTCAGTGAAACATTTCGCAAATTGCTTTGATAAAGTTAAAAGATGGATGACCCAGCATTTTCTTTCCTAGGTTATTGGAATATTATTTTTGTCAAACTTAGTTTGATAAAACCCGTTGTCCTTTCAAACCCTCACCTCATTAACCTTTTCCCCAAAACAAAAGGGTTTTGTATATTTTTTTAGGCTTTGCCTCCCTTATCTAAACATCAATTTTTCTTCATTGTCCTTCCTGTGTCTTTCTTGCTGTTTTCATATGTTTTAGCAACAGTGCCTGTGCCCTTTTTAGGAGCGCTCAATGTCGCTACTAAAAAAGAAGTAAAATGAATATGACAAAACTTTCATCCTTTTTTTCTGTTTCTCTTTGTGCATTTATCAAGGTTATACCTGCAGCAGGCTCTGAATGACACGGTAGGGACGGCCATAGTCGACGACTTTGTTAATTTCAATTGGTCCTGGGTGACGGCTCAGCAGAGGACTCACGACTGGGGACCACTGACCTCCAACCTCTTGCTGATCTCAATGGAAGGTATGTAGACCGGCCAGATAATAACCAGATACAAGCCAGATGTTAGATTTGGCACTATCTGGTTGTTGGCTGGATACTAGCCAGTTACTAGTCATATACTTGCCAGATACTAGTCATATACCAGCCAGATACTAGTCATATACCAGCCAGATACTACTCCTATACTAGCCAGATACTAGTCATAAACCAGCCAGATATTATCTAGATACTAGCCAGATAAAAGCCATGCACTAGCCAGATATTTGCCAGATCCCAGTCAGTCACTAGCCAGGCACATAATTAGCACTTGCAGGGTACCAGATAGGCCAAGCCCTGTACAACTATATAGAGCCCTTCTGTAGAAATAAATCGACCTCAATGCTATAAATTGGTTTTACAAAAAAATCATATAATTCAGCCTTTCAGAGTTATTTACACTTTATTTCTTCAATTGTTAATCACCAGGCAATGTGACCCCAGCCCACTATGACGAACAGGAGAACCTATTTGCTCAGGTGCAAGGCTACAAGAGGGTCATCATGTTCCCTCCCAGTCAGTTTGGGTGTTTGTACCCATTCCCTGTCAACCACCCCTGCGATAGGCAGAGCCAGGTAAGCCCTTCCCTCCCCCCAGTCAGTGTTGGTGCTGCACCCATTCCCTGTCAACCCCCTGAGATAGGCAGAGCCAGGCGAGCCCCCCCCCCCCCCCCCTTTTTGGAGGGGTCTCTGTTTACCCCCCCCCCCCAATCAATCAAATTGTCAAAATAGAAGATAATTAGTCCCCACTGTGACACCTCATCCAATTCTTTGTCCCCACCCCTGCTCTGTACCAGTTTGTCACACCTGTTTATTTTATTCAGATAAGGTCTTCAAACTAACTTCAATTTTTCTATATTTTTGTGCAGGTTGATTTTGATAATCCAGATTACGAAAAGTTTCCAAAGTTCCGAAATGCCAAAGGTTTGCAAGCCGTCGTGGGACCTGGTGATGTCATCTACATTCCAATGTACTGGTAAGTACTCGTTGATAAGTTTTCTTTCGGATTTTTTTTAATCCTGCATATCCTGCACACTTTTGAAATAATGTTAAAAGAAGACTTTTTGCTAGGAAGGTTCCTAGCAAAAGAGCCTAGGGAGTCAAGGTTAATTTGCCAGCAATTATCTGGGCTATTGATAACCAATTAACCAAATCAATCCACCTGTTTTATGTTTTCGACAGGTGGCATCATATAGAGTCACTTCTTGGTGGTGAAACCGTCTCTGTCACCTTCTGGTACAAGGTAATTCTGCTTCTATTTCTGTACGAATGTCAAAATTCTTATTTCCAAAAGATTAGTGGTATCTTACTTGGTCTCTCGGTAAAATAACACTAGTCAGTTACTAGTGGTTTATAACAACAGTGGTAGTTCCCTGGCGCTTGCAGAAAAAAATCAAAGTGATTGGCATTATACCTACCTCTGCTCATCGTACCAATAAATCATTCCTTAGACCATCTCAGCTCCTAGGGGGCAATACAACTCAACACTCCGATTTCGGAGCAAACGGCGTATTCAAACATAATAAGCATCCCTGCGTTGTTTTACTCCCGTCTCCCGAGTGGGAAGAAGCAATTTTGACAAAGGTCTTGCCCAAGGACATGTGGAATGGATCCACAATCTGCATCAACTTCAAAATAGACAAGACGACTGCAGATCACGTCACTCCACATAATTCAAGTACCAACTCCAAAATGACTGTAATTCTGTTGTTAGTCATAACAGACTGTGAGAGTAGCACATTTAGCTTGAGGATTTACTCTGTACCTCGATTTTTGTTGCTGTAGACCTCCCGGATACCTCAGACCATCACCTACCCCTTGTCACCTCAGCAGAAAGTGTGTATCATGAGAAACATTGAGAAGATGTTGGGCGAGGCTCTTAAAGATCCTGCAGAGGCGAGTTGGTTTTCTCACATTCAGTTCAGTTGTCCAATGGGAATCAATTTGATTTAGCTGTTAGATTTTCACTGGCCCTCTACGATAATCTGAACTTCTGTTAATAAACACCTAAGACAGTTTACCCATTCCTATTGGTTGAGAGCCTGTCACATGGCCGGTCTTAAACGGATGAAAAAGACATGGCTGGCTGGTCTTAAACACTTTTCCAGTGTCACATGTAATTTGGACTCCTATGAAATCCAGTGCCTTTTACCATTGGTTGAACGTTCGCAATCCTGACGTAGGCATGCGCAATACTACTAGTGAGTCAGTATTTCATAGTCCTAAACCCACAACGCACACACCACTGCTGCATCTGCACATCATCGTGCAGTACGTGCGCCAATCTCCATAAAAGGAGTGGTCTTACTCGCGAGCTGGACAATCCATTATATAGCTAGAGGGGTGTCTTGAAAAACAAAAAGTAAAAATTGTTTAACAAAATCGTTGGAAATTTTTAATTTTGACTTTTGGACCTAAATGTGTTGATTTTTAAGCTCAGGTAATTATCAGCATTGCAGACTCCAACCAGCCTTAAACATAGTGTTTAACACCTCCCTAGCACATGTTTATTCCCAATAAGGTTTATTATTTTTGTTCAATAAGCACATGTTTATTCCCAATAAGGTTTATTGAAAGTGACATAACACCGTATTCGATAGTATTGTTATCACAAGTCAATTGTAAGTCATGTAGTTGAGGGTATCACTGACATAAGATTCTAGGGCCTTTTTTTCCACTCCTTTTCAGCTTTTGTGCAACAAATTTGATCTGTAACTGTCATGAAACTGTCATGAAACTGTCATTCTCATGTTACAGATTGGCTCGTTACTTCACACGTTAGTCCAGGGACGTTACCCCGCCGATACACGCGACTTCATGTCCCCAACATAGAGCAAGGAAGACCAACAACATATTGCCAACAGCTGTAAATAGTTGATCTGTTTCTAATCATGCAAATTAATGTGCTAAATATTTAGAAAAGTCTCAGGTTGTGTAAATCAAAGACATAAGCAGGCGATACATTGTGTACATGAAATGTATCTTACGCTTCTCGCCCAAAGATCCAATTGTAATTTGGCTAAAAGGACCTTGTCAGAAAGCGAATTTTTTGTTTAGTCGGGGAATACTTTTTGTTGATGATGTGATACAGTCTACATATGTGTACTATCTGTAGTCCAAGGGAAGATAATTTGGAGAGTTATCTTTTGGATGGGTAGGGTGGGATTTTATGTACTTAGGCTCAATCTCATCAATCTGCTAATTCAAAAAAATGCTTAGCAAGTTTATTGCCTGTCATGACTACCTCCCAGATTTCATCGCAGTACCTCAGTTCTCCTTCATCCTTTGTGATTTAATTCTGTGTCCCAGGTTCGAAGCACACCTGGTGCATTTGAGTTTGTCAGTCGTTTCATGAAAGGGTGAACATTTCCTCAGAAACTTTGCGGAGCGTTCCTGCCATCTCTTGGTTTTCTCGAGATATTTTTGATTGAACACTGTGAATAGTCATGTACATGTACTGATTTTGTCATGAGATCAACTTGAAAAAATAATTTTTAACTCTATAATTTAGTGTGCATTCAGGTTTGATGCATGTTCCAATTTTTACAATTGATGCTATATTCTATTTTGTTACTTGTACATGTGCTTAAAAGTTTTCTTTTTTGCTTTCGTGGTTCGTTGTAAGAAAAATCAGCTCTGGAATTTTTACTGCCAAATATAAAACTTTTTTTGCCGGAAATGTATGTCTAAAACAAATCATTGAAGAGTTTGTATGTTAGATGATTGTAGTTTTAATTGAGAATATCCACCTTGACAATATTTATGATATTCTTGTCAGTTTTTGTTTGTGGCTTATTGTCTGGGGATCGGGCGATACTTCCCATTTTCAGATGTATTATAAATTCACAGCAAAGGATTGTACGACTGATTTTGGATCCATAGCGATGGTCTTTTCGGTTGACAAAATTTTAATCTAAGTTTAATACCGCATTGAATCGGGTTTTTCCTTCAAAATTGAAATTCTTTGTTCCTAATTTACCATTCAAGTAAAACTCATAAGGCCATGTAGTCATGAAAACTATTTTTTGAAAGATCAGTGTTTTTTTAGGCTTATACGGGATGGTTTTGCCATGCTATCCTATTACTGAAATTTCCAAAGTCGGACGCGGATGCAGGTCGTTACATGAACTTCCTTTTTTTTTTCTAAAACACGGAAATCGCGTATAGGACACAGTCGGTTATTTGCAGAGCCGCAGATAGACAGGTAGGCCTGTTAGAATTACAGACAAATGACATTTGTACCTCATGTACACATATTCAAGTTGTAACTGATTTAACCTTGTATAAATCGAAACGTTTAGTGCTGAAGGAGGGTAATCCATATTTTCAAAAAGAAACTACAAGAACAAGTGTTATTTTACTGTCGGTCTTTTAATAGAGTATCTGCTAACTCCAGCCACGGGAATAAAGAACAATACGACATTGCCTTCGGGGGACAGTTGAGATTGTTCAAGCCGTTAATTTGAAATGTTCGTGACTTTGTTCCGCTGAGATAGGCATTTTTAAACCTTTTGCTTCTTTTTTTTTTATCAACAGAGCAAAAAAACTTCTGACGTGGAAACTTTTAAGTCTTTAGGCCTGTGTACTGTGCAATTACTTAGATCTATCAGAGCAATAAGTATATGCTTTTAATAATACATGTAGTTATCTCGTAAACGATGATTTTCTAAACGTGAATGCAAGTGTTTTTTTCATGTAGCCAGTGTATATCATGCTTTCATAACATCATTTTTAATGTGAAGTATAAAAATGTTCCACATATTTGTCATGATTAGTAAGCAAGTCTTTGAGCGTTATCGATAGCTGGTTTGTCACGTTTTGTATATCTGCTGGAGGAAGCTACAGTAAAGAATTGAACACTTCACTGGTTTGTTTGCGAAAGAAAACTTGGAAGAGAATAAAACAATTATCAAAGCGACAGCGTTTAATACCACTACGTAGACTGGATTTCTAAAAGATGTGAAAAGAAGTTTAAAACAACGGATAAAGCTTTCGTTTTTCTTGCTTCTAGATTTTCTTGCGCGCTATTATTAGCTTAATATTTGACTGACAGCCTTCTTTCCAGTCATTTGTTTAGCCGATTGGCTTCTTTCCCTGCATCATCTTCGCGAGGTTGTTCATCATCATGGGGACGGCGTTGGGGTCGTAGCCCATACGCGATGCTGCGCAGACGGCGGCACAGTCGGTCTGAGGATTCTATTCGCAAAACACAAAAAAATCATATATCATGGTTTACATAAGTTACATTTATTTATTTTTCTCTCGGGCTTGAAGCCAAATAGATAAATTAACATTTTAAGACGTAAAATGACATAAATATGATAGAAAGACGAAACCAAAACACTCCATCACAGAAAAGAAACTTGACCAAAGACAAGGGGTACTACTATTTCGCGGTACCTATTTTCTTACCAAATACATATCCGCGTACATCTTCACCAATCCTGGTATAGCCTGGACGTAAGCGATGCATGCGTTATGATACTGGTACGGAGCCCAGTCGCACAAAGGCAATAGAAGGGTCACCACGTCATCCTGAACGCAACAAGAACCAAAACAAAAACACAACTTACGCCAAGAAACAACTACATTATAAATGTCTGATCTCAGTAATTTCTAGCCTGGTATAATAAGAATGTAAACTTCCTGCACATGATGTTTGGGGTAGACTGTGGTTTTTTGTGTTCCATTTGGGGATCGGTTCCTTTTCCTTGTCCAGTGCTTTTTATTAGTGTGAGTTCCATGTAGGAGCTTTTGATAAACTTGCCGCCGACTCGGTAGAAGTAGTGAATTTGTATAGTGAATCCATCTGTATTAATCTGCAATTCATAAATATGAACTTTATTCCAATGAGGCATATATTCTGCAAGTCATTATCTAGCTCACGTACTACCACCGCATTTATTCATCTGCATAGCACATAATCTGGCATCTTAGAAATCAACAGTAAAGACATATTTCAATCTTACGACCAGCACCGCAACATACACGTTGGGAGTTGGTCCTGCTGCATTGTGTTGCGTCAATGCAAGAGTGCTGCGATGCAATTCCTACAAGGTCGTGATATACTGCGGTGCTTGAGATTCGGGAGTAGTTTTTTTTTAAGGAGGCTTACCAATAGTTGCTTATTCTCCGTGGCATTCTTCAAGAATTCGATGAAGGCCTCGCAAGCCTTGCACAAGTACGGGTTCTGTGCCATGCCACCCACTTAAGGAAAATATAGTGAGGGAAATAAACGAGTCACGTCACCTGAGAAGCGGTAGGATTAAAAATGAAAATGGCCCTTACATACAATCGTTTCCATTGTTTTCAATCAAACAAATCCATCATCAGTATAAGTTGAATTATTGCGAATCCAGGTGTGTTTCTTATGGGGTTTTTTTTTGGGGGGGGGGGTGGGTGAAAGGGGTGGTATACAAATATCCTAAAATCCCATGGATTTGGGTAATACGGAGGTCACGCGCAGTACGACATATCAATCAGAAAATAGCGAGATATCAAGATCCTTTCAAGAGTGGCAAGCATATTTCATTTGCTTTCCGTACAACTTAACACTTAAGATTGAAATAGTGGATCTTAAACTCACACATAGGAGGAATCATTTCAGGGAATTCAGGGTAGAACCCATTCTGAACTGGAAGCTCTTCTTGTCCTGCAACTGGCACATCTGATCAAAAACAAACATAACTGCTGAAAAGTTGGGGAGCTAGGCCTATACTGCAGGGAATATACAGCGTTGATTTTGCTGTAATTTTCATGGATGGATGGATTTGGGGGGTTGGTATTTATGGCAAATATTGTTACACTGACATAAGAGTTTTGTGTTCGTAAAGATGCTGGGTAAATGAAAAAACAATCATTTTTGTGTAGTCTGGTTCCCTCACCCCACTTAAGATGAAACGGAGCAATTTATAGATGTCGGGTAGTGTAAGGTCAGGGAACCAGCCTAGTTGGCTTGTACCCGCAAACAAAACTAACTAAATCTGGTAAATTGGGGGCAGTATTCGAGAAAAAAAAAACTTTTCTTGAAAATGATAGCACACCCGGGGCCATGATTTTACACGGTGCTTAGACAGTCCAGCAAGGTTTTTCACAACGATTTGGTAGTTTTGTTTTTTGATGTTTGCAAATGTTATATAGGCCTATTTTCTTTAGAAAGAATTTTGCAACTTGACGCTGCTTTTTTTCTTCATAGATCATCCCAATGAAGGTCGGTCATTTCAAAAATGATGAAAAGACATGAATCTGGGACTGAAAAAAACATTTCCAATTTTGTTAGGAAATACTTAGAAATTGTCTTGACTCTCCATAGACTTTGTACACAACCGCTGAAGTAGCGTCATGTTGCAACATTCTTTCCTTTTCATTAATACAAAGTGCAACCAATTCATCTACCTTGATAGTTTGATAAACCCTTGTAAAGGTCACGTTCGTGCTGGCTGAATGGAAGCTATAATGCACATGTGTCGAAAGGTTTGGGGACGGTGTATCCATGACTCACACTTGATTTGCACGCAATCCATTTACGCCCTACAACTTTGAATTTTCTTTGAATAAGCTCACAGAGATTAATTGCCCAGAATTAATTGCTATTTGGAAAAGGAACCCGTCACTGTTTGTATATTGTGTAAATCGAGGATTTCCTACCGTTCCTCTTTGAGGTATATACTCGCAACAGCTCCCATTAGTTTTGTACACGTTTTCCAATCGAGGACGTCCTGGATTGGACTCCTGTCCTCGATTAGAAAAAGGCTGTTTTGCATGCGTGTACGTGTCCTCAATTTACACAATTAAACATAAACACCGGCACACACATGGGCGTCGCGAGGGGGGAGGGGGCAAGGGGGCGCTTCCCTCCCCCGGAAAAGCACCCAAAAAAAAGAAGAAACAAAAAAGAGGAAAAGCAAAAGAAATAGAGGCGCGAAGTCATATTGGTGTAAATTTAATGGGTGGGGGGGGGGGCAAAATGTCCCTGCCCCCCCCCCCCTCTAAATCTGATAAATCGAGAATATGTTGAGAAATACAAGAATTTTTGGGGGAAAAAATGTTTTGCCCCCTCCCCCTTTAGAAAACAACCCTGGCGACGACGCCCATGGGCACACATCAAAACACACAAGTCCGCCCCCCCCCCTTCCCCTTTCGACTCGAAACTGGGGATTGTTAACATTGGCTTTTCTAGCGCCCATCACTGTTCTTTTCTTGAATCTATTCTTGAGTGCTGAATGTTACACATGGATTGTCCATCATTCCGCCCCGATCTATTTTTAAAATTTGAGAGCAGCATAATTTTCAGCTCACTAAACCGTCCAATCCAATCCCAAGTTAAATTTGTTGCGATTGGAGAACGTAGACAAATTAAAATAGGTATGAAATCCGCTCCAGTATAGTGGCATGATGACACAACTATGTTTCCTACCTCCATGTTCAAACCAATGAGTTTCACCACCATGGTTTCACAGGGGAATTTCATGCACTGAACGAATATGAGCGATGGACAAAGATGGAGACCGGATGAACAGGCATATATGCATAATCTACCATTTCCTACCTACATGTTTCTACCTTCTCAAAGGAACTTTATGAAATGGACTTACCCCCTTGCCCGCTCACCAGAGCAGACAGAAGAAGGACACCAACCAGACAGTAATATCCAACAGCCATTTTTATCCCACTAGTGCGGTTGAACTTTCAAGGCCTCGGCAAAACAAGTTGTGCAAGTACGTACCAGTCGACTTTGTTCACCGAAAGAGTAGAGTTCTGCTGCGTCACCACTGCAGTACTGCACGGTGCACTACCTCGTGGGATGGGAAAGTGAAACACGAAATCGTCCCAGGACCCCGGATTATTGATTGCGTCATCAGAAAACCACAGGGGAGTCGCAGTAGACAAAACATTCCATGAAAGGAAATTTGAATAAGAGTGTTTGCCTATGGGCAGTTTCTTTTGACGAAGTCTGGGAATTATGGTTTTATGTTTCTCCAGTCATCCGAAGGCTGAGCTTTAGCAACACTTTAACCCCGGGGTTTTCACGTGAAAGATCCCACAGTCGTATATATATATTTTTCACAAAATAAATAGTGTGTTCGGGGCGCGGTAGGTTATTACGGGCATGCTTTGTATGTCGTTCGTTCTATGGTAATACTTAAAGGAATGTACAACATTTGCGTTTGATGTAATTTTCAGAAATAAATGGATTTGGAGGAATAGTATGTTAAAGCAAATATTGTTACACTGACTTGTTTCACGTTTTGGGTTCGTAGATGCTGGACAAACCAAGAAACCAATCGCGTTTTTGTAGTCCGGTTCCCTGACCCACGTACGATGAAACAAAGCAATTTATAGACGTTGGGGAATTAGAATGTCAGAGAATCAGTCTAGCATGCTTGTACCCCTTCACATGACTTGTGTGTAATCGATTGCAAAGAAAATGCTGAATAACTAAATATGAACAATTAGGAGCAGTTTTTGAGGAAAAAAACAGTTTTCGTCAACGCTGGTCTGCCAACGCGCGCGCATGCAAAAAAAATCCCGACAGGATAATAAACTTTGTGCACATAATTATTATGAAACGCATGCACTTCATACGTGCGCTTTACGCATGCGTACTGCGCGCCATACGCGCACGTGACATGGCACCTGCATGACTGTCTAACTACCGCATGTGTATACACAGTGGAGTGCATAGCAATTAAGTACCGCGAGCTATCCAGTAAAAAAGAAATGGAAAAAATACATTATTGCAGAATCACAATCCTCATTTTAATAATGTGCTCTCAATTTTGACAATCGTGGTACTGGCAGAAGGGCAAATAAGCTTCAACTGCAAAATTAACTATTATGCCATATTGTAAAACACCCAAGTAAATCCCAATTGCCATTTGATTGGAGGATTGTAGGTCACGCGACATTCGAACCCGGCCTACGTCATATAACGGTGCATTTTTGGTTCCATTCACCGTGCATTTTCGTCCCATCCCTTTTGATCTATTGCACGCTGCGCGTTCTCAAAGACGCGCAGCGGCCCGGCGCTATGCGTTATAACAGTTCAAAACTTGCCTTTGAATTGTTGATACAATTGCCGTGATGATTTTTTCCATTATTTTAAGAACTTACAAGGTTAAATTTCATTATCGTCAATGATTTAAATTTTAAACCTTTGTGAGCCCTGAACAAACAAAAGAAGTGAATATGATACAATTTTGTGAGTTTTGTTTGTTCTTGAAGTTTTATCCTCCAATCAAATGAAAAGGATCTACATGGATGTTATATAAAACAAATAATGAATGTTTTGCATTCGTGCAATATGGTGAGAATATTTTCATTCGTTGAAAGATGGAATGTTCCATTCAACTTCAACTCATAAAAATATTCTCACCATTGCACTCATAAATATTCATTATTTGTATAATAGTGCACTTTCGTCTGAAGAAAAAAAAATCATCTTTTACTATGTGTATTTCAAACGTCTGGATCTTTGAAAATCCATATTATGTCTTCCATTCACAATGTTGAAATAAAATACGGTTTTCGAGATGTGTTACCTTGTTTATACGCATTTCCAGCAATAATAAAGCCATTGAGTTTTGAGCAACACTGACTAGTACTGTCAACTTTAGACTGGCGCCGCATAAGATGTCATGTGGGAAGTTCACTGTTTGATACCAGGGCACACTAGTTAGACATCCATAAGGGCAATTCCACGGTTACTCACGTTACATTTTTGTAACGCGAGTAACCGACTTTGTGCGTCTTGTTTATCATACATAACACATTTTTCTGGATGTCATCTTTGGTGCTTAGGTAGGTAGGACTAGGTCTACTCTATCTACCATTGGGATAACAGTTATTAAACCTTTTCAGTAAGGTAATTACAGCCCAAGGAAACTCAAATGTACATCAAAAATGTAACGTGAGTAACCGTGAAATTGCCCATATTATTTGCAACCCTACAGGCATGTTTGAGGATTTTTTTTCCTTTTTAAGTGAAAAGCATCGTATTTACAGAATGAAGACTAGCGCTCCAAAGGCTTGATTAAGAAAGGAAAAGGAAATAGTATCCCGACATTCCTTTGCAAAATAGCTACTTACATAACAAACAGCATTTTTTAAGCGTACTAATTTTGAAGGATCATATTCTACTTTTTTTAACTATCATTCCGAATATTTCTACCAATTTGTGAAAAACGCAATTTCAAACCAACAAGAGTACATATATCTCTCGACTGTGGTCTTTCAACCCGGAGAACAGAAAGTTATAACTCCTTTCACAACAAACTGGAATACAATTATTATTCTACACGATGTTATATTTTTAAACTGTTTCATAATAATATTGTGAATATGTAGCTGAAGCGCATCAGTATTTTACCTCCCTTTTTACTACATCATGCGAGGTTTAAGCTATATATTTTTTACAAACGTATGCAGTGAATGTTTCAAGCTTACATATATACTCCACCATTTTTAGTAAATCTAGTTGTAGTGCTTAAAGACCTTTCTACGCTTGGTTGGCAAACTGCATTTTTGCCAACCACGGGTTGAAAAACTATGGAAGGTCCAACACTGCAAAAATGAAGAAGAGTTATTATTACAGATAACCAAAACATTATAATTTTGATACTTGGAAATACAACATTGTCAACAAATCTACAACATAATTTCTACACATGCCTGTTGACTATGTATTGAAGGCGTTATAAGGCCTTTTTTTCTGGAAACATAATGGCCAACCTCGGCTTCAATTTATGCGCTTGCGGCAGTGTATATAAAATGGCGTCAATGTTTACAAACAAAAGAAAGATGTATACAAAAAAGAAAATGTAAACATCCGTTGAACATACCGTATAGAGATATGGAAAAATAAAAATTAACCAAAACAAAGGACCAAAGTTTCTTCTACGTGTACATGCTATATGCGTATCTTATCAAAATTGCGAATAGCACCAAATCCTTCAAAACGACGTTCAAGGCGCTTAACAATCATTCAAAAAGAAAAAAAAATTAATTAAAAACATGAAGAACCTTTCAAATCTACATACTGTGACAATACTAGTAAATTATAAGTAATATCAATACAATCACATTCGCATTAAACCTAAGAGCAAAAGTACACCAGCAAAAGATACATGTAAGGCCACAAAAATTAAAAATACTCGGTCTCTGGTCAGCGTGCGCGTCGATTTTAATCATGCGCGTCAACCTTTATTTTTCTTCAAATTAACACGGAAGCTACAACAGCACCCTCTATTGCCGCACCTCCTCAAATTTTTGTACCAAGGAGCACCAAGGAATGGGGAAATTGCACCAAGGCAAATGATAAAGGGCACCAAGGCAAATTATGGAGGACACCAACGTATAATGAGGACACAAAAAAGCAAAATAGTACCCACCTTGTCTGTAAAATGCAAGCTTGAAAAAACACACACCCACACACACCCACACACACCCACCCACCGACTTGTTTCACATACCTAGTGTGGACTTTCCTTTCTTTTCGTGTAGTTAAGGAACACCAGTGGAAAAACTCATTTTTCTCAAACTGTGCAAACTCTTACAACCCAATTTTTTTTCAATGATTCCCTTTAGTGTTTCTCTTCATTCTGCTACTGATAAACCTAACCCAAAAATGCCTCTAAACCTGTTTTCCAGAAATGGGGAAACACTGTGTGGACGTGGGCAAGTCCACACTTCGTCGGTGCTACCTACATTATGTGGACGTCTTTTGTTCGGAAGTCCACACTGCGTATGTAAGACAAGCACACCCACACCCAACCGCGTCGCCGCATCAATTCCGGAACTTCGGTCTGATCAGAGACCGATTAATTTTTTTTTGGCCTGAATGGAAAAAAAAATTGCGTATGAGGGACCTATACATTAAAATATACAATATGTGTAATGAATGATATATAGACAATAAAATGTAAGAAGGTGACAAGTATACAATAACAAGAGCATTATGGGCAGACAAAAACCAACCAAAACCTGATACTAAACGACGACCTATCAACAGACCCATAACAAAAAGACAAAATAAATGTATGGTTCTATTAAACCCAAGAATAAAACAAATTAAATAGAAAGCAAAGTCGTGTATAAATTCACGCAAAACCAATACAGCAATAAGAATCATAAAACTAACCAACCGCCCGATACACTCAGAAATAATAAAAACAGAAAGACAAAACTATCGATAGACCAGCAACAAGGGCGGATCCAGGGGGGGGGGGCCAAAGGGGGCCATGCCCCCCCCCCCCAAAAAAAAAAACCACGAAACCAATTTTTTTTTTTTTTATGCGACATCGCAATAAAGGCAGGCAATGAGTACACCACCAACTTTTCCTCAAAATAAGATTGGTCAAAGTGGTCAGAAATTGCCTCAGATCGCACCACAGAGCATCTAGAATCCAAAAAAATTTCGGGCCCCTTAAGCGGGCCCCAAACCCTACGCCGTAATTTTTTTGACCCACTTTTTGGGGGGACCAAAAAATTTTTTTGGCCCCCCAAAAAATTGTGTTCTGGATCCGCCCTTGACCAGCAAAAACGTACAGAAACCGACTAGAGCAAACACCCAAACAGCAACAACAACAAACAAAAAAAAAAAAAAAAAACCAAACAACCAAAACCAACAACACCAACACCCCATACCTTAGGAAGATACTTTGTAGTAAATTATTTTGACAGGATGCACCCTTATAGGTTGTCACAGCGATCCTAGGCGATCCTAGCTCACGTATGAGGACATTTTATGAAAAGCAAAGTATTTACAGAATGACGACTAGCACTCCAAAGGCTCGATTAAAAAAGAAAAAAAAAGTATTCGAAAATTCCTTTGCAAGGTAGCTACTTACACAACAACAGCATTTTTTTCAAAGCGTATACTAATTTTACTTTTTTTAAAGATCATTCTGACCATTTATCGTGTTAATTGTATTTTCAAGCCAATAAAGGCACAAAAAGCCTACCTCTCAAAATTGTTCTTTTAACCTGGAAAGCAGAAAGTTAAAAACTCCTTTCTCAACAAACTGGATTAAAAGTATATTTCTCAACGAAAAAGCGCGTGGATATATAGCTGAAGGGTAACACCATTTTACACACTTTATTATAAACATGCGAGGAGTTAAGGCCATATATTTTGTTCACAAACGTGTGTAGTGAACTTTTCTAGCCTACTATACAACACAAATTTTTACTAAAACTACATGTACATGTTGTAGTGCTTATACAAGAAAATGCTTAAATCAGCGTAAACATCCGCTGAACATACCGTTGTGGAGATAGGTAAAAATTAAAATTCACCAATCAGAAAAGCTTCTTCTACATACTATACTTTGTGTATCTATTAAAATTACAACAAACGTCCCTTTAGATAGACACCTTGCGGTAAATTGTCATTAGGGAGGCATTTTTGAGTGACTTTTAACTCCCATATAAGCTAGTCTTTTGTTTCGTACACTTTCATTTTATAATTTTCAGCAAGTACCAACCGATCCTCCTCGGTAACAGCGATACCACACACAGGAGGTGAAATATCCAGGATCGAACAACCTAAGAAGTTAGCATAGGGGCTGTACTGGTGAACATGGACCTTAGACTCACCATCTATCAACAATGCCACGTAGATGGTATCGCGTTTATCACGACACATACCGACACAGCCTACCTGCTTACCTTCAGGAACGCCCTCTACGGTGGGATGTATGGTAACAACAGCGTCCCCTCTGCTGTCAATCACCTCGATGACCGCCGGGCTCCTTGCCGCCACCAGCATTCGCCCATGGCTGGTAGAAGTCAGGAAGTCTGGTTTGATGCTGATGGGTAGTTGGTGGATGACCTTGCCATCTGACGAGTCGTGTACCAAGACTCCCTGCCAATTAGTGTACCCAATAACGAGCAGCTTATCCTTGTAGTGTGCAATGCTGATGGGCTGCCCGAGAGTAGTGTCGTTGTCGGAGCCATCCTGTTTGATGGTGCTGGGGAGATTAAACTGAGACTTGGGCGAAGATGAATTCAGATCGTAGAGGCGAACATAGGAAGAATCCATTGAGACGAAAGCATTATCAGGAAACATGGCGATTCTTTCCCCTGTCAATAAAAATGTTTAAAAAGAACTCAATAATGGCAGACAGATCAAAATCATCATCACAAGTAAACAAAGCGTTTTTGGGGTTCGTTTCAATTAGTTTTTGTGCTTATTACATTTTAAATATTACTGTGTTGATGCTAGCCTTACTCGCACTTTGAAAGTGATCAGTGGCTTTGTTTAATTATTTCAAAAGTAAATGATGATGGTATGTTTTTGTCGCGGAGATGTACATTATTTTGGCCTTCACGTCACCAACGTGCTCGATTTTTCATCGATCGTTATGGACATTCAGCATCATATATGCAGTACGAAATAATGTGTGTTACCAACTTGAAATTAAACTCTTTACCTGATACGCCCTGCCCAGTTTTTGATGAGTTGGTTGTGTCCCAAACACAGAGCCCGCCGTCTGTCCTTACCAGTACTTTACTGCCTGATGTAAACGCACAGAAATTCCTCACCAGATAATTACCAGCTGAGGACATGTCTTTCTCCCACTTCCATGTCGCACCAACAACTAATTCCCCCAGCCCAGTATCATCGCTGCTCTTGAACTCAATCTTCGGATAGCCGGGATGAAGGTTAGCTGGACTCTCCTCAAGAAGGTTTTGCAGGTCGCTGTCAATCACAGAGTGAAGGTTGAGGAAGTCGACGTCAGAGGCAGACTTGACTACGTCACTGGCGGTATCCAACGCGTGGCTCAGGCGCTGTATCTGCGCGTCAGTCATCTTTGCCAACTCCTTGATTACTTGTTGTCTCAGATCGTAGGTGCTTTGAATCTGTGATGACAGCTTGTCTTTACTGGCAGCAGCTTTGGATCTGTCATCGTTGGCATCTTTCAGAGCTTCTTCGTTCAAGCTGTCTATCACAGAATGCATGTCCTGATCAGTTTTGATCAGCGTTTCTACGTTCTGTCCAAGTGTAACGAGTGCCTTGTCAACTTTAGCGAACTTGTCTTCTAAGCTTTGGGAGTATTTCTGCATGTTTTCCTCTGCTGTGCTTGATGATTCCGTCGACTTCGATTCCTGGGGTCGTGACTTGGTAAAACTAATCCCGTTTATTTGCAATGTTTTCAGACGAAACTTTTTACGCCGGGAGAGGTCTTTCCGGATGTTGGATTCGCGTTCGGCAATCTTGCTTCCTTCTTCGTTTGCCTGATCGATCACCTGTTGATGACTAAGGGAATCAGTTTTGTTTAACTGATCGGCCATTTTGGTCATCTCGACTTGGGTTTCTTTGTGCGCCGTTAAGCTTTCTTTGACTTTGACGATCCGCTCCTGGGTAGCTTTCCTGAAGCGGGAAGCGGCATCATGTACAGTCGTGAACTTGTGCTCCGATTCGCGATGTTCAACCACGGTGCAATCTCTGCAGATCAATTCTTTGCAGGTCTCGCAGTAGAACCTCATCTTCTCACCTCGGTGTTTCTCGCAAGGTGGCTCATCTTTTACCTTAGATCGGAGACTGACGGTACCGGACCGTAAGGCATCAAGCGCTAAGACATCGTGATGGGTAGTAGCAGCAATACGACGGTGGACCTCACGACAGTTGACACACAGGAAGAATGGACAATCCATGCATCTGAACTCTGCCTTCGGTTGATCCTGACACAGCTCGCAAAGCAGCTTGAAGCTTTTCTGCTGCGTCAGTTTCTCTTGGAGCGTGAAGTCATCCACCATCCCCATGAGATGAAAGTTGGTTCTCAAGCCAGGAATACCATCTGAAGATAGCTTGGTCTCCTTCCTACAAACTGGGCATGGCATCATATCTGAAGACTTAGCCGTTGATTTCTTGTACGCCACGAGGCACCTCTCACAAAAACTATGGAGACAATCGAGTAGCTTGGGTGCTTGGTATTTCTCATGACAGATACTACACTCAAGGTGAGAGCGACTGATCTTACTCAACACCATCGCAGCAGATTCGACTTGTTTTTCCATTTGTCTTTCTCTTTGACTCGAGTGAAAACCCCTAAGAGGAATACAAAGGGGATCATCAAATTACTTAAGGGTGAAAAGTCTTTAGCTTGAAATTAACCGAGGAATTACCGTATAGATTCAGCAAAGTTAAATTTGTATGCTTCAAACAACTGAACTAATACTAAAACTAGTCACGTGATCGGGTACGATGTCTACCAGCGACGCCATGCGTTATATGGCCAATTGATAATACAGTGTTGCACACAATTAGGGGACGACCCGTTCATTGCAACAAAATGAGTAGACACAGAAATAATACATGTCCTGGTCCAACTCGCCCCAAGAATGCGACAGGCCTACATATAATAAGATATACCGACAAACCGAGCGGCCAATCCGAATCCAAACAAGTTAAGCGTTGCGACCAATAAATAAATGATAGACGGACCACACAATGCTTCCTCGAATTAGGCTACTCAATGGTTTAAATCTTTATGTAACTCGAAATCAGGTTTGGATTATTTAAATCACATTGATTAAAATCACTGATTTAAATCGCGAATTAAATCAAATTGTGTTTTTCTTCTGATCATCACTTATTTAAAACGCTTCTTAAGCAACAATCTTATTTTTTTGGCAAAATTAATTGATTTAGGGTCATTTTAATTATCTAAATAAACTGAACCCACTTAATTACAAATGGTGAGATGTTGTCAAACATTCAAACACCACTACTTCATCAGCATTGTCCCAAAGTGTTGCATAATTACCCTAAATCATTGGTTTCATTAAAGTCAAGACCCAAGTCTAAATGTTTTTCCTTAAAGTTTGAATTCTAAGTTCCTGTAGAATTTTAATGGACTGTTCGGTCAGCACTCTCAATGTTGCTTTTATCATTCCATGATCTGTTTACAGTGATTAATATGAATCAACTTTGGCGTTGTAGGCTTACCTATCAAGGTGTATTAAAGTTCAAAGTCCTAAGTCTCATTTCTAACTTTTCACAATACAAATTTAGAGTTAGATTATACCTTTAAAGGTGCAAGGCCTGATTTCATGATATAATGCTCCCCACTATGAAGGACCATCAATCAAATACTTCAGGTTTTACAAGGATCAGCACACTCTAAAAACAAAAGTCAGATTTGACTAGAAACCGGTTAAATTTGACTAACTATTCAGGGTCAGCTGAGTGCAACTGAAAATCGATCAATCTGACAGAACTGTTTTTAGTCAGTAGTATACTGTCTATAGGAGAAATGATTATGCAAATAACTAAACTTGGAGTCAAATCCAACTACTTTTTCTAGTCATAATATGAATAATATATCATTCAGTCAATATTTTGACTAAGTTGTTTTAGAGTGTATTGGTGCTGTCATGTTGAATTACAAATTTTGAAATACACATGCACGAGGAAACTGTACTTTTTGGTATGACATACACTTGTATCGTTCATGCACACAATGTATCTCAACCGTATCAATCAAGCCATGCACCCACAATTGTGTCCTGTACATTCTATTCTCCATGCTTGTACCATGCATGCCAATGGGCTTGACTAAGGGAATAAATGTGTGCTCCGGAGGTTTTTATCACTCGTTTAATACCGCTTAGAGTCTGGGTGCTGATAATTACCCGAGCCGGAGGCGAGGGTAATTATCAGCACCCAGACTCTAAGCGGTATTAAACAGAGTGATAAATACCGACCGAGCACATATTTATTCCCATTCATAAATACCTTATCCGTAAAAAAATATCAAATAATTCGTTCAAAAAATCCCGATTTTGTTCAACAAGTTCACTTCATGCTTTTTGAAACATCCCTCTAGCAAAATAATGGAGTGTTCAGCTGGCGAGTTAGATGTAAACAACCCTTTTATTGAGATTGACGCGCGCGTAACATGTTCTGCGCGATGTCACGCAGAACGCACCTGGGGCGTTGCGTTTTGAATTTAGAACTATAAAATTCTGACTTGCTTGTAGTGTTGCGCATGCCTACGTGAGGATTGTGAACGTTCAACCAATGAAACGGTAAGAGGCACTGGATTTTTAGGAGTCCACATTTTATTGTGACACTGGAAAAGTGTTTAAGACCAGCTAGCCATGTCTTTATCATCCGTTTAAGACCGGCCACGTGACGGGCTCTCGACCAATAGGAATAGCTAAACTGTCTGAGGTATTTATGAATACAAGATCACATGAAATCAAGTGATTCTTTTGTAATCACTGCCACTAAATTGTTTCAAAGGCATTTAGGCCTATCAGTGTTAATTGTAACATTTTGTCAGGAACACGAATGCTGAATTACTTTTGTGGATGATAGGCACATGACTGTTGATTAGTATAGGGTATATGGGGAGATTCGAACACATTTCGCTTCTTCTATTTTATTTACAGAAAATATATATTTTTTGTATTTAACAAAAATAACCGAAATCCTGCTTGAAATTATCACTCGAGACGTACAGTTTAAGCATAGAGTAAGGAACAGAGTTGGGAGAATTTATGCATTATACAACAGAAATGGTATCGAAACTAGTCTGGTTCCCATAAAATAGATTCTATTTTGACGAATCTGTCAGGGCGTCGGGGAATTGACAGGTCAGGGAGCCACTACTGATGAGCACATGATTGGGTACGAAATCTACCAGCGTCCAACGCCCATAATCAGTTCATGGGTATTGCACACACGGCCCCCTTTCATTGCAATAGACACATATGGTTTTCTGCACGTCCAGTTTTAGAAAGAATGTTGCAGCCTGACGCTACTTCAGCGGTTGTGTACAAAATCTATGGAGAGTCAAGCCAATTTTCCTAACAAAATTGGAAATGTTTCTTAGTCCCAGATTCATGGCTTATCATTTCTGCATTTACTGACCTTCATTGAGATGCTATATGAAGAAGAAGAAAAAAGCAGCGTCATGTGGCCACATTCTTTCCCCAGTTTCCCGAAGAGCGCGATACAAAACCGACAAATCGCCCCAACAGTCCTAATCCGATCAAAGCGTTGGGAGCAAAGAATGAATGACGTACCACGTCAATTACTACCTCAAATTATTTCAGGATTTAAAACTTAAGCGGGAAATTAAGACTCGTGAACTTACCGTACAACTTCAGCCAAGTCCCGACAATGTATGCTTCGTACAATGTGATCTTATACAACTCAAGCGGGAAATTAAGACTCGTGAACTTACCGCACAGTTTAATACAGCAAAGTCCCGACAATGTACGCTTCGTACAATCAGGTGACTGGGTTTGGCGCCACGTACCCAGGGTACAGCACACGCGGGAAATCCCGTTTCATTGTTACACAGTACGTAGGAATAGGGTGAATTCGAAACCCTGTTCCCGAGCGGCTGATCTCTGTGACCCGTGAACTTACGGGTGAACACCCGAGTGTGCATTGGCGAACATTCAAGATGGCAGACGCCGAATCAAAACGCAGAATGAAAACGAAGAGGCAATTAATATTGAATAAATCTTTTTAATACAAAGACCTTGAGCATTGTTTTTTTTTATCGGGTTGACGCGAATGCGCCTTATCCAGACACGATGTACATCGGGCCGGGACAGGGGGGGGGGGGCATTTGATATAATAGGCGCATTATGTCCAAACGGGGTTGAAAATCAACGGGGAAACAAAGCATTTATACAAACGACATTCTGATTTGATTTCACGACATTTTTATTCCAACCAAAGCTTATGATAAGACAAAAACTTAATACAAAAAAGTTTTTATTCAGTCTTGACCTCAAAGCAAAATATTGGGGTGTTTGTTGGTACTTTTGTATAAGGCTAACTGATCATGCGATATAACATTGACACATTCGAAACAGTGCGTATGATTTGCAAAAATGTGCATCTTCATAGAACACTTGAAAGATTTTTTTTTTATGAACAGACCCAGATATGTTTCTGATGTTTCAATAATTCTGAAAACTGAAGTTCATAACTGGCACTTCTGAATTCGTAAAAGCTACTCTAAACTCAACGGTCGTGTGAAAGAAATCGGTCGGTATGTTAAAGGTGCAAGAGACTAAGCCTCGGTTGAAATGACAACCTCCTTTCCAATCGGTTGTTTATTGTTTAGCTGGCTTCTTGTTCATCATCTGCACGAGGTCGTTCACCGTCAAGGGAACAAGGTTGGGCGCATTGGCCATGCGAGATGCTGCGCAGAGGAGGGCGCAATCCGTCTTCGGGTCCTATTCGAAAAAACATAAAATACATCAAGTATTTAAGTATAAGATTTGAATTTTTAAAGACTTTATATCCTCAATTTTCAATTTGAAAAAAATAAAACTATAAGGCCTCAATGGCAACAATAAGTAGATTAAAAATAACTCAAACAGCCAAATAACTCAATAGAAACAACCACTAGTTAAGGGTTGCTATTAAATAAAGATATTTGTAGAACATATCGGAGACTTATATGGCTATATAATAAGGTGGAACCACAAGCGCACAGGTGTTACTACGCACGCACTCAATACCTCTTTCGGCCAATAGGGTTGCCAAAACGCGTGCGCACCAGTCGACTTGAAGAATACGCGCGACATGCATACGCGCGTCCACATCGCCGCATATGGCTTCAAATTTACCCATCGCGGTAGCATCGCGTTAGAATCGCGTCAACACAGCTTGTGAAACATTGTCCAATTACGTGATATACAAATGGACGCGGAACGCGCAAAATCTGTGACAAACAAAACTTGGTGTACAAAAACTCCATAGGGTTGTCTAAGGGGCGTGGCAACTCGCAAACGGAGATAGGTCAATACTTACCAAATACACATAAGTGTACATCTTCAAAAGTGTGGGCATTTTACGGACAGCACCTAGGCATTCCTCATGCATTGCAGATGGTAGCCAGTCACATACGGGCAAGATGAGAGTCACCAGTTCAGCCTGAAAAATACAACACGGAAAAAGCCAGTCAAGCGAAGATGGTAAATAGTTTGCAAATATCTAACAGGTAGTCTGGTAGTTGGATATTGAATATTTTTATGGGGGTTGTCTTATGTTTTCCATTTTTTTCTGTTTCTTTTTTATTTGACTGTTTGACATGTAGAAACTGTTGGTACTATTTGGCTTTCATGAGAGCAAAAAAATTATGATATCCTTGTGTAGCCTTTCCTTACACTAGCCTTCTTTAAGATTCACGTTTCACCTGATGTGCTTTCATTTCTAATGATTTGGAATGACAGATACATTTCAGAGATGAATGCTCAATTCCACACAATTGAGGTTTCCTGTATACTAACCAGTAGTTGCTGGTTGTCAGCAGCGTTTCTCAGGAACTGCACAAAGTTCTCGCAGGCGGTGCACAGGAAAGGATTCTTCGTCATGCTGTCCACTTTGGTTAAAAAAAAACAATAACAGGAAAGAGATAAACGCCGTTTCTGCGATTTTGTCTTGGCTACTTGAAACTCCCTTTTTTATGCCTTTGTGCTATCATACGGCAAAGTTCCCTTTCAGATATATTGAAAACAAAATTGCGCTAGGTTGTTTTTGAAATAAAACTCAGGTGGGAAAGAACGTTGCCTCCTCACGCCACGTCTTCTTTCATATATTATCTCAATGAAGTTCACTCATTGCAAAAATGTTGAAAAGACATGAATCTTGGACTGAAAAAACATTTCCAATTTTGTTACAAATACTTTAAAAATCATGATGCACTCAGCTCTCCATAGACTTTGTACACAAGCAAAGAAGTGGCGTCTGGATATTCTTTCCCTGAAATGAAGTGGGGACCTCAGATTAGACAAAAACTAAATATTTAAATATTAAGTAACTGTAGTATTAGTATCTTACCAAGTGGACGAAACACATCCGTGACGATCTTAACCTTACCGTTGAGAAGTTCTAACTGTGGTTCGGAAGCCAGCAGATCTGATTTGATAGAAGAAAAAAAAACAGATTAGGCAAGATGAAAATTAGCCCCATAAATGTGGCCAATTTACTGGACTACCTCCGTAAAAATAGGCCACACGTACAAAAACGTGTCGCACTTTGTCAAATTTTGATTTTAACATTTAGGCTTAGTTTGTAGGGTTTTTGTTTTAGAAGCATACTCACCCTCTTTATAGGCTAATCAGAAAGTGCTGCCTTTTTCAGATGTCTAATTTTTGTGAAATTTCATGTTGAAATTTTGATACGCAAACGTGTGCATATGAATCTGGAAATTTCACGAAAAAATAGCCATCTGAAAAAGGCAGCACATTTTGATTAGCCTATAAAGAGGGCGAATATGCTTCTAAAGCAAAAAAAACCTACAAACTAAGCCTAAATGTGAAAATCAAAATTTGGCAAAGTGCGACACGTTTTAGTACATGTGGATGTGTGGCCTATGTTTACGGAGGTAGTCCAGTAAATTGGCCACATTTATGGGGCTACAGGAAGCGAAGATAGGAAAGATTCCCATGGCCATCGCCGACTTTTTCCCCTCAGTGGCCTATCAGCCATCAGAAAGTGATAACAATGTCCTAAAGAGTCGAATTTAGCAGGGAAAATAGTTTTAAAGTATTTAGAGAGAAAACACAGACATTTTCAGACCAGTCTCATAGGTTTTGTCACAGGGTGACAAGTGATGGCCAGATATGGGAGTCTTTCCCCAAGGTATAATGCATGGTTGACTTACCCCCTTGCCCGCTCACCAGAGCAGTCAGAAGAAGGACACCAACCAGACAGTAAGATACAACAGCCATTTTGTTCAGCATGCGCGGTGCAACTATTCGAAACAAAGTGTCGAAACTCCGGTGTAAGAACTTTTAAATTTCGAAGTGTTGTTTAGATCACCACAACTGCTCGACTCGACTGCACAGTACACACTGGTCGATGCGTGATGGGAAAGTTATTTTATACCACTGTACGCCCACAACCTGAGCCGTTCGTCTGAGTAAACCGAACCTAATTTGCATGAATACGCGTAACATTACAATGACTGCTCATCGCACCCGGCTGGACGTTTTGGTATTTCTTTTGTCATCCGAACTTAGATCGCGCTCTTAATAATCCCATTGGTTTGCATCAAAATAAAGATCCCAAAGACGTGTTGACAAAAACATTCTTCTAGCGGTCGAAGAGGATTAATATTGCGCCATATTTTAGTGAAAGAGGGTGCCGTAGCGACACGCCATTCACTTGGTGCAAACAAAAGGCTGCAGACCAATGTAAATACACTGCCATAGACATCAGTGATAATTACGCGCACTTCCCAAAATTATTAAAAAATACTCACAACTCTCCAAGGTATTTGGAGACACACATCAAATTAAAGCTTTAATTCACCATCTTTCAAGTTTCATTTTCTGTTCAATATTGTGGGGCTTACAACCAATGACTTTTTGGAGAAAATTCCATCCAAAGATGATCACCCCTAAAAGAAGTCGTGAAGCCCATCTCGGCATTTTGAAAATGCCACCCGAATTTCACACAATACGAGCACGCATTCCTCTGCACGACTTCCCCCTCCTTTTTTCACAAACCACCAAGTTAATTCATGGCCTTCCAAAAGCTCTAATACCAGATAATTTGAGGGCATGCAAATCGTGATTTGGCCAGCGTACTAGGCAGTTTTGGGCCTATTTACTGGCCTGCACTCAGACGTTGACACACCACGTGTATTTAATGGAACATCTTTAGGGCCTACTTCACGAGATACATTTTGTCGAAGTTCGTTTTTATGAGATATATTTTCTCGAAGTTCGTTTTTACGAGATATATTTTTCCCATAGTTCGTTTTTACGAGATACATTTTGTCGAAGTTCGTTTTTATGAGATACATTTTTCCCAAAGTTCGTTTTTACGAGATACATTTTGTCGAAGTTCGTTTTTATGAGATATATTTTCTCGAGGTTCGTTTTTACGAGATACATTTTGTCGAAGTTCGTTTTTACGAGATATATTTTTCCCAAGTTCGCTTTTAAGAGATAATTTTTTTTTCGGGCGACACAGGATATCTTACGGAGCCCCTAAAGGGACATCCAATTTTTTTTTTCATCTGCACGAGATATTATGTCGTGCGCACGAGATAATTATGTCGTGCGCACGAGATAATTATGTCGTGCGCACGAGATAATTATGTCGTGCGCACGAGATAATTATGTCGTGCGCACGAGATATTATGTCGTGCGCACGAGATATTATGTCGTGCGCACGAGATAATTTTTTTTTTGGATGTCCCTTTAGGGACTCCGTACTGAATATACAGCAAATTGAACTTTGCTTCGTTCCCGCGTGCCTCAGGGGCCTGTACTGTGGGCTAGGCCTAGAATCGATCCAGAACTCGCATGTCCTCACAGAATTACAAGTGATGAACGCCAAAGCGCACGTGACACTTTGCACACAAGAAAATCTCATAAAAACGAACTTCGACAAAATGTATCTCGTAAAAACGAAATTCAAAAAAATATATCTCATAAAAACGAACTTCGACAAAATGTATCTCGTAAAATTGAACTTTGGGTAAAATGTATCTCATAAAAACGAACTTCGACAAAATGTATCTCGTAAAAACGAACTTTGGGTAAAATGTATCTCATAAAAACGAACTTTGACAAAATGTATCTCGTAAAAACGAACTTTGACAAAATGTATCTCATAAAAACGAACTTTGACAAAATGTATCTCGTAAAAACGAACTTTGGGTAAAATGTATCTCATAAAAACGAACTTCGACAAAATGTATCTCGTAAAAACGAACTTTGGGTAAAATGTATCTCTTAAAACGAACTTCGACAAAATGTATCTCGTAAAAACGAACTTTGGGTAAAATGTATCTCATTAAAACGAACTTCGACAAAATGTATCTCGTAAAAACGAACTTTGGGTAAAATGTATCTCTTAAAACGAACTTCGACAAAATGTATCTCGTAAAAACGAACTTTGGGTAAAATGTATCTCATTAAAACGAACTTCGACAAAATGTATCTCGTCAAAACGAACTTTGGGTAAAATGTATCTCATAAAAACGAACTTCGACTAAATGTATCTCGTAAAAACGAACTTTGGGAAAAATATATCTCATAAAAACGAACTTGGACAAAATATATACTTGATGGCACTACAGGGCTTTCGTACAAAATCTACCAGCGTCGAACGCCCAAGTTCTCTATAATCAGTTCATGGGTATTGCACACACGGGGACGTTTTCATTGCAATATGGTTTTCTGCATGTCCAGTTTTAGAAAGTGTTGCAACCTGACGCTACTTCAGCGGTTGTGTACAAAGTCTATGGAGAGTCAAGCCAATTAATTTTCCCTAAGAAAATTGGAAATGTTTCTTAATCCCAATCTCATGGCTTATCATTTCTGCAACGACTGACCTTCATTGAGATGATATACGAAGAAGAAGAAAAAGCAGCATCAGGTGGCCACATTCTTTCCCCAGTTTTCCCGAAGAGCGCGATACAAAACCGACAAATCCCCCCCAACAGTCCTAATCCGAACAAAGCGTTGGGAGCAAAGAATGAATGACGTACCACGACAATTACTACCTCAAATTATTTCAGGATTTAAAACTTAAGCGGGAAATTAAGACTCGTGAACTTACCGCACAGTTTAATACAGCATATATTTAATCTAAATGGGAAGTGACAAAAGCATGAATAAGACGTCCAGTAGAGGATTTGTCCAAAAAATTCCTTAAGTTTCCCTATTTTATGAATGCCAAAAGATGCAGACCTACATACTTTTTTGATATGAGCATTTATGTTCAGAGTGGAGTCCAGGATAACACCAAGGTTTTTTGTCGAGTTAGATATCTTCACCACAGCGTTATCTATAATAAAATTAGGCAAGGTAGACGAGTTGCGGAACTGTGTTGTGATGTGCAATATTTAAGTTTTATCTCCATTCAGCTTTAGGTAATTGTTCTGAGCCCAATCTTTGACGTTAATAACGGGTTGACGCGTATGCGCCTATCCAGACACGATGTACATCGGGCCGGGACAGCGGGGCGGGGGGGGGGGCGGCATTTGATATAATCAGCGCATTATGTCTACACATGAATATTAACAGGGAAAAAAACTTGTTTACAAACGACATTCTGATTTGCTTTCACGGCATATTTATTTCAACCAAAGCTTACGATAAGACAAAAACTTAATACAAAAAAAGTTTTTATTCAGTCTTGACCTCAAAGCAAAATATTGGGACGTTTGTTGGTACTTTTGTATAAGGCTAACTGATCATGCGATATAATATTTTGTCACATTCGAAACAGTGCGTATGATTTGCAAAAATGTGCATCTTGATTTTGAAAGATTTTTTTTAATGAACAGACCCAGATATGTTTCTGATGTTTCAATAGTTCTGAAATCTGAAGTTCATAACTGGCATTTCTGAATTCGTAAAAGCTACTCTGAACTCAACGGTCGTGTGAAAGAAATCGGTCGGTATGTAGCTAAGGTGCAAGAGACTAGCCTCGGTTGAAATGACAACCTCCTTCCAAATCGGTTGTTTATTGTTTAGCTGGCTTCTTCTCCATCATCTGCACGAGGTCGTTCACCGTCAAGGGAACAGGGTTGGGCGCATTGGCCATGCGAGATGCTGCGCAGAGGAGGGCGCAATCTATCTTCGGGTCCTATTCGAAAACATAAAATACATCAAGTATTTAAGTATAAGATTTGAATTTTTAAAGACTTTATATCCTCAATTTTCAATTTGAAAATAATAAAACTATAAGGCCTCAATGACAACAATAGGTAGATTAAAAATAAATCAAACAGCCATATAACTCAATAGAAACAACCACTAGTTAAGGGTTGCTATTAAATAAAGATATTTGTAGAACATATCGGAGACTTATATGGCTATATAATAAGGTGGAACCACAAGCGCACAGGTGTTACTACGGACGCACTCAATACCTCTTTCGACCAATAGGGTTGCCAAAACGCGCGCGCACCAGTCGACTTGAAGAATGCGCGCGACATGCACACGTGCGTCCACATCGCCGCATATGGCTTCAAATTTACCCATCGCGGTATAATCGCGTTAGAATCGCGTCAACACAGCTTGTGGAACATTGTCCATTTACATGATATACAAATGGACGCGGAACGCGCAAAATCTGTGACAAACAAAGCTTGGTGTACAAAAAGTCCATAGGGTTGTCTAAGGGGCGTGCTAACTCGCAAACGGCGATAGGTCAATACTTACCAAATACAAATTAGCGTACATCTTCACAAGTGTGGGTATTTCACGGACAGCACCTAGGCATTCCTCATGCAGTGCGAATGGAAACCAGTCACATACGGGCAAGAGAAGAGTCACTAGCTCACCCTATTAAAATACAAGACGGAAGTGAGTCAAGCGAAGATGGTAAATAGTTTGCAAATATCTAACAGGTAGTCTGGTAGTTGGATATTGAATATTTTTATGGGGGTTGTCTTATGTTTTCCATTTTTTTCTGTTTCTTTTTTATTTGACTGTTTGACATGTAGAAACTGTTGGTACCGTTTGGCTTTCATGAGAGCAAAAAAAATATGATATCCTTGTGTAGCCTTTCCTTACACTAGCCTTCTTTACGATTGGTGCGTTTCACCTGATGTGCTTTCATTTCTAATGATTTGGAATGACAGATACATTTCAGAGATGAATGCTCAATTCTACACAATTGAGGTTTCCTGTATACTAACCAGTAGTTGCTGGTTGTCAGTAGCGTTTCTCAGGAACTGCACAAAGTTCTCGCAGGCGGTGCACAGGAAAGGATTCTTCGTCATGCTGTCCACTTTGGTTAAAAAAAACAATAACAGGAAACAGATAAACGCAGTTTCTGCGATTTTGGCTTGGCTACTTGAAACTCCCCTTTTTTATGCCTTTGTGCTATCATACGGAAAAGTACCCTTTCAGATATATCGAAAACAAAATTGCGCTAGGTTGTTTTTGAAATAAAACTCAAGTGGGAAAGAACGTTGCCTCCTCACGCCACGTCTTCTTTCATATATTATCTCAATGAAGTTCACTCATTGCAAAAATGTTGAAAAGACATGAATCTTGGACTGAAAAACATTTCCAATTTTGTTACAAATACTTTAAAAATCATGATGCACTCAGCTCTCCATAGACTTTGTACACAAGCAAAGAAGTGGCGTCTGGATATTCTTTCCCTGAAATGAAGTGGGGACCTCAGATTAGACAAAAACTAAATATTTAAATATTAAGTAACTGTATTATTAGTATTAAACTTACCAAGTGGACGAAGCACATCCGTGTCGATCTTAACCTTCCCGTTGAGAAGTTCCAACTGTGGTTCGGAAGCCAGCAGATCTGATTTGATAGAAGAAGAAAAAAAACAGATTAAGCGGAAAAATTCTGCCAACCGGACACCACTTAACTGCCGCCAAACATCCAAATTTTCACCTTACCTTGTGATTTCAACCAAGAGGAATCCAGGAAAGAGTGGACATGCGAAAAAAATTTGTAAAAATGTGTTTTTGGAGCACATTTTGCATGCACATGTAGTGCAGATCTGAGTTGAAGCAGTCGGTCAAAACTGATTGAAGTGTCTGGAACAGCGGTACGTTATACGCATGACATCGATAACCATGACGTCACATGAGACGTCGCATGAGCCGGCCAATGATAGTGCAATACGTCATTATGAATATTTATTTTCTCATGAATATTTAGTTTATTTCAATGGATACTTCAAATACGTCCAAAGATTGATCATTGCAACAGCGATCGTGCGCGGCCTAGCGGTTAAGAGACTCGTGTATCAAGCAAGCGTCCGAGGTTCGAATCTCGATGAAGTGAGCGACTGATTGATAAATAGAAATTAAGGAAAGGAGGGGGTGAGAGTAGAGGAGGGAAAGTGGAGGGAATAAGGTAACTTTTGGCGCTAGAAAATTAATTGAAAAAAGTGGTGTCCGGTTGGCAGAATTTTTCAACTTTTTCCCCTCAGTGGCCTATCAGCCATCAGAAAGTGACAATATGTTCTAAAAAGTCGAATTTAGCAGGGAAAAATATTTTAAAAGTTTACTGAGAAACACTTGGACATTTTCAGACCAGTCTTATAGGGTTTGTGCACAGGGTGACAAGTGATGGCCAGATATGGGAATCTTTCCCCAAGGTATAATGCATGGTTGACTTACCCCCTTGCCCGCTCACCAGAGCAGTCAGAAGAAGGACACCAACCAGACAGTAAGATACAACAGCCATTTTGTTCAGCATGCGCGGTGCAACTATTCGAAATGAAGTGTCGAAACTCTGGTGTATTTCGAAGTGCTGTAAAGATCACCACAACTGCTCGACTCGACCTGCACAGTACACACTTAGGGCGACGCGTGATGGAAAGTTATACTAGAATTAATACCATTGTACGTCTACAACCTGAGCCGTCTGAGTCAACCGAACCTAATTTGCATGAATACGTAACATTACAATGACTGCTCATCGCACCCCTGGACGTTTTGGTATTTCTTTAGTAATCCAAACTAAGATCGCGCTCTCCATAATCGCGTTGGTTTGCATCAAAATAAAGATCCCAAGGACGTGTTGACAAAAACATTCTTCTAGCGATCGAAGAGGATTAATATTGCGCCATATTTTAGTGAAAGAGGGTGCCGTAGCGACACGTTATTCACTCGGTGCAAACAAAAGGCTACAGACCAGAGTAAATACACTGCCATAGACATCAGTGATAATTACGCGCACTTCCCAAAATTATTTTAAAATACTCACAACTCTCCAAGGTATTTGGAGACACACATCACATTAAAGCTTTAATTCACCATCTTTCAAGTTTCATTTTCTGTTCAATATTTTGGGGCTTACAACCAATGATGATCGCCCCTAAAAGAAGTCGTGAAGCCCATCTCCATTTTGAAAATGCCACCCGAATTTCACACAAACAATACGAGCACGCATTCCTCTGCACGACTTCCCCCCTCCTTTTTTTCACAAACCACCAAGTTAATTCATGGCCTTCCAAAAGCTCTAATACCAGATAATTTGAGGGCATGCAAATCGTGATTTGGCCAGCGTACTAGGCAGTTTTGGGCCTATTTACTGGCCTGCACTCAAACGTTGACACACCACGTGTATTTAATGGAACATCTTTAGGGCCTACTTCACTCTAAAAATTACAAAATGAACGTGATGATTTCTGCAATGAGTAAATTCACAGTGGTAACACGGAAAACACGTCTTGTGCCCAACAGAGCGTCGTGGTGCCTTTTTAATTATCCGTGCATATTTGTCAAGCACGGAGCGGAGGCAGGTGCATCTCTCCAAATCCGTTGCATCATGTCCTGCATTCTGGAGTAAATTGGACTAAATTCGCCATTTTTAAATAATCTTTAAAAAAAAAAATTGTGAAAATGGAAATGAAGCTTGCATCTTCTGTTGTGATCTGTGGGCGAGACTGCCCTATATTGACACAGTATGCATCGTTCAACTATGCAAGATGTCGATTTGATTTGATCCGATTTGATTAAATTATTACTATTCGTGCATCACCAAGGCAATATTGAAAGCACTGGAATTAATCGCATTTTCCCTTCATTACATCGGTTAATTGCCATGGAAGGCAGTTGACATCGAAACCCGCCCAAAAGAACCATAAACTGATACTCTCTGTTGGGTATTGATTTTCTGTGATAACCTTCAAGTATTAACCAACCTTCCAAAACACGAAGACAATTAATTTCCCGTGCACGAAATAAAGCTTGAGTAATGAAAACCTTCACTACACAAGACTAGAAGTTGTCCCCTGCCCTGTACTACCTCTTATTATGATTGACCCTTTTCATATTCATTCGGTCATTTATCCTGACAAGATGTAGAGTAACCAACCCTCTAAAGAACGAGGAAAAAATCCGTGCCGAAGGAAACCTTGACCAATGCCAACCTTACGCATGCATGGACAGAAGTTGTCCCCTGTCTTGTACCACCTTTTTATGCAGATTGATCCTTTTCAAATTCATTCGGTCAGCAATAACAATTACCCTGACAACAAGATATAAAGGAGACAAAAACAAATTGTCCGTGCACGAAGGTAAGCTTGACCAATGAAAATCTTTCGCATGCCCATACGTTGCCCAACCGTTGACTGCCTTTTATTGATTGATCCTTTTCAAATTCATTCAGTCAGAAACGAACAGTTACCCTGACAACAAGATATAAACAGTATTGATGCTTGTTGCTTGTTTGTTTATTTGTTTTTTTTCTCCGGCTTATAACTGGACGATATTAGATTATGGCACAGTACCAGAGCAACAGCGCCGTCTGATAGCACAGGAGTGAACAAGACTGATCACACATTTTGTTTACCAGTCACAATGCCAGTGATATGCATCAATGTATAACGTTAGCACGGTGTATGTTACTTCATCTATCTGATGCTGGATTATTCAACTTAAGCAAGTTTGTTATAAAGACATTTATACTACTGACAAAAAAATATCTGCAAGTTCGGAATTTGTCCATCGACGTCAATAATCACCGCATGTAAATAAGGTGTAAAGGTGACCACTCCATACTTCACGCTGAAGGCCGGCCACACAATGAATGTTTTCATGGAAGGGTTATTTCTGATTCTTCTGGTAAAAAGCTGTCATGGCCAGTGTCGACATTGGTCGACTCCCGAGTTTCACTTTGCAAGTAATCGCAAGCTGCAGGGTCATGTGTTTCAGATGAAGGCTGTATCTACTACTGTGATCTGTGGGCGAGACTGCTCTATGGACCCACAGTGTGCATCATTCAACTATGATGCAGGCAGCCATCTTTGTGAACTCAACAATCAAACAAGACTCCAGAGCCCATGTACCTTTGTAGAGAAGCAAGACAGTTTCTACTTTGACGAAAGCAAAAAAACTACCGCAGGTACAGGTAAGATGAATACATATTATCTTTAAAGTACAAACAAAATGAACCGTGATCTGCAAGATTACGTCTTAAACTAGCCACGTTCAAATGTTCACAAATATAAAAAGAAATCCCTTTTGACCAATTAGGCGAAATGTTTAACTCGTCGATTGAACGAGTGGATAATTACTTATGAAAACCACTTAATAAAACTCATAATTGTACCGATGTTTTACAGCTTGTGCTCGGGAGTTTAGCATCGTTGGTAAACCGGCCGAACAAAGTTCAATGCACAACAATGGAGCAGCTGCGGCAGTAGACGGCAGTAGTTCATCCGCCATCACACATTGTTCGTACACCCGTAAGATGAACATCTAAGTAATTTGGCAGGGAAAGGGATAGGAAAGTTAAAGTATTTATTGCAACTATATATCTGCGAGGTGGTGTTAATAATGGCAACCGAGTATAAGGGAATAAATATGTGTTTGGCCGCTAGGGGCCTTGGGGTGGATAATGGCCCGATCTGATACACCGTGCCCTCTGGAGACATGCACACAATAGGGAACAAAAGATTGTATACGTCTCCACAGGGCAATTTCTATAGATGAATACGTCTCCACAAGTTTTTCACGAAATAGATATATGGATTTTACTCAAAAACTAGGAATTTCCAAGGTATATTGATTAAGGTATGTTGATTTGTCGCAAATGGTAAAGTTTTAGAAAACGGATATTAAGTCCGAATTTCAGCCAAGGAAATTAATTCTGGTCAAATAAGAGCATTTTGAAACTGTACTTTCAAACTCGAAAACTTTACTACACGAGAACAAAGAAATGTCTCCATAAGGATGCACATTTCAGTATAAATGAAAGAACCGAAACGAAAGAACTTGCCCAGCCCATTCATTCCCATTTATAAATACCTTCGGCCAAAACGTCACAAGTCAGATATCAATAATTTCCAACGATTTTGTTCAACCCCATGGTCGGTTGTTTTAATTCCAAAAGACAATTTAAGAGGTGCTCTTGACAAGCGAATTTGTGTCTATTTTTTTTCTTGACTCTTTCTTTCTTGGGTTATAATATAGTTGAAGATCCAGCTCCGTGGTGGAGAGTCGATCTTGGAGAGGACCACTGCATCAGCAAAGTCCGAATTCTGAACCGTGGAGACTGCTGCAGTAAGTCATGAACATTCAAACTATCAAGACCGAGAGATTTAGGGATCCTAATTCTTAGCACTGGGGAAGACATTGTACCTTCACCCGTAACTGCTTATTCTTTGGTCGATTTTCCCGGTAATTGTGCAAAAATGCTATAGAGTAACTAACTACAACATAATGTTTACCTTTTTGTCGTAAGAAAAATACAGTTTTTTAGCAAGTTTCTACAATGCCCCCTTAATAATTCGTTCAAAATTTGCTACGCATATTCTGTGTATCATTATGCAATTAAAAAAATCTACAGGAAAGACAAAGCTAATTTTGAAATTAACAAAAAACAGTTTTGGGCAATTTATCAAAACATTATGGCGTCCAGCTTTTTGTTTACGGGAACGATTTACGATAAAATGCACCACCAAGCGTTGGTTGCATTGTCACACTCGATCAATCGCAATCGCTTTTATAACGGACAAACTGTCTTAAATGTAAACAATGGGAAAACTGAAGTTTAAACCAAATCTGTGGATACTTTTCAATTTGCAGGCTATCGCCTGGAAGACGCTGTTGTCCGCGCTGGTGACAACACCACTGTCACCGACAACCCGACTTGTGGCTCACCTGTCACCGCTGCCCAAGCCCAACCACTCGGTTGTACCATCGAGTTTGATTGCTCTCCGGAGTTGAGGGCGCGCTACGTCAGCGTGGATATCCCCGGTAAAGGCATCTTGCAACTTTGTGAGGTCACGGTAGAGGAAATACCCCTGGACCACTGCTCGGGCGAACAAAACTGCCAGTGAATGCGCACACATGTACAAGTACAAGTACGGCGTATTTCATGTCAGCTCTCTGTACCTAGACGTCATTGATAGAGAATAATGAATACATTCTACAACTGTGGCATTAATCCATTGACAAGACAAAATTTCATTCTGTCATTTGACTTTGGGATATGCGTGTAAAACCAAATGCATGCCACGAAGCACTGCATTTATTAATTTATTGAGGGTTTAAGGTGACTGTTGATTGTATAAAGTAATCGTGCCAATTGGTGTTTTGGTAGAAGCACAGCGGTTTAAAACATAACAAAATGACTGTCTGTAAGCCTTTTTTTATTTTTAACAAGTGCGAGTGCAATTGTTTTGGTCAAATGTTGTTGGCCAATTTTCGGGGACAGACAGACCGACCGACCGACAGACAGACCGACCGACCGACCAACCGACCACCCAGTGGCATGTAGAAGCTCCTGCTTAATTGCACTTTGACACTGAATCTGTACATTGAATAACGCAAAGAATTTTTCGTTAATTAAAAAAACACCCAAAAGAAGGATTTAGTTTAGCCTGTATTGAGGAAGTGGACACAACGTCTTAGGAACCATAAAAATTAACAATTACCTACAAAATTTTATGTGAAAATCGCCTTTTTTGTTGAATGTTAGAAATAGTAAAAAAAAATTATAAAAGTAAACATTAATAAAGATGTTGTATATTGATTCAGTTTCTGAGCATGAATTACCTTAAATTATCAGTGGCCGCAATGCTGCTGATATGATCCTTTAAGCCCCCCCCCCCCAAAAAAATAAGGTCTTATAATATATCCCTTAATAATTCATTCTTATTCTGTTAATATTGTGGAAGTTGTCGCAGCGTGCCATTGTGCATAGGACGAATGGTGTGTTTAGAGGTCATATACGTGTAGTTGCGGGTAAAACGTGACAAGAAAACAAAGATTTGGGTCGGACATACAAAGGCACCGGCCTTGGTTTTGAAAATACAAAGAACCTTCATTTTGTTCAGCCTTAGCCCTGTGTGATTCGGAGTCACGTTCATTATTATATCGAGGTATACTAAAGCGCTTTTGTTGCATATCGAGACGCCTGGATAACATCAAACTTCTGTTGTAAACTATGATGGGATGGCGCCGGGTCTCCGGTATTCAAACCTTGAACCTGTGCCTGGTACTTATTGTTAAAAAAGTTGTTGACTCGTCGTGCGGTGCTTGCGTGCAAACACAGGCTATTGAATGATACTCAAGTTGTATGTACATGTACATGTAAGCTCAAGTACAACTACAGCGTATGCATGATGTACATGATACTTCAGATGTACATGTACATGAACGTGCATAATATCATCGTGTATGTACTTGGAAGAAAGATGCAGTACCAGGGGCGTAACGGAGGGGGAGAGGGAGGGGTCAGCCGACCAGTGTTTTTTTTTTTTTAAAGTGCTGCCCCCAATTTACCATATTTAGTTTGACCACATCTGTTCGCAATCCATTACACACCTATGAACGGGTACAAGCTGGCTAGACTGGTTCCCTGACCTTACAATCCAACCGACGTCTATAAACTGCTCCATTTCATCTTAAGTGGGGTCAGGGAACCATGGTCTACAGGAACTTGATTGTTTTTCTTGGTTTTAACGGCATCTACGAACACAAAACTTCAAACAAGTCAGTGTAGCGATATTTGTTACAAAATACTAACCCCCCAATCCATCCATTTCTGAAAATTACAGCAAAAGCAAATGTTGTATATTCCTTGTAAGTGGCGCATTCAGATCCAGTCTTATTTTGGTGCTCGTATTTGAACTCTGAATAAACCTGGCGAGTTGGGTCCATTCAGATTGATAAATAACATTGAGGTATAAAAGAAGCCTAGTCAATAAAAACTCTGGGGAGCAGTTTGTGGAGGTCTGCGATCAGGCCACAACAACTGAAAGAAATGTGTAATAAAGAGCCTCGGTTTCATGTGCCATTATAACAATGCAAATATTTTCCGGCAAATATTATGGGATACATGCCCTTCTGCAGGATATAAAAGCATACCCCATTCCGCCACTCCCTCACTCTGGTGTCTGGTCTCGCTAGCGTTCACTAGGCTTGAGCTCAATTCTTGTTAGAGATCGTTTTTCCTTCCGAGTTTTTGAAATCAAGAGAAGAAGAATGTTTCGCTGGGTAGCTGCTGCTGTCTTGGTGCTGGGACTTGTGGGGTTCCTGACCGCCGACGCCATGAACGAGGTGAGATGGTTTCTTCTCTCAACTCCGTAAAGAATGGCATTAGAGACAAAGTTGGTTCTGGCAGGGCAAACTGAGTTTCATACCATTAAACATGCAGTCATGTACTTCTCTCAAAGAGCATGGGCGTCGCGAGGGGGGAGCAAGGGGGGGGGGGGGGGGGGAATGTCCCTACCCCCCTCCTCTAAAACTGATAAATCGAGAATATGTTGAGAAATACAGGAATTTTTGGGGGAAAATATGTTTTGCCCCCCTCCCTCTAGAAAAAATCCTGGCAACGCCCATGGCAAAGACTACAATATATATATCTTTTTTTGACATGTCAATAATGCGCTTATAACCATCGATTTTGAATAACATGAATGATGTAATAAGTGTCTATAAGAACCTGCCATTAGTCGGATAAGTGTATTAATTCTGACTTTCGCATAAAAAGAAATTGGAAATAAATAGTTATTTATAAAAACAAAAAATTGGGCTTGATGGATCAAAAACATTCGACAGCTGGTCAATGGTCAGTCTCAGCTAGACAGTTTCAGACTGTTCATCATTCTGATTCGTTGGACAGTCTTGATATATACCAGGTGAGTAAAAAAAAACCGGAACCCAAACCCCAAAAATTATAGTTCATATTTAAACAAAAATGTAGCACCAAAAAATATAATGACTGAAACTACTTTTAGATGAAAAAAAAAACTGAAATTGCTCAATCCGTTCAAAGCAGTGGCGTAGCCGGGGGGGGGGGGGGGGGAGGGGAGGGCCCCCCCCCCCCCCCCCCCCATGAAACCTTGTCGCCCCCCCCCCCAGTCGCCCCCCCCCCCTCCACTGAGATTTTGAGATTCTAAAAAAATTATCATTGATCTACATGACGCCCCCCATGAAATGTCCACCCCCCCCCCCCCCCCCCCCCCCCCCCCCCACTGAAAAAGTCCTGGCTACGCCACTGGTTACTTCAAAGAATATCACAATTTAAACACACTGACACATAGGCTGTTTCAGCAATTTTGCCGAAACAGCCCAAAAACAAAATCTTAAGAATATATAGGGTGCCGTCACTTGCGAAGGGTCTAGCCGACCCCCCTTTAATTTTGGATCAATAGAACCCGCCTGGGGTTCCCTTTTCCAGTGGCAGCACATCAGTTAACTTGTAAGAGACCGTCTTAAAATGCCGTTTTTCCCCTTATTCCATGAATGCTCAGGAAGAGGAGTTGGAATTCTTGATTGATCGTGTCCTGAAGGAAGTAACCGAAGACAAGAAGTCTGAAGGTACAGACACATATCCAAGCAAGAACGAAGGAATTCTACATACTTGACAAACATTGCTATTTTTTTAAAATAAGATTTGGCTTTCAATGCAGATATTTCTTTGGAACTCAGTAAGTTCTCAGTAATATCTGAAACTTTGTATGGTGGTAGTGTGAACTGATGAAGGTAACACAGTGTGGAAATCAGTTTTTGGAAGACGTGTGATTCTGAAAAGAACTTGTGGGTTGTGAAACTGTCTGAGTTTTACAACTTATCTTCCAAAAAGAAATTTCCACATGCTATTACCGCTAACCTTCACTAGAACATAATAATTAGCGATGGTTATTTAATACTTGTGAAGGGAGATACTTGCAAATAATCTCCAAAAAATGTCAGTAGTCTTACTTTGTGAAGATTTTGTCTAAAGATTTCTCATCCAGTTTGAATGACTTATCATTCTTGTTTGCAAGATTGAAAGCTCGTGACCGTAACTATCAGCATAATAAACCCCAGCTGCACTAGGAACTTGTTTTTATTCGAGATTTTTAATTGTTTGATTCTTACTTCTATAATAGTCTCCCAAACAGGTCCCAAGCCGCTCTGTATCTTTAGTAAGCCGGCCTCACAAAGCTCGTCCCACGGCAGCGGGCTCTTTCCAGCGGGAAACGCAGTGGACGGCAGCCTCTCTTCAGATATGGCGCATTGTTCGCACACCGGTAAGATATCCACCCAACCCCTTTTTTAATTCGACAGGGCTTGATGCACGACGAATTCACGATCTATGAGATGAGAAAGATAGAACCATTAAAAAAAGTATCTTTAAATTTGAACATTCTGCAGTGGAGAGCAGCCTCATCAAATATTTTCTATTGTTCGCACACCGGTAAGATAACTTTTAGCAATCTCTTCATAGCATCACATTTTAGGGGTATATTTGTAATTCTGTTTATGAAAAAGTTGAGCCAATTATTGAATGCTTTTGTGGTGTTAATTTTTTTAACCCGAAAGGCGCGTCCGTCAGTGGCGCACCCAAGAGGTGGGGGGGCCTCTGGGGCTTGAGCCTCCCCCAAAAGGTTGTAATTTTTTTTCTTCAATTTTTTGTTTAGTGATATTTTAATGTGGCCTATTTTTGAGTAGTGTAAAAGGGGTGTAAATGGCGCCACCAACGTCCACCAAATAGTCCACCTCCCCTCCCCCCCAAAAATATATTTTTTCTGCGGCCAAAAATTTTAGGCAACATTTTTTGAAAAAAAATCAAACTTCTAAAAAAAATTGGAAAACAAGTTTCCCCCCCCCCCCAGCCAAATCCTGGGTGCGCCACTGACATCCGTTGCCCTTTTATTTACTGTCTGGCTGGCTGGCTGGCTGGCTGGAATCTCTCCTATTCTTTTTCCTTTTTCTTGTTCCCCTTTTTACGGGGAGGGGGGACAAACGCCCCCTTGCCCCATCCTAGCAACTCCCATGCAAGCAGCTGATATATTATATTGACCTTTCTTGAGCTATATGAGCTTACTAATATCGTCTCTCATGTTTTTGTTGCTTAGTTGCTCAAACTTCGAATCCGTGGTGGAGAGTCGATCTTGGAGCGGACCACTGTATCAGCAAAGTCGAAATTCTGAACCGTGGAGACTGCTGCAGTAAGTCATTTTATGGTGTCTGTAATCTGCATATTTTCTCGATCCGCATACAAAAAAAACCAGGAAGGTTGGTTGCTCTGTACTATGACGTCATGTGGTTGCACTATACGGTTGCAAAAATACGACGTTTGACCATTTTCACTCCATTTTGTGAAAAAAATTAATGTTAGCATAAATTCCATTTTACTGCATTCAGATTTGGAATCTATTATCCTGGACATGGAAGTTGCATGGAACACTATGGGATAGGAATACATTTTTTGTATAACAAAGTTATGAAGTGATATCAATTAATAAGTATTATTACTGTTTCTGAAATGGAGTCATAATCATCAGCCAAATGATTCCTATTTGCAGGCGAACGTCTGGCAGGCGCTGTTGTCCGCGCTGGTGACAGCACCACTGTCACCGACAACCCGACTTGTGGCTCACCTGTCACCGCTGACCAAGCCCAACCACTCGGTGGTACCATCGAGTTTGATTGCTCTCCGGCGTTGAGGGCCCGCTACGTCAGCGTGGATATCCCCGGTACCGCAACCTTGCAACTTTGTGAGGTCACTGTACAGGAATTGCCCCTTGATCAATGTAAGTTCAGCGAAGCTAGATTGGTTTTATTTTTAGGGTTTCCTTTGCCAATGTAAAAACGCCTTTCAATAAAAATGCATGAGATGTGGCTTAAAGCTTGCTTTTCAAGTTTACAAATGTGTCTTAAAACTAGCTGTTATGAAGGCAAACCATACGAGCATTTTGCAAAACAGACATCTTTGAAACCTCGTTCTTTGGCATTCCGTTCAAAAGTTCCAACATCTTCTCTGTACGAGAAAAGTGGCGAGCGTGTTAATATTACACTGTAAAAACGTTGGGTAAAATACTGTTGGGCAATGTAATTTACCCGACATTGGTATAAAATTACCTCATATTGGGTTGAATTGGGTAAAAACTGTCAAACTATTGGGAAGAATTTGCCCAAGAGTGTAGGCAGTTGATAATTCGTCCAGCACTGGTCAAATTATCAACCCATTTTGCCCAACTTTTTTTTACAGTGTTTTATAACCCTAGAAATGCTTTTGCTATTTGATTTTTGGGAGTCGTATTTTTACTTTCACCAATGTCTCAAAACAGGTTCCACGAGCTTTGATATCGTTGGTAAGCCTGCCTCACAAAGCTCGTCCCATGGCAGCGGAAACTTTCCGGCAGGAAACGCAGTGGACGGCAGTCCTTCATCACAAATGGCGCATTGTTCGCACACCGGTAAGATATCCCCCTCTTTGTTTGAATTCGACAGGGGTTGGTCCCTGGCGGATTCACGATCTTTGAGATGAGATGATGTGAACTTCAACGTGGAAACGTTAAATTTGAACATTCCGTTAGTACTCCTGAATTCTTAGATCCGACGAGATCCGCTGTAAAACAAACAAACAAACAAACAAACAAAAAAGAACAGGCGGCGCATTCGAAACCACAAGACATGGAAAATGGTAGTCGGCCTACATTATACCACTCCTATTTTTGTCTCTGTATAAAAGGGAAGAGCATGAAAAAAAAACATATTCTATCTTTTCATAATGACCCGCCTGATGTATGCGAATCGGCGATGATTCTTTAGTAGCACTTTGAACAACTTTGGTTTGAGAACTATTGCAAGTCTCCTGATTCAGTTACATTTCCTGAAAATGAAACTCCTTCAAGGATTGATCTTTTTAGAAATAACGCCCTCTGTTTTCCCTTTTGAATTAGTTGCCGACACGATGAACCCCTGGTGGAAAGTCGATCTCGAGGAAGAGCAATGCGTTACCAAGGTTACCATCCTGAACCGTGGAGACTGCTGCAGTAAGTATTTCAGAATGTGCATAAATGTGTTTATGGTTCAAGCTCATGAATAAAAATCTTTATAGCCCTTCCCCCATATTTTTTTTCAAGGAGTGATTTTGCTTTACGTGTAGTTATGTTTATTCTGTATTTTCATCGTGTTTATAGGTGAACGACTGCAGGGCGCCCAGGTTCGTGCTGGAATGAGCGGCACCGTCACACAGAACGCGGCATGCGGGGCACCAGTTACCAGCACTCAAGCACAACCTTTAGGAGGGACCATCGAGATTGACTGCGATAAACCGTTGAGGGCGCGCTACGTGAGCGTCGATATTCCGGGCACTGCTACTCTGCAACTCTGTGAGGTCTACGTTGATGTGCTGCTGTCCTCCGGAAGTTGCTAAGCATCTTCTCGACCGGTACCTCCCCGTGAATCAGGAACGGATTTGACGATGCCCATCTTCGAATTAAGACCGATTAACAATCGTATTCTCTAGAGTTATTGTGAATGGATTTTTTTCATGTTAATTCTTTTCACAGGAACCAATATAAACTGGAAATTTTGCTCTTAAATTAGATCTTAGGTACATGTCATACATTGTTACAAATGCAGCACTTCCCCCCCCCCCCCTCCCCAGCTATGGATAGAAATCCCCTCATAAAAAAATGAAGAAAGGGTAACAAGAAAAATAACATAAGGGGGGCAATTAAATAATAGAGTGTTAAGGTTCGTATAATCAGTGCCTCACAACCACGACTATATACTCTCTCCCACCTTTTAACATATTACGAAGGAAAACAAATTTGATATTGTCCGCTTTGAAGAGCGCCCCCATTAGTCAAATTGTATTCCCTCTTCCCCTTTCTGACGTCGTAAAAAAGGCAGCCACTTCATACAGCATTAGCATTGTGCCACAGTGCACCAAGGCCATGAAAAGTCCTAGTGCCCCCCCCCCCTTTGCTTTTCATATTCAATTTTGGCCGGAAAATTGTCCGACCCACTTTTTCGGGAACAGAACAATGTTTGCCCCCTCCCCCCCCCCCCCCAAAAAAAAAAATTTGTTGTTTTTGCGGCCTTGCCCACACACACTTTTCTCGTGAAGCAGCCGGGCGAAAGAAAGAAAATCTGGCTACCAGCCCTCTTTGCACGGTCGTGATATTGCCCCCAGTGGAATAACATCGTGGCAACTCCCATGCTTTCAGATAATACAGTAGTCCTACAATGTGTGGTTGTCGGAATTTTCAACTTAAGGACATCACATTGGTGTTATATTTTAGCTTCATTTTGCTTTTATTAAGGGTTGAAAGGAAATATGAAAAACAACACAGAACGGTGGTGGTGTCATATTGTTTTATAATAGTTATATTGTTTTTGTTCTTTTTATTTGTTTTTACGTTTGAATTTATTGTTTGGTGTTATGCATGGTTAATTGTCAAAAAGGCTTATTAAAACTTCCCTCAGCATGAAAATTTGTCTTGTCCGTGATCTCTTTTTTCTTCGTGATATCTAGCAGGCTAGTAAAGTCATTGACCTTAATACGCATGCGTGAAATATATCACGTGATTGAATTAATATTTCGTATGATATTTTAGTTATCGACTAGTATATAGACTTATCGTTAATGTCACTCGCTATGGCAAGGCGTAGTAGTATTTTTTGAATATCTAAAATACCGTGTCGTAAAATGTTGATGTCTCGTGGAATTATCCGTGAAAATGAAGTCTTATCTGAGTTGTTTGAGTTTTAATTTAAGGTCACTCATGCTCCAAACACAGAATCAATATTACATCTTTATTAATTTTTACCGGTTTTTTTTTTACTACGTGTATTTCTAACATTCAACAATAAAGTCATTTCATATTAAGTTTAGATCCCTGATGGCTCCAGTCACGTTTATATCGTTTCATATTCTTTCTTATTGATTTTAAATCTTGAAAAGTTAGTAATTTCAAAATGATTTCCCTTTTTGCCGAAATGGTTTCTAAACAAAGCTGCATCCATTATTGATCTAAAGAACAAAGACATCTTTCTTTAAGATCAATCAATATTTACATGCTACATGTCCCGGGTTCCTAAGACGTTTTGTCCACTTCCTAAATACAGGCTTAAACCATCTTTTTGTCTTTTTGAACCTAAATAATAAAGTTCTTTGTGATATTCAAAGAGCTAAATCTACCTATTCAGTGTCAAAGTGAGATGAAATTCTAAATTTTGTATCAACAACGATTTTTTAAAATAAAATAAGGTTTACGGAATAAAAGAAGTTTACAACGGTCGCCTTTGTAAAACCTTAATTAATTAATTAATTAATTAATTAATTAATACATGCAGCGCTTTTTGTCGTCATAGCTATGCACTTGTTTATACTCGCATACCTAATCCCAAGTCAAATAACTGAATGAAATCTTTCTTTAAGATCAATCAATATTTACATGCTACATGTCCCGGGTTCCTGAGACGTTTTGTCCACTTCCTAAATACAGGCTTAAACCATTTTTTTTAAACCTAAATAATAAAGTTCTTTGTGATATTCAAAGAGCTAAATCTACATATTCAGTGTCAAAGTGCGATGAAATTCTAAATTTTGTATCGACAACGATTTTTAAATAAAATAAGGTTTACGGAAAGTGATGTTTTTATGTTTTGAAACGAAGTCTACCAAAAAAAAAAAGTTGGCACGATTACATTATACAATTAACGGTCGCCTTTGTAAAACCTTAATTAATTAATACATGCAGCGCTTTTTGTCGTCATAGCTATGCGCTTGTTATACTCGCATACCTAATCCCAAGTCAAATAACCGAATAAAATTCTCTCTCGCCAATGAATAAATGCCCCAGTTGAAGAAACTATTCAGGGTCACAATGACGTCTTTAAAAAAAACTTGCTGAAGAGAGCTGAAATAAAACACGCCGCACTTGTACATGCATAATGCGCATTCACTGGCAGTTTTGTTCGCTCATGCGCCACTGCTTTCACCAGAGCAGTGGTCCAGGGGTATTTCTTCTACCGTGACCTCACACAGTTGCAAGATGCCCGTGCCGGGGATGTACTGGATATCCACGCTGACGTAGCGCGCCTTCAACTCCGGAGAGCAATCAAACTCGATGGTACAACCGAGTGGTTGGGCTTGGGCAGCGGTGACAGGTGAGCCACAAGACGGGTTGTCGGTGACAGTGGTGTTGTCCCCACCAGCGCGAACAACAGCGCCAGTCAATCGATGGCCTGCAAATTGAAAAGTATCAACAAATTTCGTTTCAACTTCATCATTGTGTGGAGTGGAACCTTTAGTATCTCATAGTATCCCAAGAGGGCGCTCGTCAGGACATCCATAAGTTATCCGCTTTCTGGTAAACGTGGAGTTCTAGAGTTGTCCGTGATTTTTGGGGGACAAATATTAATTTATACCCATTGACCATCAACCACATGAATGTACTGATTATATAGACTCCTAAATAATAAGCATTTCTGTGCAAATATCCAGAAAATCGACCAAAGTATAGACAATTACGGTATGGGTACAATGTCTTCTCCCGTGCTAAAAATTAAGATCCCTAAATCTCTCGGTCTTGATAGTTTGAATGCTCATGACTTACTGCAGCAGTCTCCACGGTTCAGAATTCGGACTTTGCTGATGCAGTGGTCCTCTCCAAGATCGACCCTCCACCACGGAGCTGGATCTTTACCTTTTATAACCCCAGAGAGAAAGAAAGGGTCAAGAAAATGCAAAGTCGCTTCGGCTTGTCAAGATCACCGCTTCAATTAAATTTTTTAATAAAACAAATTGACTGGTTTAATCTACGTCAACAAACCAGCATCTTTTCTTTCTCCAATATTGAGTTAAGTCATTCGTGTTACTTGGTTTCTCCCAGAAATAAACGTCAAATCACTTTAATATGTCGTTCTGTTATAATGGACTTCATAATTACAATCTGTAGGAAAACATATTTCTCAATCGTTATCGTTTATCACCACCGCTTAGGTATAGTTGCAATGGAAATTACTCTAGATTTTCCAAGCCAATTCTCCTAAGAGCTCATCTGACTTACTTGTGTGCGAACAATGATGTCTGGCTGATGAACTACTGCCGTCCACCGCGTTACCAGCTACTCTAGTTTTGTGATCTGAACTTTGTTGGGCCGGTTTGCCAACGATGCTGAACTCCCGAGAACCATCTGTAAAACAGTGGTAAATAAAAGAAAGCAAGAGATACCTTTTGTGAACTTCACGTTTGGTTCTGCATAAATTGCAGCAATTACGGGCTTTATAAGTGGTTATAAGTTATAATTAGTATCCACTCGTTTAATCGATGAGATAAACAAGTTTACCTTATTTTGTTCGAATGAATTCTTTCGTTTTTTTGTTTCTCAAAATTTTGAACGACTCGGAGGCTGATTGAAGACAAAATCTTGCATTTCATGTCGATGCACAGTTTGCAATGTTAATTCATTTGTACAATGTACTTTATTTGTTTTAAAAGATAATGATGGATTCATTTTACCTGCACCTGCTGAAGTCTTTTTGTTATCGTCAAAGTAGAAACTTCCTTGCTTCTCTACAAAGGTACATGGGCTCTGGAGTCTTGTTTGATTGTTGAGTTCACAAAGATGGCTGCCTGCATCATAGTTGAATGATGCACACCGTGGGTCCATAGAGCAGTCTCTCCCACAGATCACAGCAGAAGATACAGCCTTCATCTGAAACACATGACCCTGCAGGTTGCGATTGCTTGCAAAGTGAAACTCGGGAGTCGACCAATGTCGACACTGGCCATGGCAGCTTTTTACCAGCAGAATCAGTAATAGCCCTTCTATGAAAACATTCATCGTGTAGCCGGCCTTAAGCGTGAAGTATGGAGTGGTCACCTTTACACCTTAATTACATGCGGTGGTTATTGACGTCATGGTTATGCATGTCAAATAACCGAATGAAATTCTGTTTCATTGATGGATACATTCCACAATTGTAGATACCATTTATGTCAGTAACATAAATGTCTTTATAACAAACTTGCTTAAGTTGAATAATCCAGCATCAGACAGATGAAATTAAATACACCGTGCTAACGTTATACATTGATGCATATCACTGGCATTGTGACCGGGAGACAGTCTTGTTCGCTCCTGCGCCATCAGATGTTGTTGCTCTGTTACTGTGCCATAGTTTGATATCGGCCAGTTACTAGGGCTCCGGTGAAAATAAACACAAAACATCAATTTGTTATGTCTTGTTGTCAGGGTAACTGTTTGTTTCTGACCGAATGAATTTGAAAAGGATCCATCAGTAAAAGGCAGTAAATTGCTGGCTACAACTTATGGGCATGCGTACGATATTTATTGCTCAAGCGTTCCTTCGTGCACGGCAAACTAATTGTTTTGTTTTGTTCTTTAGAAGGTTGGCTACCTTGTAGTCAAGGTAACTGTTAGTGCTGACCGAATAAATCTGAAAAGGATCAATCGGTATAGAAACGTAGTACAAGGCAGGGGACAGCGCCTGGCCATACATGCGTTAGATTGTCATTGGTCAATGTTTCCTTAGTGCACGGATTTTTTCCTCGCTCTTGGAAGAAGCGAATGAATTTTAAAAGGTTCAACGGTAAAATGCAATAAATGGCAGGGGACAGCGTCTTGAAGATTTTTATTGCTCAAGCGTTCCTTCGTGCACGGCAAACTAATTGTTTTGTTTTGTTCTTTGGAAGGTTGGCTACTTGTAGTCACGGTAACTGTTAGTGCTGACTGAATAAATCTGAAAAGGATCAATCGGTATAGAAACGTAGTACAAGGGAGGGGACAGCGCCTGGCCATACATGCGTTAGATTGTCATCGGTCAATGTTTCCTTAGTGCACGGATTTTTTTTCCTCGCTCTTGGAAGAAGCGAATGAATTTTAAAAGGTTCAACGGTAAAATGCAATAAATGGCAGGGGACAGCGTCTTGAAGATTTTTATTTTTCAAGCTTTCTTTCGTCAACGGCGGGAAATTTATTGTCTTTGTTTCTTGGAAGGTTGGTTACTTGAACGTTACCACAGAAAATCATACCACACAGAAAAACAAAGGGTATCCAGTTTAATGAATTCTGTGGAGCAGGTTTGGATGTCGACTGCCTTTCGAGACAATTTACTGATGTTATGAGGGAAGGCAATTAATTTCGGTGTTTTCAATATTGTTTTGGTGATGCAAGAATTGTTAGTGACACAATCGGATCCCTTCAACAAGTTCTTCTTGCATAGTAGTTGAACGATGTACACTTTGGGTCAAAAGAGCAGTCCCTCCCCAAGATCACAGCAGAAGATATTGTCTTCATCGGAAACACGTGACCCTGCAGGTTGCGATTGCCTGCAAAGAAAACTCAACCAATGTCGACACTGGCCATAGCAATTTGTCAAAATAAAAATTGAAACGACCATCTTTCATAAAATTGAAAAGAAAATTGTCCAAGAGGTCGTAATCTTTAATTTCAAGTGAAAAACAAAGTGCAACCTTGCTCCTGAGCGCCAACAGGTTGCTCTTTTTCTGTCCAATTTTGTGTCTTTAATAGCAAGCGGTGCGTGTAGCAAAAAATTGTCCTAATTTTCATCCTAAAATAACTACGTTGTTTACCAATGGAATTAAGGTAAAATTTCAGATCATGTCAACAACTTGGCATGACAACATTTATGGAGCGAGTTTCATCAGCTTTGTGCAAGATGGGTGAGATTTAAACGCCCCGCGAAAAAAAGTTTGAGTTGGGGATCTGACAATTTATTTTTCGTAAGCCATTACCCCGGCAAACCGATTCCTTACTGTTTCGACCTCCCGCGATTAATTATTCATGACACGACTCTCTCTCCCAGTGGTCTCCAGAATTTCCTCTCTCTTTGATACCGTAGAGGGGGTACTTGTACACGAAGTTCATTGAGCGCATCCATTCCAAAAAAACACATAAGGGCGCTGTGCAGCGGCTGGCGAACTCACGGACTGGATGACAAGTACATGCAATAATCATGCGTCCTGGTTGGCCTCGCACTACTAGAGCATGAAGTGTTTTACACGTATGCGCAATTCTAGTCAAATGAACAGGTCATGGGGATTTTTTGTCGGGTATGCCTTTCCACCTGAAACAATCTAATTTAGATATAACTTAACAGGGTTACAAGTCTACACCGAGGCATGAAGTCCATATTTTTCCAAATTTAAGTCTAGTCGTTTCATCCTCAAATCACTCAAAGTTGTAAGTCAAATTATGTTTTCTCAAGTCGTTGTCCGAGTCACATCTCGCAAACATGTCATTTTTTCTTCACGTGTATCTGAAGTAACTTTTCCAACATCCTTTATGCTTCAAAAGCAATTCAAGTCACGTACAGTGATTGAAGGAAACGTCAAAGCGATTAAACATTATCAAAATGATGAACGATACCTATCTAAAAACGAACACTGCGACAAAAACGGCCATTAATTAGACAAATTGTGAAAACAAAATTACCAGTTTTGGAGGTTTTTTTAATATTCATGTCGTTTAACATATGCACTTTGCATGCTGTTGATACTTTGGAAATGTTTTGTTGTCACAAAATCGGCCCAAGGTTAGTCAAATGTTACGGCATAGTTTCGTTTTATATCTTTCTTTACAATACCATGCCGTAAAAATGCTAATATAAAGTCATTCATGCTCCAAAACTAAAAATATATCATATTTAGTTTTTTTCCCATTTTTTCTTTACTATTTCTAACATTTAACAGTAAATTCATTTCATATATTATTAGTAGATCATTAATGGATCCCGTCAAATGTCTTTTCTGTATGAATTATTTTCTTCTTTTTAATTTAAAACTTAGTAATTTCAAAATGATTGTTTTCTTCCGAAATGGTTTCTTGTTAAAAGCTGCATCCATCATTGATTTGAAAAACGAAAACATTACAAAGTTGGATCATTAACATTTACGCGAGCTACCTATCCTACAAATTTTCTAAAGACGTTTTTGTCCACTCCCTAAATTTAGACTAAACATATTTTTATCTCCTTTTTCAACTTAACCATTTTTCTTTTATCATCCAAACAGCGTAATACACAGTTTCTGTGTCAAAGTCCATTGAAATTTGGCGTTATTACAAACAATACAATAACATTGTTAACACATTTTTCTAATTCAAATTCAAGTTACCCACGGCTTTTACCAAAACACCAATTGACTACGATCACTTAATACAGAGATTATAAAACAATCGAGAGACACCACTTATTTAGAGATAATAAGCAATTTATAATAATCACTTAACATAGAATCACAATCATTACCCTGACCAAAATAATTATAATCACAAATCTGACTCGCTTCACCAAAAGGTGGCTCAAGAAAACACAGAGTTGTAACGAGTCACTGATTTTTGTGACTCGAGTCGAGTCGAGTCATTTTGAAGTATTTAATATTTTTCTTCGTTTTACCCTTTTTAATCAATGGTACTTAGTCGTCCGTGCTCACACAGGTGCAGGAAAGGTGCATAAAACACCTGCTCTTTCGGCTTTAATGATACCAATATTTGAATCAAGTGCATGATTGTAACACATTATTCAGTTTTATTTACAACGTAAACAACACGAGTAAATGTCCCGGTGTTGTTTGCTTTTTCTGTAGGTAAACTGTATTATAAATGGGGATTTAATTACTTCATATGTGGTTTTACTAGAAGCTAATGGTAACAAGTTTTAAACTGATAATTAAAGACGTGTTTCAACTTATGTATTGTTGAATTTGAAAGTAATATCTTTTAATTATCGATGGTAAGTTTTGTTCACCACCTTTGGCAGTCTTTGCCACTTACAAGAATTACGCTGTAATAGTAGTTTCCCGCAATTTAATTTTACTCTGCTTCAGTGAATAATTCAATTTCCATGGAAACCATTGTAAGCCATTGGCACTTTGACTGCAAGGAGTTTGGCAGTGCATATATATACCATTGAGATGGCAACCATAGACGAAGCATTTTCGAAACCACCACCCACCCCCATATTTATTGGCACAGTTTGAGGAGCCGACTGAATCATTGTCCTGATCCCAAGTTGAGAAATGACGTGCATTGTGATGTGCTAGTGCGTCACCTGCTGTGCTCGTGGGATTGAATGAGCCAACACGGAGTGTGTATTTGTCTCCCGAGACACCAAACTCACCGTACTCTGCCCAAGCCGTGTTGCCCTTCCAGTCCTCCAGGTCAACACGAAGTTGCCATTGTCCAGTCTCAGTCAGGAGGCGTAGAGCTTCATTCCCCAGCCAGAACTCACCAGATAGATTGCCAAAGCCAGATTGGTAGTCAGTCCAGTTGCGAGTAAAGTTAACGGAGCCATCTTGACGTCGCTGAAAGACAATCCAGCCTCCTCCGTCAGTCTCCATGTCACAGTAGACCTGTAAGCCCTCAGCGATGCCATAAGGATAGATGGTGTAAATAGCACTGTCATAACCAGCATTTCGCAACATTTGACAGCTCGTGTACTTCTCAGCATCGGGCGCCGAAAAGAAAGACGTTTCGTAGTTACTGTCAAAGTAGAAACTTTCTTGCTTCTCTACAAAGGCATATGGGCTCTGGAGTCTTGTTTGATTATTGAGTTCACAAAGATGGCTGCCTGCATCATAGTTGAATGATGCACACTGTGGGTCCATAGAGCAGTCCCTCCCACAGATCACAGCAGAAGATATAGTCTTCGTCTGAAACACATGACCATGCAGGATTCGATTACTTGCAAAGTGGAACTCGGGAGTCAACCAATGTCGACACTGGCAATGGCATCTTTTTACCAGCAGAATCAGTAATAGCCCTGCAAGACTCATCTTGGGGTCTGAATCTTGAAGTTTGATCCGATCAACTTCCAAACTGTGCGCTAGCTGACCTCGTATCGTTATGCACTTGTTTGTGCACCCATACCTAATTCCAAGTCAAAATGACCGAATGAAATTCTGCTTTATCAATGGACGTAGATTCAATTAGTCAGTATCAAAAAGGTCTTTATAACAAACTGGCTGAATAATGCAGAATCTGATGCACCTACATGCATTTAGCTGGCAGTGTGACATTAGAAGAATCTTAAAATGATTTGTGATCAATATTGTCAACACAGATGTGTGCAAGATAATGTTGCCTTGCAGCTACTGTGCTTCAGTCATCAAGCGGCGAAACAAACAAGCATCGGTTGTTAGGCTTCATCTAGTTGTCAAGGTAACTATGTAAAACATTTAAGTGCTAACGTCATGGATATTAAAGGGTTTAATAAGTGAAACGTACTAAAAGGGGCGTGCATGGCCATGCATGAAGCTTTCGTTAATCAAGCTTTCGTCCGTGCACGGGTAATTTGTGCTTTGTTGTTGCTCAATTGAAGGTCATTGTTTGGATGTGTACATAGGTCCTTCCATGGCAATCTATTAACGTAATGGCGGTAGGGAATTAATTTTAGTGCTTTCAATATTGCTTCAGTTCGTATATCGGCGATGAAGGCAACTGTCAGTTGCAATTTGGTTTTCAAAAACATAGTTAGGCTCCTTCAACAAGGTTTAATTTTGTAATAAAAAAGGTGCTTCCATTTCTTATTGCCATTTTATGGGGTCTATAGCAGAATGTCAACTTTACGCGAACGCATGCGCAGAAATAAAACGTTTGCATGCAGGAGCATAATTTACGACACAGATTGAAAATGTTATTTTGCTTGAAATCATTTCATTTTATTAGTCTTCTCTCGGTGAAATACATTACAATAAAATAAGTACATGTATATGTCTAAACAAGGGGGCATATTTTGGAGGTTTACTCTCGCGAACATTTTAAGATGCATAGTTATGAAGGCGTTTTGTAGAAACAAAAAGGGCTAAAGTTTTCAAAGTCTGATACCAACTGGAAAACTTTATAGTTGTTTGTAATTAAGTGTATCGATGGTAGATGAGTTAAAATCGGGTTTGTTTGAATTTATTTTGGACCAAAAGTACTAAAGTAGGATACTACAACTGTTCTCAAGTTCATATCAAATCAAACTTTTAGTTACCGTCACATGTCTTTTCAAATTTTGTTATCGAAAATTGGAGAGTTGAAAATAGTGAGCTTTAGTTTTTAAACTAAATCGTTGGTACGTGTACTGTGTGTTTGTTTAAGCCAATTCAGATCGGAGCAAGCAACCACCCGAGGTTTGACAATATTCTTTCGAACAAACTCATTTGGAGCAAATTATCTGGGGAAAAATCCGCAAGTTGACCAACAATCCAGTTGTCCATGCCGTTGAATCTCGCAGAGTTGAATTAAGCTGTAACGAAAATGAAAGAGAAATTTTTTTGCCTTGGAATTAGCCTTGTTCAATGCGGTCTCTCGGCTTTTTGTCGAAGGGAGATAATCGGGCCCTAGCACCCACAATCAACGCGGTTACGTGCGTGTACCACCGACCCTTGTCCGTGCGTGTACCACCGACCCTTGTCCGTACGAACGGTTCGGTAGTAACACAACCAGCAAGCACACACACGTGAGTACGGACTGTACGCATGGTGTAATAAGGCAGTAAATGTAGGCCTACTATGTTCTGCATGTGGGTGTACGTACGTACGTGTGGGGGATATACGCGCCGCGTGGCCTGTCGAACGACCCCTTACGCGGACTAGCTCATGCATGTACATGTACTTGTACATGTACATGTACATGTACATGTACTGTGTGTGCATGGCTGTTGTACGAGTACGTGTGTGATGTACATGTACGTGCGTACGTACATGTACATGTACAAGCATAGCCTTGCTGTATGGTACAAGTTACTTTCTCACTAGCAGCGTACGGGCATCGATATGTGCACGCAATTATGCCTTGCCAAGTTGATTAGGGATTTTGTTATCGGCGATTTTTTTTTTTATCGGCGAATCGATAAGCCCGCAACGCCTTGGTCAAGGCTACCTTGGAATAAGAAAAAAATTGTGAACAAAATTAAAGTGAAGCATGACACTCAATACACCGCCGCCTCTTGGTGGCAGCATTTACGAACTGGTTCATACGCATGCTCAGTATTCCCAAAGCAATTGGAAAATGGTGCTGGTCCCGAACAAGCATTTTTTCGGCAACCGGCCACGATGTATGCAAGTCATCTGTGCGCAAAGATCTCTTATTCTGGCATTGAAATTAACATATAGAGCACACATGCATGTGCATTCATCGATATCAGGCCTTGCATCCGTGACTTTGAGCAATTTGTGAGACATGTGGAGGCCAAAGGACTGCAAAGCCACTTCTGGCGAGGGTTGTCTTGTAAGTTGTATACCTTTTTGTATCGGCAACTTACCCTCAGTGCTTTCACATAGACCGTCCGTCATCTTGATGTCATCAAGCGCCATGTCACTCAGGTGAGATTTGCCGACAATTCCAACAAAACGCAGCTGTTATCGTAAAGATTTGTAATCGGGAAATTAATGGATGAAATGTGGAATCCGTTAAATGTTCTCCATTTTTTTTTTAACTCAGTGTAGTAAAGTGTAGAGTTGTATCTTTTCATCACGAGTCCATGAAAATCTGAATATTCCCTTGAATACTGTGCCTAATTCTGTTTTCCAGTCATTGACTGAGTGATATAAGCCCCATGGCCGGCCATGTATTGGATCCCGCCTTGCGTTTTCCTAAGGCCTACTTTTTACAATATCTTGGGGTGTTTTTTTTACCGTAAATGCAACGAGTAATTTTTAAGAAATCATCAAATTTGATGACACTCGCCATAAAAGAGAAAATTAAAGACATATAATGAAATTGTAAACAGTTCAAGGGTTTTGACATTCATGTGAGTAGGCCTAGCCATAATTTTTGAAACTTACCCGGAACAGCATATTCGGTTCGATGTTGAAGCTAGCCGGGTACCAGATGTTCTTCTCCGTCGGTCCAGATCGGGTCCATCTGATCTCGCCCAGGGGGCCATTAGGGTCCGCTGAGGCGGTGTAGGCGTTGAGAGTACCCATGTCTGCTCCCCACATGCTGTACCAAAAGGACAGGCAGCTTCCTTCGGCGGAGCTTTTTGCCTCGACACTGGTCAGGTTCCCCTTGAAGCCTTCACCACGGTATGATGCCTCCAGGTAGATGAAATGTCCCTCCTCTATTAATTAAATGCAAACATTTATTCAAATTAAGAACAACGACAGTTCGCTTGTGAAAACCCTCCTGTAAGATTGATTATGTATTAAATGCGTTTTTCCCAATGAAATTGCTTAAATAAAACAAACAAGGTAAGGCAGGCCTACCATTATCATGTTGCGGCCATCTTGATTTTTTCCCCATTCAAATCAACGTAACCAAAGCGAGGCTGGAAGGAAAAATGGTTCTGGTTCCTTTTTGCACAAAAACATTATCATTCATTACTGTTATTGGATACAGGGAACATGACTGAAATGGTGGCAGCATGATAAAGGTGTAATAAAGGTAGTCCCAGAGCTTAATTCATTTGATTCCGAATGGCTATTCACTGGAAGTCTTTTCATGCATCTGGTCTACACAATGGACAGGATTTAACCCACTCATTGGCGCTATGGAGTAATCCTATACGATAGCACTGCCCAGATCACATGTGACAGTAAGCAAAACTCATGATTGGCCTTGTGATTGACCTTTGATCGTCTCAATTACAACTCTTTTGACCAGTCTGTGACAGCGTTTATACTCAGCTTACCAGTTTGCAAAGTGTGGTCGAGCCAGGGGCCGGTGCCGGAGGACCAGGTATACTTAGCACGGCGGAACCATGGGTAGGCAGTGCCTTGGCTGTAGGGGGCGTCGTCGGTGGTGTAGCCGCAGGCGTAGATGTCAGTCGACTCGAAATCACAGTCTATGGTTCCTTCCTCAGCTACAAGAAAGGTCGAGAGGTAAACGATAAATACAATGTTAATTTTACGAATCAGACTATTTTTAAACCCCAAAGATGTGCCCACATCTGCTTACATGGGGAACTACGCTTGCTTTTAGTGTAATTATGAGGGAGAAGGAAGAAGTACGTTTGGAAAGTTGCTATTTCTTTTAACTTTACCTTTTCTAGGCTAGATATAATGCATATTTTAAATAAGAAGAGCCACGCGGGAACCAGTAAGTTCCCATGCACATATTGAATTGCGCATTAAGCGATCTGCAGTAGAACGAAATGAACACTTACCTGAGACGTAGCTTGAGGCAAGAGACGCTGTCAGACGAGAAAATATTGAGAGGAAAAAAATGTATATTTTAATGTATCAGTTAATTTGTAATCGAATTATGTTGATAAAATATTGGCAATTTTATTATGCGGGGCTTATGCTTAAATTCACTTTGTGTCATAAAGTTGTTAAATAACTTTTCCATCTGCTAATTTTCTTTTTACAACATCAGTTTCCGGTAAGTTGTATCTTACTATTGACATTTTATTTTACTGCCAAAATTCAGATGTGTAGGGCGTCTGATAGAACATTATCCAATGGATGAAAAAAGGTGAAGTATGAGTAAAATATCATCACAGCTTTACTCTTTGCCGGGTCAATAAGTCGAACCTTTTTTGTACGTACAACCCGTATATCATGGCAAAGAGCAGGTGCTATCTAGTTGCTTCAAATTTGCACTATTAAAGACATTAAATAACTCCCCTACTCACCAAGCGCCAAACACACAATCCACATAAAAGCCATCTCCAGATGTGGTGATTTATCGTTGGTATAGTTGTGCTCAGCGGATTCGGATGGCTGTAACGCACTCCACTGCTCGTATTTATATACTTTCCACCAATCCTGAAGTTTGCTTCGACCAAACAAACCCAGTTTCGTATCACCATTCTATCTATGATTGACAAGATTTCTCTTTCTCTTTATGTTCAAAGATGGGAAGTTGCCATCCGGGCCTGTGAACTTGGCGTATTAATTAAACAAACTCAATTAAGAGACAAAAATCACGAGATAACTAAACCGATTTCGGTATTTGTTTTGATAAAATAATCATCCTTGTGAATCACGAGAATGATTGAGAATAGCCCACTTGACAATAACCCTATAATTTGTGAGTTTTAATTTAAATTTGACGTGTTCTCATCATTGTTATCTTGTATTTGTCCATTTTATCTTATAGGAGCAGAAAATGACAGCCGTTCATTGTCAAATACAAATGCATCCTTTACAGTATTTGTCGACTGTCATTTTAATCGCAAATGGTAACTTTTATTTTCGGCTAATTGACGCTGTTATCTGATATTAGAAATTATCTTGAGAAGTCAATTCCGTTGACTATCTTTGTTTACACAAACTCTGAAATAGAACCACTCGTAAAGTACAGTTTCCTAATTGCAAAAGGGCGAGGCTTTAAATCTTGTGGTTTGGGAATTCTGCCAAGTTTTGAGGACGGCATAAAGTGAAAGCCATTTCAAAAATTATGGACATTTTTTATGAAATAACTCGAAAAAAATATAAAACCTTCAATTTTAAGTTTCGATTCTCAAAAGTCTGGATTAAATTGGGCGTAGGGTCAAATTAAAGCGAAAACATATTTTTGAAATTTCAAATAGATTGCAAGTGGGGCCTACCTGTTAGTTCAAAGAGAAGCTCCTTACCAAATTCATCATGGAAAATCCTTTGATTGTTTAAGCATCAAGGCGACGGAAGACAATCAACACTACCCCTGCCCTTTCCCTGCCCCCTCCTGCGTGCGCCGTGCGTGATGTTAGCATATTGACCCTACACTAACAATGATCTTGCGCGTGACAAACAGCAATGAGTATACAGTAACGCAAGTGTTGTAATACATTTTATTATTTTTTCGAGTTGCATAATTTGGTATATTTTCACAATTTTGTTTACAGTATTGAAAACAGTATCTCACAAGAAGCCAGACCTATGTCTTGTGGGAAAGGGTTTATTTACACTGTGTTGAGCCATGTTCGCTTACATCTAGTGTCCTGCCTTCTTATTTTCCGGCCTTCAAATAAACGATGTATTATGCATATATCATTTCGTTTGAGCCCTCACCAAAATCCATTCATAACGTACATGGCGCCATCAACCTCAGAAGCCAAGACAATTTTGTTCACATAATGCCACTTCTTCGTTGATGGCGCCATTTACTTTGGTAATTTCCATGGCCAAGTTCGTGACTTCATTTTAAGTTAACCTTTATTTTAGTTAAAGTTATTTTCACACTGACACCATCGAAAATGAGATCTCGACCCAGCCTCGATAGTTCTGATCCGTAATAATGGATGTACACTCAGTGTGATACTTAGGGAATAATTATCTTATTTATAATTTTGCAGTCTCCACCAATAATTGTCTTCACGTTATCTTGCACCAGAGATGATAGTTTGCAGTCAGCGGCCGTTGGGTAATTTTACCCTGACCGCTGGCAAGATCGGTACATGAGCAATTATGGGCAATGCCACACAATGTTAATTCCTTAAAATGTTTGGTATGCCATATCTTTAATCTGCAGAGCAAGCCCCAGACAGCCCCTTTAACAAGTGTACGGCAGCGCTGCATGTTTACTCTGCAGTTACTGATTAACACTATTCTATTGTTCAAAATGGCGCAATATACCTAAACTGGTACTCGCGTAGCAGCGGCAATGAAGAAACCGAATACCACAGACTGAATATAAATTCTGCAAACTAATACGGCTTATTGTGATTCCGACGGAAAACAAATAGTTGGTACCGGGCGCTGTTAAGCAGGCGGTCAAAGTACGCTAGCACGGCAGGGTGTGTTGTGTTTCATTTTGATTGTGAGTAAATGGCCTCTGGACCGGATTATTATCAAGTAGTTCCTGCTCAGATATGCAATCATCAGAATTTTTTCTGAAGTACGAATTTATACAGGTATCAGTTCACAAGGGATGTATATAGCATTACGTACGTGTGAATAGAACCAATCCCTGATTTACCGATTACTGCTGAAAGGAACGTGAAAAGAACGTACAACATATGTCATAGACTTCTCCGTGTATATGTAAGTAAATGTTCGCCTGTTCTGTGATTTTTTAAAGATTATAGTCTGATGAATACAAACTGTTTTTGGAAGGAATGCAAATTATATAGATTTTACCATAATTATTACGTCATGATCAGTCATACTTAACAGCCCGTACGTCACGGCACATCCTGAGTTATGTAGAACAATCCCTTCATTCAGATTCAACCATTGTAATCCCTCATTAAAATTAAGTTAAACTTCTCTGCGTGAATGTTATTTTTATGATCAATTTTGTAACTTGGTATACAAATGGCAATGCTACCTTCTTCGTTATCAAAGGGTAGGCCTACAATACCGCATTCCTCTTTCTTTTTGGTTGTTTCCTGGTTGTTTTCTTTCAAATCCTCGATAAGTTGGGCAGCTTCTGTTCACCAGAAGTTGATTTATTGCGGTATACGTATTATACTATAATTATGTAAACCTACACATGCATGGCGCAGTACTGACATGTCTCTATTCAAATACAAAATAATTAACTTCTTTGTCGTTTATACCAATAATTTGGGGTGCGCAAATGCATCGTTTTCTTTCGTATTTCCCCGTACAGTAAGAAAATGGCGGCCGTATGGTTGATGCAGCTATCGCTTGTGTTGCTCGTGTCCAAGTTTGGTAAGGTTTTGTCATATTATAATCATCCGCCGTAATATACGTGTTACGAATCCTTATCAGATTATTGAAGACTATAGGATAATCTTGTTTTAACAATATAATTTAAGAGTTCCTAAAAGAACTCTTAAATTATAATTTCTGTAAGGAAGTATCTTAATTTCAGGTGCTACATAGGCCTATCTATGATTACGTTTCACAAGTTTCACACGGTTTGACGATTTGTAATTTGTCTGTGGTATTGAACAACAATAAAGCTACCGCGCGTGGACAGAAATACATGACGACCGCAGGACGTTAGAAAAGGCACTTGTCCAAAAGGAGGGGGAGAATTGAAATACCCCCACCCCATATACCTCCCCCTCCCTCCCCCCCCCCCCATGCTATGCCACTGAAATAAATATAGGATAAGTATGAAACTCGCAATGCCTTACTTCTTGTTTTGTAGCCACTGGTACCCCACCTTCTTTTCTGTGTGAGGACGAAAACGCTGATTATGGTAATAATTGCGACATGATCGGCAATTATCATGACATGAACGGTTTTGACATAGCGGAGACGAATGAAGGTGAGTTCCGTGTCAAAACTAATCCATGTTTTGATTAAGTCGGAAACACTGGTTTATAAGGAGAACCGACGATTTTTAAAGGATGGCCTTTTTCTCGACTGATTCGTGATTTTTCTGAATCACAATTAAGGGCAAACGTTGATATGCATCTAACCTCTCTGTTGAGAAAAGCAAAACGGCCAGTAATCGCTACTCACAAACATCCTTGAAACTCGATCGTCCTGTACTAATGGTGTTGGACAATTTGAATTCTGATGAATTGAAACGCAGTGTTTATTTTCCACAGAGCAATTAAACACATTGAAAGTCCAATACTTTACTTATGCATGAATCTGTTGAAGTGAAACATTTACACTTTTGTTTTCAATTTTTTTGTGACCACGCCTGTTTTCATTTGCTGCAGTGAATAAATTACTGTACACCCTCAAAGCCGTTGATCCTGATGACGAAAACAGCCCGGTCACGTTTGAGATTTTACCCTACACTGGAACTTTGCTACCAGATCAAGCGAACGGTTTTGACTATTTGAATGTCGGCTCATCGACAGGAGAAGTGACAACCAAAACTGAACTGGATTATGAGGTGCGGCATTCCAATTGCCATTTAATGAGTGTGCCAAATAGTGCAACATTCAGAAAACAAAAAATGGTTATGAAGGGTTTTTTTCTTCAAGGAGATTAAATATCACGTTACAGCCTGACTACTTCTCCATCCACTTCTTTTTACCCTATCCATTTGGGTCACTAGATCCAGAAAAAAAAATCAATTATTAAAGTGAAAAGGGTGTAAATTTTACTTGGGCCACTCTCACCTGAAGCCAATTTCATGGAGCTGCTAAGCAAAACACTTCCTTAGCACACTTGAAAGTCTGGCTTATAAAAGCAGGTTACCGCAGCTAAAACTCCATGTGATTTTCATGTTAAGCAAACAACAGCTGAATACCAAATCACAAGAAATATACATCACATGGTATGGACATTTGGTTGGTAATCCTGTTGTTTGCCAAGGAAGACTTTTCATGCTAAGCAAATTTTTGTGCTTAGCAGCTCCATGAAATTGACCCCTGAACATGCGGAATCTGGGTTAACTTAGCATTGAATAGGCATTGAATAGGCAGTGAACTTGGTGACATGTAAGAGTGGCCCAAGTAACATTTACACCCTTTCACTTAAAGAATGTATATTTGGATCTAGGGACCCAAATGGAATGGGGTCAAAAGGAATTGATTTAGAAATAGTCAGGCTTTAATGTAATATATAATTTCCAAGAAGAAAAAAACATTGAACAGTGCACAACCCCATAATTGTGTGATACTTTCACTCCCAAAGCATATATTATACTGTTCTGGACCTAAAGAATCGTTTTAAGCAACTTAATTGCGACGATAAAATAATGTTTCTTTTGTTTGATATAATGCCAGGACAGTTTCAGTGAATCGTGCATGAACTGTTTGTTGAGTAATCTAATAAAATGTAATACTAGCTTACACTGTATTTTTGTACGGTTGCACATACATTTCCAACTTTCTATATCGTGCGAAAATGAGAAATTATATAAATAAAACGACCAAAAAATCAATTGAATTCAGTCATTGTGTGTTTGTCTTTCAGACGGTTCATCGTTTATATTTTAAATGGAAGCTGACAGATCAGGACGGTGAAATGGTAAGGAGATGTTCAAACTCCATCGTAATCACTTCAAAAGTCAGTATCACTTAGGCCAAAAAAAAGTCTGGTTTCTGGTATGCGCGCGCGTCGCCGTAGCCATGCGCGTCGGCAAAATGAAAATGTGGGTTTTTTTTCGATGAAAGATGATGTCTCAAAACCGCCAAACTTACTGGTTTGACTGGAATCCTGCTGCTGCACAATTTTAACGTGTTTTTAGATGGGGTTATGACCGAGAATAAGCTTTATGTGGCCTCTCTGGACTCCCATATATTTGCACTAAGTTTAGTCGGGCACCATTTGCAGTCATCAACCGACATTTGAGGCAAAAAAAATCAGGTTAAAAAAAAGAAAAAAAAACGCGTCGCCGCACCAGGACAAGCTCCATACCAGAAACCGGAGACTTTTTTTGGGGGGGGGGGGCCTTAAGTATTCCATCTGTCGACATGATCAGTCATTTTAACCGGTAGGCCTTACTACTGAGTTACCAAATTGACCCCAAAAAATACATTTGTAATTGACTTTTGTTGAAAACTAAATTAGAGATACGAGAAAAGGCCCATTACCAACGTGATAGTTGACAGTACATGAAATGCTCGTAAAATGGACTGCATTCAAAAGCAACGCCATGCATGACATTTATGTTTCATTATATATCCATTTAAATCCTCCTTCACGATCGTCGCTTTAATATTGACGTGATGAACATTTTCAAGACATGTTTAGGCCTTAATACCAGTTTTTTTCCGTTTGCCGTTTCAGTTCACTACAACAGTTTTTACTGTTGGTATCACGGACATCAATGATAATGACCCAGAATTCACATCGAGCTCGTATCGCTTGGAAGCCATTCAAGAGGTGAGTTTCTTATTTCATAACCTTATGTGAAATATTTGGCTTTCTGTCCAAACAAAGTCCAAAGCATCACAGGTAATTTTCATTTGTAGGCCTATTCTTTATGGTTCACCTTCAATTCGCTCGTATCCCCCGCACGCTGGGAACGGCTGATATCTTTGAGCTCTCATTGGATAGATTTTGCGTGACCTGTGACGTTGCATGCAGAACACAAACTTGCTACAGCTGTTTATCATACGCGCGCACTACTTGCGAAGGTCATGCCATAAGTTACCCACAATGCCATCCGTCAGTACTTCCTTCACAAGATTCTGTGAAGACGCATCAGGTTGCAGACCAGTAAATCGGTCCGAAATTGCCTACGCCGGCCAAATCACGATTTGCATGCCCTCAAAATCTTCAGTATTTGAGCATGCTGTGGGCTATGAACTTGAGGGTTTGTAAAAAAATATGAGTGGAAGCCGTGCACAGGACTGTGAGCTTGTAGTTCCGTTCAATTTGGATGAAATTGGGGCCCTTAAAGCGCTCTATTTTGCAATGGAGTGTAGGCATCGTTTTTCAAAATGGCGATGGGCTTCAGGACTATTTTCAGGGGTGATCATCTTCGGATGGAAATTTCTCCTAAAAGTCATAAGTTGACCCCCAACAAATTGAAAAGAAAATGAAAGATGATGAAATAAGCTTTAATTTGATGTGTGTCTCGAACACCTTGGGGAGTTGTGAGTATTTTTCCCGAATTTCTGAAGTGGGAGCATTTACCATTGGGGTCTACGGAAGTTTATTTACTGGTCTGCAACCATCAGCCCAGCGCCCTGTTTGCAGGGCGGGGGTACAAACGAATATTTCTGAGATAACATGGCCGAAATAATATATAGGAAGGCGCTATTGTTGTGTCCATCGTATCTGAAATGGCCAATAAAAGTTATTCTGAGGCAGTGTATCTACGGGTATCATATCCGGCTTAGCCTATATTGAACAGATCGATAGGCGAGTTTACATTTTTCAACACATGTAATGATTACAAAGCAAGAATACTTTGGAGACGAAATTTCATGCTAAAGAATATTTTATTAATTTTTTACTTGAATATTATATTTGTCAAGGGTTCAAAGACGCCAGACGACATCCTCGTTACGGCAAATGCCACGGATAGGGACACTGGTGATGACATCAAGTACGACATTGTGGACGTAAGTTTTGGGGTTATCCTCGATCCTCCTATTTCTGCGCAGATAAGGCTTTGCAACCAAGTAGCTTAAAAATAGCAAAGCAACCACTCTTTTCCTCAACAAAACTTATTATTGTTGGCTTACTAACGATCATCCACCGTACCGATAAACAAAGCAAAATCTCCTTATTTGTGGCAGCAAGTGGGGAATTCCAAAGCGTGCAGTTTTGGCGTTGTAGAACTTTTAATCCTGCCTAATTCTGCGCAGGGGACGCTTCATGAAAAATATGTGCTGTCCGGGCCATGTAACTCGATATAAACATTTTTTTTAATAACTTAGACTTATTGGCTTTAGGAAATTATATTTTCCGAGCTTTTCAAACACATTTTCTTTCTTTTTTCTTTCTTTTTTTCAATGCCAATACACTTTTCGTAATTTCAAGATTATTTTCAATATCCTATTTTCGAAATTTATACAAGGGCTTAAATTTACATATTTATTTAAATACATTTTATACATATTTACCTATTAAATGTAGATCCCAATGATATTGTTATTCTGATCATCCCAATCAACGGAGACAGTTTTTAAGATGTCGGAGTTTTAAAACTTTTGACCAAAAAATTCCCAAAAAATATAAGAATTGTGTCTTTTTAGTTGCACCGTAAGTTTTACATCCTCGTAGAAACTGCACATTTTTATCTATGACATCTTAACTATAATACTGACGCGGATATTGGGAGACCGTCAGAAAGGTCACCTTTCGGTCATATTGTCGACTAGCTGCAAGCACGGAAGCATATCTGCCTGCATTTGTGCTTAGTAATTAGCTGTAAAAAGCCGATGTTTTTCATATTTTGCCTGAATTCCCGGTAAAGCCTTCAATTTCCAATTTTTTTCGGCTGCTGGTTAAAGTTCGTACATCAAAGCATACGATCCCAGTGAAAGTTTGTAATTTTTTAGGATGCACGCGCGCCTTGCATAACTTAAAGGCGAGTGCGCAGAAATAGGAGCGCGTACGTAGCTTTAGGAGGTCTGACGATATAATTATTTTGAGGCGATTAGACTGGCTGACCCCCCCCCCCCCCAACCAAAAAAACAACATGTATAGGAATCATTCAGTTAAATAAAGGGGTAAGCAGCTAGGTCTAAAAAAAATAGCCTAGAAAATGTCCCCTGACCCTGTTGAGGCCGATCGAATGATCAAGTATAATGAATAGCGCCCCCATGTGTCAAATTATACCCCGCACCGAAAAAGTTGAAGTAAACCTGTGGAGGGGACCGTTAACTTCGGATAACTGTGACCTGTAGATCCATAAGAAACGTACAAGGCAACTATTTCAGTTGTCAACGGTTTGTTCTTGTTTGTAAAAAATAATTCATATAAATCAAACGTATGGGCATACCGATAGAGGGCGCTGTTTGCAGACACAAATCTATCTGCAGCCTAGCGCTAGCGCGCGACATTCGTGTTGCTTTCGTCGCTCCTCTCGTGTTTTATAAAAACAAAAATATATAATCTCCCGCTGAGTTCTTGGGACAATATTAACTTTTGCAATGTGCACATTTTTCGGAGGATGTTTGTCACCTAATCTTGGTAAGTAAAATGTGCTGTACGACAACAGTATGAACAGATCGTTATGTTTAGGGCTGAGCGCGGGGCTGCGTACCATTTTCTGTCTAGTGTCTGCCGTGTGTGTGTCCGTACCGTACGTGCGTAGTCATGAATCGACACTACTCGTCGACATCGACATCGCGACACGGCACTCGAATAACCGGCGGTAACCAAATGACTATTATAAGATAACGGTGTTTCAAATTTGTGAAAATAATGCACGCGAATTATTTTTGGACTCGCAAGGCCCTACTTTGTGACTAGGCCATGACGGCTAAGGTCAATCATTGCATTGCAAGTATTTTGTCCGGCCTGGCTTTCTTTTAGTTTTAGTAGTAGGCCTATACGAAGCCGGCATATCGTACAGAGTCAGTGCCCTCTTTGACTTTGACGTGTATCCGAGTAGGCCTACATTAAAATACCTCTATCATTCAACTTCAAGGAGCACATTAGTTATGGCTGAGTGAGTGGATAGCGGCCTGTCTCATAAGAAAGGGAAATAAAGTCCAAAATTGTAATTCATTTGGTCTGATTCCCATCTCGTGAAAGTCACGATGATGTTTGAGTGAAACCATGTGTCAGGGTAAACATTTCTCCAAGTCCCAAAAACTGCGCAAGTTAAGTGCCGTGCCGGCTTAATATCGTTTACAAAAGAAAGGTGGCGCCAGGCAAATATCCACTGCTAAATAAAATAATATACTATCATAACTATAAATATAAAAAAATTGGTGATTGTGTAGTTACGGGCCCTATTCCTATGAAAGGACAAAAGTTAAAAACTAACAGGTTTGTAGATATAGATGGAGGGTTTTGGATTTTTGTGGGAAATTGAGGTAATACAACGATGAGAAGACAAACTATGAAAATAAAGATAGACATGGTATTGGTAAACCGTACTGATTAATATGGCACCAACTGTAAAACACTTTTAAAATTGCATTTACTACCGGAAACAAAATATTCAAAATGACATTTTGTGTCATTTGAATTAAGGGAAGTTTGCTTGTGCATGTTTAGGTTGAAAAGACATTTTGAACTGATATAAAAAACAGCCTTGTCTTTAGTTTGACAAAAACTAGAGGGGCCCGTAACTACATAATTGCCACAATTTTTACAACTCCCCATAGACTTTTGACACACCTGGAATCTCTCCTGTTTTAACATAATTGTTCTACATGTACCTTATTTTATGGATACCGAGACATATATCCCAATTGATAATTTGTTTAAATGTCTGCAGTCGCATCTGGGCTGGCCGTGCAACGGTGACATCTTCAAGATTGATCCAAGCACAGGAGGCATCAGCCTCAAAGCGGGGGAAACCTTGGATTTTGAAACCAGCACACTGTACACAGTCTGCGTCAGAGCAAATGTAAGTATTAGACATGAAACTTTGATTTCTTGATCTTTAATCATCCAAGTGTGCAATTAAAATAATGGAAAAACCCAGAATAATTCTCAGTCAGCTTGGGCATGTTTAGCTTGGGAAACCCCCGCTCTGATGCTCATGACAGAGCTGTGGCTAATCCGCAAAGTCCTTAGATGTTAGTTTAGGCAGGTTTAAACTTTCATGGCCGACATTTTCTATTTTCATCAACACCATTTACTATTGATTCATGAAGCATATCATCCACTTGGAGTAGGGCTGTCCATTTTTCGAATAATTTAGTATTCAATTAATTTAAAATTTGTTTGACCGAATATTCAAAACCTGCCGATCAAGTTTACATGCGTCAGCTCCAAAAGTTGTACACCATTATGTTATGGGCCGTTGTAGTCTTTTGCAGTAGGTAATTCGTTACTGTCAAGAGCTTTAACTTGCAAAAAGGGGGAGAGCAATGAAGCATACAGGCCTGGAAGCATCGTTCGACAAAATTTGTTTTACTGTTGACAAAAGTGACATCTGACAATAAAAGAGCGCAGCAATTTTTACAATTAATATAACATCACAGTCATGTGCTTTATACATGTACGTAGTTTTTTTTTCCCTTTAGAAAATTCAAACAGGTAAAATGCTTTTCAAATATTTTGGAGTTTCCTAAGTTAGGGCAAATTGGGATTTTTAATTTTTGCTGACTTACAACTTCCAAAAGCAAAAGCCTTTGGTAGAAGTTTCTGGTGTTCTTATAACCCACGTAAGTTAATTGTCAGCACGCAGATTGTATTTGACGTTTTTGTCTGGTCCATACATTTACCATCCAGGACTCAGGTGCACCTGTCGGTGAGCCACGTTATGCTTATGCACAGGTCATCATCTCGATTCAAGACGTACAGGACGAGCCACCGTACTTCACCAAAACCAACTACGACCAGGAAATTCCTGAAGACACGCCAGAGGTTAGTGCACATGTTTTTAGCAGGGAAAAAAAAAAATTAAGAAAGAAAAGGTTCAAAAGTGGGTACATTAACGGTTGTGTTTTCCTATATACATTACAGATTTCAACAAGTGCTCAATTCAAAAAGATTCTACATACATTGTAATTCAAATAAACCCTTGAGATTAGGGTTAAAAAAGAGTTTGCTTCAAAAGATAATGAAGAAGTTCGTAAGAATATTCTCATTCATTGATTGGTATGAATGTAAAATGGAAAACAAAACATGTACTTAATATGTGATTTAGTCAAATAAGATATCTGATGATGCAATTGACATAACTTATTTATTCATGAGCACTTTCTTGAAAACTGCTGCTAGACCACCTTTCTAGTTCTTTCCTAGAAAGTGATAGAACGGCACTTAAATCACTTAAACTCTGCTGTCTAGCCCCCGGAACCTGAAATAGTTCAAGATATTTTGAAGGGTCATCCCCATTTTTTTTTCATTTGCAGGGTTCTGATGTTCTGGAAGTACTTGCAAGAGAAGGTGACAGGGGCGTCCTTGTACCCAATCTGATTCTCTACAGCTTGACTGGCGGTGAGTAGTCTGAGCAGCAGTCTGTACCCTGTGTAAGAGGTTGTAGTTTATCGCTCTGGCGTAATTGCGACCTTATCCAAATGTGTTGGTGATTGCTGTGATCTTTAACCCTTACCCTACTTGACCCTCCAATGCATGCCAATATGTGCCTCAAGAAAATCTCCTATGTTTTTTGCATGGCCCTCCAATATCTGCCATGTCATTTCAAGGGTAACTGGACAGGCATTCCAATACATGCCACAGAGAACAATGAGAGTCCTCTGATAACAAAGTGAGTGCCCCCAGCTGGTCAGTATCAGGCACCCTCCAGGGCCTCCAACTCCTGCCAATTGGAGCCTTCACTGCTACATAGAAGTATCCTCCAATAAACTGCAGCTGGAGGGCATTGGCATAACCAACTGACATGCAGTAAACTACCCTCAGAGAGTAAGGGTTAATCAAATAACATACGACCAAAATAAAATGGTTTTCCTTGCAGGAGATGGCAAGTTTGAAATTGGCAACTCTACTGGTCAGATAACCATAAAAGAACTGCTGGATCGAGAAACTAAGACTTCGTACATCGTCACTGTGGTGGTGAGAAAAACTCAATCTTCTGGTCAAAAAATTGAGTCAGAAGCTACATATAACATGAAGTTTTGGCTGGTTACCTGATGGTTCTGAGCATTTTGTTGTCTTTGTCAAGCATATTTGTAGTTTTGCACCAAATTGGATTTGAGAATTTGTCTCTTTTTGGCAGGAAAACAAATTTAACTTGTTCCAGTACTAAAATTCAAACCCTTACACTTGCTTGCCTTATGTGTAAAAGATATTTATCTTGCATAAATTAGTGTTGGGGGTGTCTGTTTGTTTACTTGCTGTTTGTTTGATTTTTTTTCTCATACAAGCACAATGTTATTGGAATTTATCTGGGTTTTTTTTATCGATTCCTTTCCCCAGCAAATAAAATCAGTGTAACCCATTTTAAAAATCACTATCAGCAGGTGTATTTACTCTCTTACACCTGATTATTCACCTCCTAAATTCAAATGATTTATGATTTCAGGCTCAAGAAATCCATGCAGACGGCACACTGCAGGCTCCTCCGAGCTCTGCCGAAGTCAATATAACCATCCAAGTGGGTGATGTGGACGATAAGAACGCCACGTTCACTGCCAACGTGGTCGATATCTCACTCTCCGAGAACACGCTGGAAGGAAGCTTCGTTTCTCTAGATGGATTGGCGGTTCAGGACGTCGACCAGGTTTAGTTCTAAATCGTGGTTATATTCTCTCATGGAACACTCAACAAGATAATTACTAAAGTAGTGTCCATAGTATAGAATGTCTAACAATAAGAAGTTTAAACTCATTTGCACCAGCATTTTCGCAGGGACGATTCTGAAATCCACCACTGTTTACGCAATCCTTGAAAATGCACCTTTGTATCCCATGTAACCTTTTTGTTTTCAATTTTGCCATTTTTTTGGCTATTTTCTAGGATATTTTGGTGCCTTTGTGGTTTTATGCAAATTACCATATTCTTGAGCAAAACTGTGATGTCATTTGGGGCTGAAACCTCAATGTTACAGCTATTTCAGCACAAAAAGTTGGTATGCCGTCGTAAATTTCCTTTTCTTAGGTGATTCGTTATGATGTCAGTACATGGCAGTAAGCCAATGAGCAAGCTTTTCACACAGATGTTTTCAATGAACATATTTTTTGGGTTCGCAATTGGAACAGAAACCCCCTAAACTGAACAGTGTCTTCCTGAAATGACACCACAGCAACAGCGCCCTCAGCTGTCTGGAAAAGCACGGACAATTTTTAAATGTTTAAAAAAGAGCGCTTTTCAATAAATTTAACCAAAGAGGAATATGAAATAGTTTTCATACATTTAAGAGGACTAGAAAGTTGCACAAAAACATTGCAAACCCTTTTAATTTGTAGTGGCCATCAAGCTTAATGTGAAGGAATAGTGGCTGGGCTCGATATTTCCTCTATCCTACAAAATCCTCAACAATATTTCAGGTGGATTTTGGAAGATCTGAGGGGAAAATTAGGAAAGATGATAAGACCCAAATAATTTTTTAAAAAATGGAATAATTCACAAGTAAAGTTCAAGGAATTTTCAAGAAATCCTGTCTTCATTTCCCATTGCAGGCACCCAATAATCTCTTTTATTTACATCTGGGCGGACCGGATGCTGACGCCTTTGTGATTCCAAACGAAGACGAGGCGATAAGAGGTGATGCCACTGTCGACGTGAGAGTCAGCAATGAAAAGAAACTGGACTTTGAAGCAAATAAATTCCTTGAGTTTGAGGTAAGCCTCATCCTGATTGGTATCAGGGATGCAGTTATGTTTGGTTTTCAGAAAACAGACCGAATTCCGATTTCACGAAGCGCTGCGACACGTCGCAACTCGAGTTGCAACATGTAACACGTCGCAACTTGCAATGTGTCATATGATCCATTTCACAAAACTTACAATGTATTGAACATGTCGTTAGTTCCATCGTAAGTTACGATACGTTTAGTGGTCATCGATTAATACAAAGTGTCCTTTTCTTGGCCAGTTTTATGCCATAAAAAATACATAATTTGGACTATAATACCAATACAATGTGTGTGAAGTTGTAAATAGGACATGCATTGAAGTAAATACGATTTAGCCTGGAGTATTTCAGGTGAAATTTCAAAGTAGCTAACAGTGCACCACGAACTTGTTTTCCATTCAAACTGCTTCATTTGTCTGCCATTTTGTTTACGTTTTGAAAGTTTTGAGAAGAGATCCAACAACTCTTCCACTATTCAGTGTGCGTTGGATAAATACATATTACAGTCACATGTTGTGCTATAAATACACGTACGACTGGTCACACAAGCGGCATGTCTTGTGACATGAATCACAGGACGTGTCGCAACTGCAATGCATCGTAGAGATACAACGCGTCACAGTGCTACGATGCATCGTTAATTTCATGAAATTGGGCGCTGGGCACAAATCTGCTAGCTATGAAACTTTGCAAACTCTTGACAGAAAATGACTCACGGGTAAGTGCTCTGCCCAAAACTGTCATGCCTGTTACTTCTCGTACTGCCCAAAACTGCCCCAGTCACTGTTATGGTTTTATCAATTCATCATGGAATTCATACAATGTTGAACAGGTGTTACTGTGTTAAAACTCTTTTTTCTTCTCCCCATGAAGATAATCTTAACATAATGAACCTACTTTAATTCTGCAGATTTATGCCACCGATGCTCTTGGTAATCAGTACGATGTTGCCTATGTCCATGTAAACATCACGGATCAAAACGACGAAACCCCAACCTTCGATCGAAGCGAGTACAGTTTTACAGTTGAGGAGAACTCTCGAGGAACAGTGGTTGGCTTTGTCAATGTAAGTACTGCTCTATGTCAAGAACACAAAAAAGTCATTGTCGTCATGTCACAACGACTTTGTCTTAGCTGTTACATAAAATTGAGCGACAGCGTAGAACGTGAAAAGTAAATTCGTAATTGTGGTTTGCCCATCACCGATATATTTATGATAAAGTGTTGTCCCGAGTGATTGTGAGAATAAAATCCACAAACTACTCGGGTGGGACTCGAACCCATGACCTCCTGCTTACTAGTGCAGACGTCTTACCGCTCGACCAACGAGCTTACAGAGGTTGGCTGGCTGGTTTGAATGTAATGTTACAGTGGGTAGATTGCATTCCGAGCTTACTTTTTGTCCCCAATTTGTGAATGCATTTTGTTTGCAGGCAACTGATCGAGACTCAGAAGCCTACAGTCAAGTGACCTATCAACTCTTTGGACAAGGAGACAATCCTCAGTAAGCTTGAGTTTATTGATCCAGTGCACATCTAAAGCACATCTGTCAGCATTTTTTAATCAAGACAGTAGTGGATCCAGGATTTTCCGAAGGAAGGCGGCGGAAGTCCAAGATTTTTCAAGGAAAGGGGGAGGGCGGGATTGGGTGAGGGGTGTCAATGGACCGAAGTCCTGAAGCAGTGAATCCAGATTAGTAAAAAGAGTGTTGACTTTATTCAGAAAACTTAAAGGAAATTCAGGATTTTTAATTATAATAATGTAAACAAATAATATTTGTCATTCGAAGAGGTGTTGTTAGTCATCCCAACTGCCCCCCCCCCCCCCTTAGATTCACACTTTCGAGATCCACTGGTTACCAAGTGATCTATTTTGTACGGGGCTTTTTTGCAGCTTTGTATCTTATGTTATTAAATTGAACTCTTTCTGGTATTGAAATCAGGTGTAACTCCATGTATGCTTCTCATCCACCTGATGTGTCTCTTTTTTCATTATCACAGATTTGAGATGAACAGCACTACGGGCGAGATCAGGACCCGTAACGATTCCAACTTGAATTACGAGCGTCAAAGCGTGTATTTTTTCACCTGTGTCGCCACGGATGGTCAACGCAGCGGGACGGCAATCGTGCAGATTGAACTGCTAGACCAGAACGACAATGCGCCACAATTCAGCGCTACCTCCTACACCACACAAGTTGATGAAAACACAATTCCAAGTGGCCCTCTACTGACAGTTTCGGTAATGCTGTTGTCAAAAAGCAAAAGCCGTAAAACATGACACAATCAAAAATGTCTCGTGTAATTCATCACCTGCTATGGTGAATTTTGTCCCAGATGTAAAATTTTTAAAACGAATTTGACATGCGTTGTGCGAATCAACAAATATTAAAGTGACCTTTTTTCGCCAAATACGTATCATGCACATGTTGTCTTTATACTCCGCAGGCAAGTGATGCAGATCCGAGCACAGATAACAACGAGATTACCTACACGTTGTGGAACGACACTTACTCTGATAGGTTCACTATTAAGACAACTGATGCAGGAGGAGTTATCAGACTCCAACAAACGCTAGACTTTGAGGAAGACGGTTCAGAGATTGAGATCATCGTCATTGCCACGGATACCGGGGAGCCTCAACTGTCCGCTAATGCCACCGTCAAAGTTAGAATTCAGGTATTGGGTCTGCCCGTTATGCTTTCTAGTTGGGCAAAAGATTCAGGGGTGAACCTGGACAAAGGAATATGTTTGTTACAAATGATTGATTTGTGATTGACTTGTGGTGACTTGTGGTGACTTGTGATTGACTTGTGATGGCTTGTGATTGACTTGTGATGACTTATGATTGATTTGTGATCGCCTTGTGATTGTTTAATGATCAACTTGTTATTGACTTGTGATGACTTGTGATTGACTTGTGATGGCTTGTGATGACTTATGATTGATTTGTGATCGACTTGTGATTGTTTTACGATCGACTTGTGATTGACTTGTGATGGCTTGTGATTGACTTGTGATGGCTTGTGATTGACTTGTGATGACTTGTGATTGACTTGTGATGAACTTGTGATGACTTGTGATTGACTTGTGATGACTTGTGATTGACTTGTGATGACTTGTGATTGACTTGTGATGACTTATGATTGATTTGTGATCGACTTGTGATTGTTTTATGATCGACTTGTGATTGACTTGTGATTTACTTGCGATTGACTTATGATGAACATGTGCGTAACTTGTAATAACTTGTTGTGATGACTTGTGATTGACTTGTGATGAACTTGTGATGAACTTGTGAGGATTTGTGATTGAAAACGATGTACGTATAGAGTAAATATTTATGAAAACCTAATTTTCTCAATGCTTATTGTTCTAAGAATTTTAGTAAAAATAATTGAATCACGGTTTGTCACTCATGTATTTTTTTATAAATCCTTGTGTGTTCATCCCACAGGACATGAATGACCAATCGCCGATCTTCACAGAGGAAGTATACTATGGAGAAGTGTCTGAAGGGGCACCGAGAGGTGGTACGTATTGCATCTATGCATGAGCCATAGAGGGCGGTGTCATGGTTTAGGCCTAGCCCCTCTTAAAGCTATAGTCCATCATTTGCAGCCATCCGAAAAGTAACTGGCGTAATTATTGTTGAAAAACGTACTTGGTTGAAAGATAGTATGGGGACTAAACTCCCTGTGAAATTATTCTTTCTGGCAAGCTGTCATTTTGAAGTAATCAACGAAAGAAGGCCTTTCCAACGGTGTGTCTTAAGACGCACCGTAGGAAAATTTAAACTAGTTGTACAAGCATTGGCACGACGCACACGCGCGCGCGGTTGCTATAATTTGTTGGATCAGTGCGCGACATCGCGTAGCTGCGATGGGCTCAGTGAGAACGCGTCTCGGACGCTGAATTCAGGCCCAATTCAAAACATGATTCAGCCTTTTGATTTGAAATTGAGATCCTAGAATGCTGTTTTTCTCGGAATATACAGCTGAAGCTGAGCTGAAACTTCATCATGTTAGTTGTTCAGTATCCTTCATTAGATTTTGAACACTTTTGTTGCTTTAAACAAACAAAATGCACAAATTACAAATGATGGACTATATCTTTATTAAAGATAAAAAAGGTTTCAATCTACCCAGCTGAACTGAAGTCACATTTTTGGAACAAAGTAATGGATGGCTTCACTCATCTTGACTGCACTCAGTTGTGGATGAAAAGAACAAATTGACATTACATAACACAGTGCTCGAATCGGGTTACACTGAAGTAAAACAACAATGGTAGCATCCACTTGTTATCATATTTGTACAAAATTTGGAAAATCTGTTGTATTTTTATGTGGACATACTGCATTACCACAACTCGGATTGTCCACTTACTTTGGGGAATTTGAAAGATTTCGAAAGTGTTATAAGACGAAGCCTGTTAGCGGAAAATCCAAGACTCGGGACAGAGGTAACATGTTGTTTTTTCTTCCATCATGCACTCCAGAGCTCGTCTTGAGAGTGAACGCCACCGACGCGGATCAGGAAAACAATGTCAACTCTCGCATCGACTACTTCTTCTCGGACCAAACCGTTTCCGATTTCCGCATTGTGATTGGGACCGGGGAGGTGAGAGTCAACTCGGGCAACTTGGACCGGGACGAGAAGGGCAGTTACTATATGGAAGTGATTGCGATTGACCGCGGCGAACCTACTAATAGCGGCACTTGTTATGTGAACATCACTGTACTGGACATCAACAACAAGGCTCCATATTTCCCTGAAGAAGACCCAACCGTTGGGATATATGAAAGTATGTAGCAGATGTAACTATAAGCAGTTTACTTCATTTGCAAGAACTTTGACGTCAAATTGACATCAAAATGTCACTGTACATCAATCTTGCAAATTTACAGCTTGAATACTTGGGATGTCAGAGATTGTGAGTTCCTGCTTGCTTTAGCTCTAAATAGGAACTGGCCCTTTAACAGAATCGCCATTCAGGGATTTTACAGAATTTTGTGATGTTTTCTTTTTGGATATTCAAGATAAATTTATCTATTCAAGATAAATTTATAGCTCAGGCAGGGTTAACTTGTGAGAAAAAAGTGTGAAAAATTTCCAACTTTGTGATAAATTTACTCTCTGAACTTTGAGCAAGCTTTGGAAAAGTTTTTATAATTGGACACTTTTGGGTAATGGCCAATAATGTGTTGACCTTAAAAGCTAAAAAACGTTGTTCATAAAAAAAAATAGAAGAATGTGTATCTGATAAGTGTGATAATAAAAATGTATAAATCGCTTTCAACTTTTTTTCATGGGAGAAATATTACATGTAGATTTATAATTTTCAGATGCCACCAGTGGTTCTTTGGTTGCTATGGTGACAGCAACTGACTTGGATGAAACGGCTCTTTTGTCCTACGGCGTGGATTTGGATAACAGTGCAGTTTACGATGAGGATGGGGAAGAGGTCCCTACAACTGTTGACCAGTTCTTCTGGGTCGAAAATACCACAGGGGATGTGTACACAACGGACACACCGCTAGACCGAGAAACGACGGCCAGATTTGAAATTACTATAACCGTGGAGGATTTGGCAGCATTTGGGAGCACTCCTCAGACAGCTGAAGGTCAGTACTCCTAACCTCCCATTCCTCTAAGATCCTCAGTTTGTAGGATTGAGGACGGTAGATCCAAGCTTCTTTACGTGGTCATTGATGCATGTTGAAAGGCTTAAAGGTAGAGCAAATCATTTGCAAAAATCCAAAAAGAAGCTGACCAAATTACTGGGGAAAAAACATACTTGGTTTTTTAAGATAGTAATGGTACTAAACTCCCTGTGAAATTATTCCTTCTGGCATGCTGTCGTTTTAAGAAAACAATAAAAGAAGGCCACTTCCAAAGATGCGTCAAGTGACACATTTTTGGAAATTTTGGTAAGTAGTTGTTTGTAATCAGGCGAATCCCTGAATGGGTGCGCGCAAGCGTTGACACGACTTACAAGCGTGCGCAGTTGCTATTATTTGTCGGTTCAGTGTGTGACATCGCGTAGCTGCAATCGTCTGAAGGAGAACATGTCCCAGACGCTAATTTCGGGCACAATTCAAAATATGACTCGGCAACTTTTGAATTGGAATCGAGATTCTAGAATATTGTTTTCTCAGAATAAACAGCATTCACTGAGCTTAAACTCTGTCAGGTTATTTTTTACGCACCCATCTTCAAATGTTGAGCACTTTTGATGCTTCAAACCAACAAAATGCACAAATTACAAATGGTATACACTACCTTGAAGAGCAAGAATGTGTTGGTGGTTTCTGCACAATGGAGGATTTTAAAACATTCAGGAAAATAAAAGTTTCCAGGAAATTGGTGGGATTAAGCAGATAAACAAGTCAGCGAGCTAGATATTATTCAGATTTGTTTGCCAAAGATCTCCGTAATTTGACTTCATGGATATCACAGACTTGATGCCAGTCACTTGCTCTTTTCAGAGCGTTGCTCTGTAAGTTACATTCACTTCACGTGGTGTATTTTCAAAATTTCCCCAAGTTGCACTATCCAAAACTTTGAATCACATTTATTGAGCCTGTCGCATTTAGCCTATTGCATTCTAAACACATAATAAATTAGAACATTTTTTAGCTTTTGAGGTGCTGTAATTCCTTTTTTCCCCCTCAGTTTTACTGACTATCAATGTTCAGGATATCAACGACAATGCTCCGGTATTCAGTGAGAGTGGTTACGAATTCAATGTGGACGAAAATACTGATGTGGGTTCCATCATATCAAATGTCATCAGTGCTACGGACAAGGACCAGGGCAAGAATGGAGAAATCAGATATGAGCTTGCAGATAACGTCGACTCGTTACTGAGAATCGATCCAGATACAGGTACATGCTGGCACCCCCAAAGTGGCAGGGGTAGTCCCCACCCCAAAAATGAGTAACTGTTTTATTGTTAATATTAAAAGGAAGTAACAAAATAGATTGGAGCAGGAGTTGAACCTGTGAACCCTGGGATGTCGGACGGGAGATCCACCCACTCAAATTACCAGCCTCATTTAATTGCAGTCTCTCAGTTTGTCCATCTGTCTGTCGATTCCCAGACAGAATTTTGCTGATCCTGTTTTTTTTTTGTCCTAATGAAAATGCAGACTTGTTCTTTTGTTGGAACCTCTCAGATTATTATTATTATTTTTTTTTTTTTAACTCTGAAAGGTATCCTGTTCGTCAATGGAACATTTGACCGGGAAAAGTATCCCAATTACACGGCCATAGTTGTGGCATTTGACAAAGGCTCTCCGGAACTGTCGAGCAACGAGACGATTGTGATTACCATCACCGACGTGAACGACAACGGGCCCAAGTTTGAAAGTCAGGACTACACAGCCGAAATTTCAGAGGATTTTCCCAATGGAACAACCATTCTTCAGGTGGTTGCTAATGACAAGGACGAAAGCATGCAATTCGGCACGGTGGAGTACCAGATCGCCGCTGGCAACCCAGACGGAATATTCACCATCGGTGAAACAGATGTAAGGACCGAGTTGTAACAAAGTTGTTACAAGTCAATCACACGTCAGCCACTCTCAAAATTTGTTGTAAGCTATTAATGTGAAATGTTGCAAAGGCATTCCATTGTCATTGTTCATACGCTGGTACTTCAGACTGACTTGTGATTTGCTTGTGATTGACTTGTGATTGGCTTGTGATTGGCTTGTGATTGACATGTGATATGGCTTGTTATTTGACTTGTGATTGACTTGTTATTGATTTGCGATTGACTTGCAAATGACTTGTGATTGCTTATGATTGGCTTGTGATTGGCTTGTCATTGGCTTGTCATTGGCTTGTGGATTGGCTCATGATTGACTTGGAATTGGCTTGTGAGTTTACATGTTATTGACCTGTGAATTGACTTGTAATTGACTTGCGATTGACTTGTGATTGGCTCATGATTGCTTATGATTGATTGGTGGTTTGCTTGTGGATTGGCTCAAGATTGACTTGGAACTGGCTGGTGAGTTAACTTGTTATTGTTTTGTGATTGATTTCAATTGGCTTTTGAGATGACTTGTGATTGATTTGTTTTTAATTGTAATTGAATTGTGATTGGAGGTGGTGACGCCCATGGATACTGGTTCTCCTTATATGCCACGATCTGCCACCGCAACTCGCTCACTGTTGAGTAAACAGGGTGACTTATTTGCTATCGTTGCAGGGTATTATTATGATTGAAGATGGCGAGAAACTGGACAGAGAAACTGAAGACACACACATACTTACCATTACTGCTAGTGATGGAGAAAAACAAGACAGTGTAGAGGTGAGTTGGTCATGACATCCAAATAGGGCATGGCTGTGACTATGGCTTCAGTTTAGCTATTGGTGCACTGTAGTCAATAGCCGTAGCCTGTTTCAAACACGCCTTTTAAGCCTCTCCTTTAACCTTTCAACCCTGACCTTTCTGCCCAGGTAACAATCACGGTCTTGGACGTCAACGACGAAGTACCAAAGTTCGCTACGCATTCCGATACCATCAATCTACAGGAGAGCGTGGAGCCTGGTAATCTGGTAATCGCCCTGTCGGCTGTGGACAAAGACCAACTAGACACCAACAACAGCAGAGTGCAATACTTCATTGATGGTGGAAACGAAGAAGGTGCCATATTGCTGTTCCAATAATATTGTTTCCATTTCTTGAGAAACTTGTCACTCATTTCTGTCGTCAGATGAAGCTAAATATGCACTCCCAATAGTACATTTTTCAACTGTAGTGAATGGGCTCTGTGTAAAAGTACCCCCTCAACGGTAAGAAAGAGAGAGTTGGGGAGACCACTGGGGAGACATTCAAAGGCATTGCTGATGATGCCTGATGCTGTGGCTTATGCACATTCAGAAAAGAATCAGTAATGCGCAGTTCGTGCCAGAGAGCGCACGCAGTGTGTCCCATTCACTTGGCTCTAGAAACTGGTGAAACAGCGCCCTCTCTTGTTCGCACACGGACCCAAATAAGACTCGTACCTCATGTGAATTTTACCAGTGCATTATGATCAACTCTGCTTATCATTATAATTTAAAGGTAACATAAAACAGTTGCAAACATCGATATATAAAACTACCAAATTATTGTGAAATACCTTACTCGACTGTAAGTGAATAATAGTCTCAAGCATCCTGTGAAATCATGGCACCTGGTGCGCTGTCATTTTCAAGAAAAGAGGGATTTTTGTATCAGTTGCCAACAATATGGCTGACAATCATAGGAAAGAAACTGACTTTTTTTAAATACTGCCCCCAAATTGTAATAGTTGGGCCACATTTTGTTTGCAATCGGTTACACAATGTGGACGGGCACAAGCCAGCTAGTCTGGTTGTCTGACATGTGAATTCCCCAACATCTATAAGTTGCGCTGTTTTGTCTGAAGAAGGGTCAGGGAACTAGACTACAAGAACAGCATCTTTTCCTTGGTTTTTCCAGAATCTATGAACACAAAACTTCAAACTGTTCAATGTAACAATATTTCCTAAAAAATTGGTAACCTCAAATCCATCCATTTCTGAAAATTACAGCAAAAGCAAATGTTGTGTATTACCTTTGACTACACCTGACTGCAACTCTAAACATTTTTCTCAAAAACTAATTTGGCAAATTTTGTTTGTTTATTCTATGTAGGTCTTTTCAAGATCGACAGTCTTGAAGGAGATATTCTGACACAAAAAGAACTCAGCAACAGAGTTGGTGCATACAGGCTGCGAGTGGTTGCCAGGGATATGGGAACGCCTCCCCTCCAATCAGAAACCCTCATAACAGTCATCGTCACGGACGTCAACGATGACACGCCCGAGATAATATCCCCAATCAATCTGGAGGTCTTCTACATTCCAGAGGTACATGTTCGTTTTATCTGTAATTTCATGTACTCTGGTATTTCCTTGAGTTTAAAATTTGGGGTTCCTCAAATTCGAAGCCACAAAACATAGGGTTGGATAGCTGAGTTGGTAGAGCACCCATACGGTACAACAGAGGTTGTAGGTTCAATCCCCACTCCAGTCAATTTCTGTATTCAACAAATTAATTGAAAGTGTGATTCGTTTTGTTAAAATGGACTTTAATTTATCATTTCAATTCCAGAATTACACCGGATTTGTGTTGGAGGTTGAAGCGAAGGACACAGATATCGGCCCTAATGGTGACGTCACGTTTAGATTCATCCAATCCGCCGGTGAAACAGGCAAGGATGACCAGTATTTCGATATGGTCTCAGCGGGCAATGACACAGCCACAATCAGCATTCATACAAAGACTGACCGAGAGACTAAAGACACCTACTATGTGAGTACAAAAGAAGAACAATTCACACAATTTCTTGCGAGGAAAATGTTGATTTTTTTTATTTTCAGTGTTCGGCGTTTCAAAATGATCTCCAGAGAGAGAAAATTGATGGGAAATCAGAAGCTGTGAATTACAAATGTTGTGGATGGAACTACATCGAGGGCGCTCTTTCATGAATATAGAGGGCGCCCTTTCAAGCATTCACGTCATGTTATGCCTCAATGCCAAGTACAGGGTGACCTATTTCGGCTAGATCTGACAGATTTTTGAGGGAACAAAAACGAATCTAGCAGAAAATCCAGCAGAATTGAAATTTCAGCAGATTTCTAGCAGAATTCTGTAAAATCAGTGATCTTAGCAGAAAAACGTAGCAGATTTGTTTTGAACAAGCTTCAATCACTTCAAACATACCCTTGAACAGCGAGGATAGGCAGACTAGTCTGAGTGTTTACTGCAAATCTGAAATTGTTACATGCTCTTTTCATAGATGAAAATTGTGAGTTGAACTTGTGGAACATACACCCAAGACAATGTCTGACGTCTGATTTGCCTTTCATTCACTTTTGCTTTCAGTCTCTTGTGCTTTCAGTCTCTTGTGCTTTGACAAAAATGTTGAATATCTAGATAATCATGAAATGCTTGATTTTTTTTTTTTATGTGTAACAGCTGACGGTAGAAGTGAAGGACAATGGAATAGCACCGCTTGCCGCCACGGTGTCCTTCACGGTCCAAGTCAACGATACAGACGACAATGAACCAATCTTCTGGGTGAGTTGGATCAAAGAATGAAACAGTCAATTCCTTAAAAAAAATCCCCATTAATACTGATTGGCTGTTGGACTCTCTAGTACATCAGATTCGAACCAGCCAACCAATCCCGGCAAGCTCAGTGATTGAGTGGTAAGACGTCTGCATATAAGCAGGGAGTCGTGGGTTCGAGTCCCACCCGAAATAGTTTGTGAATTTTCTCACACATGCTCTCAGACAACACTAAGTACATAGTATTTATAACAGTATAAGAAAAAAAATAAAAATTGAATTAACATCCCTCAAAAGTTACAATTTGAAAGGTAAAACGATCTTTACACTAAAATTGTTTTGAAACCATCCAAGTCTCTTAAAACGTAAAAAAAAACAATGTTACGGCTGCTAATACCCTTGCAAGTGGTATTGTCATAAGCAATATGCATCACATAGCATTTGGACTGAAAACCTGTTTCACTAATTTCTCTACACCAGGTATATTCACACACTTACTAGCAGCGCCATTTCGTTGGTGTTGCATTAAGGCAAATTACCATATTAAAAATGTGAAGTAACACATATTGTCGAGGTCGACTTGATTTTGATTTAACAAAAAAACCTTTTTTGTTTGACAGACTGATTCTGAGAACAAACCGAAGGCTGACTTTACCGTGTCTGAGAACGATGACTCGGCTGTGATCGGGTCAGTCGATCTGGCATCTGATGCAGATGAACCCCAAAACCAACATATCTACTATTTCATTGTCGGTAAGTTTTACCCTTGAGAACAATTCTTCCAAGTAATGGTCATTTACGCAGCTGCAACTGTACTCCGTTCTGCTCCAACTTTTTAAATTATTTTTTCTTTGTGTCCGAAAACCCAACCCAAGTATAAATGATGTATTTTCGTTTTCATTTTTTATTACCGTTATTTTGGCTCTTAGCATTTTCAATGGCATATTTCCATGTCACTTTAAACCTCTGTTAAAAATTTTTTAAATGTATTTTTAATTAAAAGAAAATGTAATGATAATTGTCAAATTTCCTCCACAGATGGAAACGCCGAAGATCAGGCTAATGGGGCGTTTGTACTCGACAATACCACCGGTGTGCTATCGTTGCAAAAACCCCTGGACCGCGAACAGAATGAGACCCTGCAGCTTGTCGTCAAGGTAACAAGCGACATGGATTTCAGCCCTGCGGCGCCGATTCCTTACGACGATAAGGACAACACTTTACTGGAAGTCACGGTGACAGTCAAAGACACAAACGACAACGGGCCTGTATTCTACATAAAAGATAAACTTTACACTGGAGGTACGTATTGCTTTACATGCAGCATTTCTTTATGGATCAGAAAGAATCAGTTTTGAGTGTCGCGTTCCAATGTCTTACTCACGTGCATGTGAATGTGGGTTTTAAACCCTTACAATGACTATAACACTTGTGTTCTTAGGCAGGACACTTTACATCAATTTTCTCTCTCCAGGAGTATAAAGGAGTGAAGATAGGGTAGGCTTAAACTCATGCATAAATCTGTCGATGCCAGTCGATAGCCACGGCAAAGAGGATTGGGGTCAGGATGCAGCCTTGATGGATGCCGGTTATCACCTGGATCCAACTGCTAAAACCATCTTCTGTCCTGACAGAACATAGCAGCGAGCGTTGTTGTAGATGTTCTCTATTGCTCTGACAAACTTCTCTGGGAATCCATATGAGGAGAGTACTCTCCACAAGGATGGTTGGTGGATGCTGTCAAGGAGCAGTCGGGTAGTACTCAAGGTCTCCAGGGATTAGTGAGTGCCATTGGAGAAGTCGCAGGAGGTCTGGGCCTGTTGGTCAGAGCAAAGAAGACCAAGAATATGCTGACAGGAAACCATCGGCCGCCTAATGACGTCCTTATTGGCCAGAATAAAATACAAGTCACGGAAGACATCACTTACAGAGGGACCTACACCTGGGGGACAGGAGCTGGAATGACATTAAGATACTCGCAGCCAACATGTCCCCCTGGAGAACGTTGACTGGCTCATGCGTCAAACAACACGGGAGCTGCTACTAAACTACTAAATCTGCCTCATAGCCTCATATAATTATCGTTATTTCGTAATCGTAAGCAATTGCTTTTATTTACCATTATTCTTTACTATTTTGCAGGTGTGAAGGATGATGCAGTGTTTAACAGCGAGGTGATCAAAGTGGAAGCCGTTGATAAGGACCTCGGAGACTTTGCCGTCGTGGTGTACACCATTACGAGTCAGAAATACACAAGCACCGGTGAGATGTCACACAGGCCAAATATTATTCAGTCAGTAGTTTGGACTTGGGGGCAATATCAGAACAGAATCTACAGACAGTATGATACGTCTGCAGAATTAAGATTTGGAAACTGTTGGATATTTCTGTGCATTGTAGCTATCGTAACTTTGAGGTGCCTCCTTTTGCTGCATGGGGACACGCATGAGTAGACCTCAGACATGGCGGCTGAATGCAACGGGTCTGTGCTACAGCATTCTGTATAGACAAACTTTAAACTAGCATTGAAACTGATGCTCTTAGTGCTAAGCCGTTGTATGAATTGAGGATTTTTTTCTTGTTTTAATCCTCTCGACAAAAGACATGGTGTTTGTGCCCTTGGGCAAGACACTGAACTACAAGTATAACTTGGTACCTGTGAGGGTCGAGGACTGAGTGTGCATTGATATCGGCTGCCGCGTGGTCTCGTGGCCTGATGAACAGGGAATAATTGTAAAGTGCTTTGAGATTGTTCATACGATGGAAAACGCTATAAAAGCATTACAATTCATTTATTTATTTATTTATTTATTTATTGGGTTTCGTGCAAAACATTCCACTACTCATGCCATTCTTCATCTCATTAATAAGGTTGTATCAGGTTTAGACAATTCAGAACACACCCTTGGTATTTTTCTCCTTTTATTGTGCCAAATGAAGCAAAGTGTCTAATTTGCGTTCACATGTTTTAAATTTTGCGTTTCATTCAGACGGCAAAGAGCGTGACGACAACGCCTTTGGCATCATCAAAGACACTGGGTCCGTCATTACCGACAAGGTTTTTCAGAAGGGCGACGCTGGCTTCTACACGATCATTGTCAAGGCAGAGGACAGCCTCAACTCGGACTTCAGCGACTCGGCAACAGTGTCGGTATGTCTTTGGGTGTTTCCTTAACTTCCACGTAGTCTCCAACTTCAGCTTAGTTCTTTCAAAACTTTAGGCCTCAGACTTGGAAGAATCAAGCTCCATATGCAACTTGATTGAGAGAAATGAGTCACATGCCCATCAAAGGTATATAGGATCATCACAAGTAACCTACCACAGTTAAAGTTATTATCACACAACTCACTTTCATTCAAGATTGTACTGGTACTAAACGCCCCGTGAAATTGGTGATTTCCAACGATCCAATGACAGATTTTTGGAAATAAAGGGTGCTATTGACAAAACGGTGGTTCCTGATCAAAAGGTTGTGCAGGGTTTTTCACTGTAATATCCACTGAGCTGAAACTTCAAAAGCTTTTGAACCTTCTTCTTTGGATTATTGGAAACGAGCAACATGCACAAAATGCCAACAATTCTATATGCCTTTGAATCAGGGATGAGCCTAATCTAAGCTGTCAGCGATTTCCTGCAAAAGCGTCATACTGAGGAAAATTTTCAAGAAATAAAACCTTTCTTGCCTTCAAAAGTTGTCAGACCATTCAAGGTGATTTCAGTGACTCAAAATCCTGTGATCCTCATTTCATTTCATTTGATGTTCTGTTGTCTTAGATTTATCTGTACAGCGAGGATCAACAGATTGAAATGACCATATTTAAATCCGCTGAGGAAGTGCGAGGCTATCAAGATGATTTTAAACAGTAAGTAAAGTTTATGTACATGTTCATCTTTCATTGGCATAATTAGCAGAATGATATCATAATTATTATTACCTTGGATTGAACATTTGGGAGACATCCCCATAGACTTGTACACAAATTTTTTCAAATCTAAATGTGCCCTACCCCAATATTACCTTGTCCCTTTTTCCTCGAATTTCGGTATGTTTACTAATTAGACCACGAGCAACAAATATAATCTAATTGCGACATAAAATGTTGCCTCTAAAAGGGGGCTGTGACATTAGGGAGACATGAAAATGAAAATTATTATAATTACTTGCGTTTTGACGTGTTTTGCAGGACAATCGAGGAAATCATATTAAAGTACGGTGATTTTAGCTCCAGTCAGTCCGTCAAGAGAGCATCCACCACCTTCACTCCGGTCATCGTTATCGATGATATTCAAATCCGGGTCGTCAATGGTCAACCGCAACCTGGATGGTATGTTACTCTTAGCAATTTCCCCATTGCAACATCGAGCACGCCCAATTACAAATTGGGTCAAATTTTGTCAGCTGTTTATAAGTGGAAAATAGTGCTAAGGATATTGGTACGCTGAGCAAAGATAGCTGAGTACCAGTTACAAGCAACATACATTGCATGCATTTTGGCTGGTGACCCAATTTTGCCATGCAACTATTATCTATGCTTAAAACGTTGCATGAAGTTGGGCCCTGTTGGCAGCCAGTCAGCTTGGGTGACTGCAGCATTTTGTGATTCACAATGCAGTGCGCCACCAAGAGTTTGCCTCAGAGAGTTCATTTTTCCCAGTGCATTGTGGGAGATGGTTGGGAAATTCGCAGCAGGAAAACGTTAAAAATTGTTAGTTTTTCTGGTCAGTAGTTTCGTAAGCATATGATTCGGGGATTTGTTTACCCTTTTCTTTTCTTGTTATTAATATGGTGTTTTTTGTAAGTCGGCAGAACGCTATGCCCCAGTCTATAACATATTAGCTCCAGTTGTCTACTTACATTCATTCAAATGGACCGCGTTTTGTCGACCGTAAACTTGAAAAATGGACTCTCCATGGTAGACTCTTGGTGGCGCATTGAATTGTGAATTGCCCGAATCGATTATAATTTATTACTGGAGCCATGATTCTGTTTGGAATGGACGCAAATTTAATCTGGTAAAATCCTGACCTATGCAAGCATCATTTGAAAAAAATTGTCAAGAATTCTTTGTTTTCCTTTCTCCAGGAGTGTCATGCAACTTCACGCCGTCAATACAGAGGACAACACCATCATAGCGCCACAACTTGTTGTCAAGTAAGTAACCAATATTACCTTGTCATATTTCTTACTCAGCAAAAATCAGCGAGGTGTTAGTCACGAGATGCATGCATCTTCATGCTAATTTGGTTGGTCACCCTTTTGCTGCTAGGCGAATTGTTTTTGTGCTGAGAACATTTATGTGCTAAGGCTCCATGAATGCAGAAACAGTTGCAAACGTTGATTGAGTGTTCCTGACAGAAATGTTCTTCAGCGGGATGCTATGCTTCGCGCATCACCCGTCAGCCATGTGAATCTTAACCCCTTAAGGACGGGAAGCGGTCATGGCCGCGGCCGCTAATCCTCATTGGAATGCAGTTGCCAGCTGTGGTATGCCGTGGCACACGGCTAGTGGGTAGTTCCACAGCTGCTGCTTTTGTGCAGTCCCGCTACCACACAAAGGCTGTGCAGTCATGCGGGCCACTTGCTCTATGTGTGGAGGAATGTCCCCATTATAACCCGTCCTTAAGGGGTTAATACAGTCGAGTCTCGTTATAACAAACTCGTTCGGACCTAGCCAAATTGTTTGTTATATCAGATGTAGGATCTTTTTTACTCCACACTGATGTAAATCTTCATCATTACGCAAGGGTGAAACCTGATATTGATGCAGACATTTCATCCAAAGCTTTGACAGTTGCTGAATGCTGCAGTGTAAAATGAGATCCAAAATGTTCTCATTAAATTCCTTCATTATTTCTTTTCCCTTGCTGTTTCTCCCCTAGTGCCATAGACGACGCATATGACTACACTGAGATAATTCGTGGTGTATACGGTGTCGATGAAATTGTGGTATGTGTTTTCTTTCCTTTCCTTAATCCTGATTTAGATTCTGAAATTAATTACCACAATAAGAGAGAGTTAAAGCAATGCACATGGGTGATTCTTGAGGGGTTTTGGGTATGACACTCCTTTGCATTTGTTAAGTAAGATTCATAAATACCTAAGACCGTTTACGCATTCCTATTGGTCGAGAGCCCGTCACGTGGCCGGTCTTAAACGGATGATAAAGACACGGCTAGCTGGTCTTAAACACTTTCCCAGTGTCACATGAAATTTGGACTCCCATGAAATCCGGTGCCTTTTACGTTTCATTGGTTGAACGTTCAAATTCTTCACGTATGGTGGACATCAATAAGGTGAATATGCCGTGACACTGCAGTGTGGAGAATAACTATTTTCTCCTGACATTGCCTGAAGACAAACAGAGCATACTGGCTGAAACGTTGAGGAAAACCTCAGGCTCTTTCAGATCCACCCATCTACAAAAGAGGTTTTTTCCATGGTGCATATTCCACCTTTTTACATTTGTTGTTGTTGTGGTCAAAATTGAGTCTCAGCCAAAGAGACTCTCATGAGCTGAGCTGCATAGTTTCACACGGTATTCCAGTACCATCCACTTTGAATAGCGTCCTCTGCTTTCAGACAATGACCAGCCACAACAACCACAAAAAGCCTGAAATGGCAAACCCTAAGTGAAAAAATAAAATTTAGATAAACTCTTTTTTAAGCCAATCTGAAACGATGGTTATGGCTGTCCTCCCTAGCACAGCTATGACAAAACTGAAGCCAAAGCCATAAAATGTCCTGATACAGACATGGCTCAAGTCTTACACACAATTCTATAAAGGGCATCATCAGCTGTCTGACATTGACTTTTCTGATATTTTCAACCGAGACTTTTTTTCATCGTTTTTTTTTTCGCACAGATTGCGATTCCACCCACCGAGGCACCGCCAGACCTAACGTGGATCCAATGGCTGTTGGTCGGTATCCTGTGCGCTATTGTGGTGATTGCCTTTGGACTAGTGGCTACCATCTGCATCATGACTTCACGGTAAGCTCGTCAGTCAAAGGAACCAGTAGGTGGCAGCGTGTGAACACACACCAATAGATCTCCATCATGCTGCCACCATTTCAGTCATGTTCCCTGACTCCAATAGGTTGGGAAACTTGTGCATGGATAATAGTAGTCAGTTACCTAAACCTCATGCTTCCCTGAAAACTTTTTACAAAAAAATGTAAATCAAAACTGTCGGGGTTAGAAACAAAACTTGCCACATGATGTCAGGGAAGCTATTTATAGATACAGTAGGCGACTTTTCCTTCTTTTTTTTATCATATTTTGAGATTTTATGATACTTTGAGATTTATCACACTTTGAGATATATTGTCTTGTCAATTTGAGCCTCAGTTGTATCAATATTCAAGTCCAAGGAAATTATGACTAATATTTCTCAAATTTATTTTCTGTTTCACAGCTACAAGAGGAAACTGCGCGCAGCCACGGCAGGCATCTATGAGCCCATCAACCCAGCCGCCAACGCTAACCACGCCCCCAACACCAACAAATTCACTGAGCCTGGGTACGTAGTGCACCAAAACAGACAGCCATTCACTTGATTAATTCTTATCAATGAAGATTTGAAATGTCTGTGCCATGCCTTGTTGAGGTTTCAAATATTTTGGGGGTTTGTTTCGTAATTTATACTCACAAATATCTGAACTGATGAACCTGTTAGTATTTTGAAATTCAGTTTTGCCCTTCACTGATGGAGCTATATGCATTCTGTTGTCTGATTTCTTAGAGCATACATTAACAAATGTACAATGTTGCTTGGGTGGGACTTGAACCTATGACCCTCTTAGTAGGGCAGACGTCTAACAATGACATGTCCAATCTAATCAAGCGTGGAAATTTTCATGTGAAATCTCTTTTACAGCACTGCGTATACATCCGTTTCAAAATTACGTTAGTGAATGGGCGAAAGCCAATATGAAAATTTCTTCTTCCAAATGCAAACTCAAAACCATGGAGCTGCTGGTTCGACATTGATGGTGTATTTAAATGTTTCTTCTACAGATCGAACCCACTGTACAACTCAAAGCTTAGTGATGAATACGAGAAGAGATACTCACAGTCGCCAGAGAGTGCCGAGGCTGCAGAGGAAGATACCAAGAACGAGAAAATAAGGTGAGGGCAATAGACAACATATACCATGGAGACTAGGGCCAGTAATAAGCTATAACAGGGGGTATATATACCATGGAGACTAGGGCCAGTAATAAGCTATAACAGGGGGTATGTATATATCATGGAGACTAGGGCCAATAATAGGCTATAACAGGGGGTATGTATATATCATGGAGGCTAGGGCCAATAATAAGCTATAACAGGGGGTACATTTAGCATGGAGACTAGGGCCAATAATATATATAGGCTGTAACAGGGGGGGGGGGTATATATATACCATGGAGACTAGGGCCAATAATATATATAAGCTATAGAAGGTGGTATATACACCATGGAGGCGGGGCCAATAATATATCTATAGGCTATAAGAGTTGGGTAAATACAGCATTGAGGCAGGGCCAATAATATAGCCTACACAGCGGGGTAGTACATGTATAACATTGGGGCATGGCCACTATTATGTATGAGCTCCATGCACGAACAAGAGCCTTTTTATCACTTCTGAAAGGGACACACTTCCTGGATTGCATGCATATTTTGTGAAGTTGGCATGACGTATTTCATTCTGAATGTGCACAAAGACATAGCGTCTTTGCGTGAGCGTCAGGCGTCGTCAGTAATGCCTTCAAATGTTTCTCCCAGTGGTCTTCCCCAACTCTCCCTTTCTTACCGTTGAGGGGGTACTTGTGCATAGAGCCCATAGACTACGCAGTGAAATGGATATTCAAAAAAGATGTGATAATTGACTTGAGTCGTGTTTTTGGTTTCTTCATGCAGTAACGGACACGCCAAGAAGATCCCACCTGATTCCAAATCCGTCGAGGAACAAGAGATGGTGGTAGACATGTTCGACGACTCGCAAGACTACCAAGAAGTAGGGGATAACGAGACCGGCGATCTCTTACTCCTACAGGTGCTCGCCGACTACGACAAGGATAGAGAGGACGGACTGGTCAACTTGCCGGAATTTGCCAACATGACCATCACAGAGATCTGAGACAGTAAGTGTGATAATAGGGACCAATGTCATGGGATGCTTAACAGAAAATTCGGCTCAGTAAATGTTTGTGCTTAGCTGAAGAAATTGGCCGAGTACCAGTCACAAGCAATAGAATTTCAATGACGTTTGGCTGGTAACCTGCAGCTCCATAACATTGGTTCAGGTGTATCATTGGGCTGAAAAACACAATAGTCCCGGAAAGATTTTGGGATCGTTTACCCATAAAAGTTTATAAACAAAATTGAAGAACATGCAATCAATTTCATGGCTCTCTACAGAACACAATAGACTGAGCCATTTAGCCACACCTCCATGGTGTTTACTGCTTAGGCAAAAAAAAAATAGTCGGTCTCTGGTCAATTTTGATTATGTGCATCGAAGGGAAGGGCACCAAGGCAAATGATGGAGGACACCAAGGTGTATGAGGATGCAAAATAGTACCCACCTTGTCTGTACAATCCAAGCTAGGAAACAAACGCATCACTGCATCAATTCTGGAACTTGGGGCTGACCAGAGACCAATTATTTTTTCTTTTTAGGCCTTATAGAGCTCTTTGCAAAAAAGATACCATATATTGTAGAGAGTCATATTGCTTCTGCAGCTTATTTTATACTCGTCGTTGTATTTTTGTTCATCTGATGCCACATTCATTTGATTGTGGCTGCATTCAAACCGTGAGAAATGTTTCTTAAGAATTAAAATCAAAATTGTAATCTTGGAATATAAATTGTTTCAGTTAAACATAAATCTGAGAGTGCCAGGTTTACATACCATGGCTAGTACTCATTAGAATTTTGTCACAAATAGTACAAAATTGCATACCTTATTACATTTTTTACTCATTCATATTTCCTAAATAGCCAAAGCTAAGCTTGTCTTCTGTAACCTTTAGAAGAAAACTTGCGATGAATTACATTGGAGGAATTCAAAGTATGAATTCACTTTGAACTGGAAACCACTATGAATAGAATCAGTCCCCATAGAAATCCATCCCACCCCATACTATGATTCCACACCATAGTATTCTATAGTATTGTCATTCCATCCCATAGAAGTATGTAGCGCTATGAGTCAAACCCATAGCTATATATTTAAAGAACATGCCATTCTAAACATATCAAACAGTATATTTGCATAAATATTGCATTTATAAAATTACATTTACATGTATATTATAGAAAGAAGTTTATGTGTATATACAATTACGCCATGCAAGCTCTTCTGAGTTAAACCTTTGAAAAAAAAATCACAGTGCCAAATTAACAAGTACCATTGTCCTTGGAAATGTCTTGTTAGATGAGAAAATTTAAATATTAATATTTGAGGGTAGTGGCTTTGTTTTTAAATTAAATTCAACAACGTGCAAAAATGGTCGTGCCTAGGTTTGGCAGGCTAAGTGCTTTGTAGAATCTAAACATTTTTTTCAAAAGCTTGCTCACTATTGAACTTTTTGTTTGCTTTTTATTTTAAATGGTTTATATCATTGCAACTTATTAGGCTTTTAGAGATAATGCTTAAAGTCCATTTATAGTTTTTCCGTTTCTCAAAAAATGGCAAGACATTTTTTCATAATCTTTTCACCAATTAATTTAGTGCTGTTCTTGAGTGGATTGATTGGTGAATCCTAAATCCTACAAAATCCTTCAAAATCTCCGATTTAACAAACTGGGATCAGGATTTAGGGTGAACAATTTCTATCAATGCATTTAACTGTATATACTCAGAGAGTCATTAAATATGACTTGTAAAAGTTTTTTTAATACATAATTATTGCAAGGAAACTAAGCAAGAACGCACTTTTGCAAAAGTTTAAAAGAGTTATATTTTGATAGAAAAGAAAATAGATTGTATTAAAGCTGCAAGAACTTCAAATTGTTTTTTTTTTTTAAATTGGTACCAACACAATCTTGAACTACGTGAAATGGCAACTTCAATGCTGAAAGTTTTAACTTTGTATTATTGTTTGATATTTGTGCTGACCATTTTTCCTAGTATGGAACGATTTTTCTTTGTTTCACAGTGAACTTATTAATTAAAAAAATTATTTGAAATGACAAAAGGCCTTGTCTGAAAATTACTTGTTGTTTTTTCAGTATTGTTTTCAGCAAGAACTCACTTTGCTTTTCTTGGGTCGCTTTTAGTTAGGGCCTTGATGTCTAATTGCTTGGCGTCTAAACCAAAACATTCCACTCTTTTGGTCATATTGCCTTCCGTAAATAATCTGCACATGCAGTTCTTTATTTGTAAAACGCCACCATTGCCCTCAAGTTTCAAAATTATACTGTACAATGTAACCGACATGATCAAGAAACTGATAAATAAAGCAAACTTTTTGTAAATCCAAACCTTGAAAAAATTCTTCAAGAAAAATTATTCTATTGAAAAACCATAACCGGCACCAGACTATCATGTGACACCAGCAGAAGACGTCCGCGCATTGTGAATACCATCCGAAAAATACTGAACTGATAAACCCACTTATAACAGCAAACTACACGGTAAAGTGTGGAAGGCCGTTCAACCAGTTTCCAGCAAGACCCTTACACTAGGAGGTCTGCATCTGTCACTTGTAACTGACAACCAGCTTTCCAGAGGCTAGCTGGATCTTTAGATGGAGTTTTCATAAGTCCCAGTTCATCCCTGGTCTACAAGCTCCAACCTGTTGCCTACCTTTAAATAAAAAGGCAGCATCCAATCTCCAGTCTGGCAACTCTAAATCTCGACTCCTAGGATCTATATAGCGCTCAACTGTAAATATCCCAACCATAGTGGCAAGACCCCAAATATCAATTCCAAATCCCATCAGTTCCAGTTCTCCAAACACTACCTCAAAATTCCCCTCTCAGCCTCCAACTTGCAAAATCTGCAGCCCTCAGCCTTCCAGCCTCAGACCCTCAGATCTGGAAAAAATTTAAGGGGTACCCCTTGCAATCTGAAATTCTGGCTCCCAACTCCTCAACCTCCCAACCTCAGATCCTCAGATCTGAAAAAATTTCAAGGGGTACCCCTTGAAAATCTGAAATCTGAAAATCTGGCCAGAGCTGAAAAATTTTCTAAGTCCCAACAACCTAAGGGTTTTAATTACGAAAACCGGAGATTTTTTCAAGAAAGTGCCATGGCAGAGCGGGAAAAAAGAGAGCTGGCATGCAGAAGGTATGCGGTTCAACCCTGCTCCATGCTACTATTTTATTTATTTTTTTTTATTTATCTCTGCTGTGAGGAAAAATTCTCCTCCCGAGGTCCCCGGCTGGGATTTGATCCGGGGACCCCGGCCTGGCGGTCAGCGAGCTTGACCGCCAGGCCACTGGCTTCTTCGAAAAAAAAATCTCGGAACTAATATTTAAAGGTTAGATTGCGCAATGCAAAAAAAAAAGGGAAAAAAGCACCCTAGACCTTCATTTGAATAACAAAAGCCACAAATTGAATATTCAACAAGAAACCAATGTACGCAGAAAATGCGGTTTTCAACCAATGTACTGCATGTGATTTAATTAATATTTTTTTTTAGCCCAATAAATATACAGCCTTTACGACATTTAAATGTTTAACTTAATGGTTCCCGTTTCTGCTAAAATGCATCTCTTTTGAGGTACAATTAGACGGCATTTTCAGTAAAAATTGTTAACAATGATTACCACTAACTATTAAAAGTACAACAAAATAATCAGTTACTAAATTTGGCATTGCTTAATTAATTATTCACAGCATTCATGGTTACAAATTTGCACTTAATTCCTTGCGCATAAAATTGGCGTTTTATAAAACGATTAAAACTTTAAAGGGCAATAAAATTAGAAAATATCTGTTTAAAAGTTTCTGGATTTGAACATGACATGTCTAAATGTTATGTTATGCATAATATATGAATACCACAGTAAACAAAAAGCTTAATGTTTAAAAAGGTGCGCAAACAAATGACCTCAATTTATTATAATGGCCAACTTATTTCTGTATAGTTATCTTTACAAAGCCAGATTCATAAATTTATTAAAGCTACTCACATATCTGGAGCATTTCAAAATTTACTCAAAGGCACTTTTGCACTCCATACATTAGACTGATTGCCTGTCCTACGCATGCGCATCTCATTATGCCACGTACAGCGTTTTGCTTGGTTCAAGCATTTAACGTCCGATTTGTTAAGTCACACACACACACAAATAATCACAAACACCATGTAAACCCTCTGACACCGTGGCAACCAAGAAGTCCAAAAATGACCATATCAACTTTATTTTCCATTGTATAGCTGCAATGCTAGAAAGTATATTGCTTAATAGCAGGTGTTGAAATATATGATTTATAAAATGAAATAATGCACAGCAATGATACAATGCGACATTGTTTTTAAGTATCTTCCTTTGTTTTATTGCAATACAATTAAGCTGACGTAAAAACAAAAACTTAAAAAGTAGTCACATTTCCTGTCATAAGAGATATCTATGCCAATTTTAAAAGCTGAAGTTTCTTTACAATAGACTTGCCTAAACTGTTTCGGTCATATTTATATAATCCCTTCATCTAAAGCCCCAAAATATCAAATTCCAAGTTAATAATCTTGTACTCTGAAAAAAACTGGTGCTTCTTATTTAGTTTTTTTAAATTTAATTTATCTAGCACATTGATGTGCAAAAGTAGATAAATGTTACATGTCTTGGATGGCTGTTTAAACATCTAGAAATTGGAACAAGCCTAGGAATGATAAGTGCGATTCTTTCTCAGGATTCTGATGTCATCACACGCTGGAACACTTCAGGAAAATTTCAGCATCAAAAGCAGCGTCAAGCTATTCCATGGAGAATCTGAAAAGAAGAGGATCATATTGTTACTGTCATTTTTATTTTTCTCTCAAAACGCAATAATTTTTAAGAAACACCATAGCCCTACAGACTGCAAAGTTAATTGTCAAATAATTATTTCACATGGAATGTAGTGATATGGATAAAACAGCAATAAAAACTACTAAGTTTTGGGGGTTGCATTCCACTAAATATATTTTTAATGAGGATTTTATGCTTCAACTATATCAGTAAGCCTACTAAAAAAAGACCCAAGTATATATTGAGTAATAAAAAGAACAGTTTTAAATATGTATATATTCTCCCATCCCTCCCCAACCAGGCCCCCCCCCCCCCCCCAAAAGAAAGTTTGTAAGCAATTTTGTAAATTTTACTTAACATAAGTTAATTTCAATATACCATAAAGAATACAGTACAATATCACAATATATTCAATAAGCACAACTAAAAATAAGTTTCAAATACATGATTGTCTCACCAATCCCCCCCCCCCCCCCCAGGTATTCCATTGAATTGTCGGAGCATAAAATGCTTCAGCTTTCTCCAGTTTAAATGCACAAAAAAATAAACTATCACAGCTATGAAGACAACATATAAAAACTTTATTGTACTTAAGCTTGTTCTTCTGACAAAAAATATATATATATCTGAAGCTTCAACAGGTAATTAATTTTATTTTTTTATAAGCAAATGTCTGTTACATAACAAATATTCCAAGCATTATCCCAATATCATTGTAATAGCATCCTTAAATTAACCTTATATTAATCATCTTGCAAGATAAAAAAAAAATGGCACCATCTATTCATTCTTGTTGGTCTTTAATTGTGTGTGAAGTTCATGTAATTTTCAAGAGCGGATACCTGTACATGTATATACATTTAATCATCAGGATAATTCAAAGTTGTCTGGATATTGATGCTGTCTTCTTAATAAGCCAATGACATCCCAGGGTGACTTCTTTCGAAGGGAATTTGATCTTTCAAGGTTTTGGCATCTCAAGCAGCCTCTTTTGGTCCTGAAGTAACCTCATGGATACCTGGAAGTAAAAAAATAAGCAAAGAAATTTATAATAAGCAAAATAAATATCAGTTTTACTTTCAGAATTTGAGGCATAGATGACCTAGCCCCTTCCTTGTTCACTTAGTGGTTTGTTGAGTAACAGTGCTTGACGATGGCTAACTGGTCATAATCCCCATGTTAATCACAAGCACAATGTTCTCCAAGTCTGATAAGAAGTTCTGGCCCGAGTAGACTCTGCCATATCCTCAAAGGATCAGTGTCGTCTGTGTGCAAAGTGATGTCAGCTTGCAGGAGGGAGGGTGAAGTGATGTTGGTGCAGTGCTGGGTACGTACCTTGAGAATGTGGGCAAGTGACACGGGAACAAGCTAGAATCTTCCTACCAGACTTGAGACACACCATGCTCATGAACAACATGGTGACTTTGACAAGTCAGCCATTGTCAAGCACTCTCACTCTACAGATCACAAAGTAAACTGACTAGAACACGAGCTCATCATTCCTGACAAGTCCTGGCGACACTGGCTGATGAGAAGCCACTCTCTGAGGTCAGCAAGCACGACCTCTTTATTTCCTCTACTACTAACCAACGAATTTCCTATGCCTATGCCTACTCTTCTAACTCAAGCTGAGAGGTCTTCTACACTCCCAGTTTGATCACTGGGAACTGTATCAACTTCAATTAACCTACATTGTCTTTGTCAATCAAACAACAGAGTCAATAATAAAGGTCATATCTAAATCACATCTAAAAAATTGACAAAACAGGTTGCAGAAATTAAAATCATTTCAAACTGAATATGAATAACAAAACACATCCTTCCCCCACCCACCCTCCCCCTCCACAAAAAAAATTAGTTTAGGAGAAATTTGGTTTAAATTTCAAAATCAATATTTTACTTAATGTAAGTACTTAATGTTTTTCACTGACATTTCATACTTTTGCTGAATAAAATTGAAAAAAATAGTAATAAAGTTATAAACAAATCAACCCATAATTAAGTTTTAGTTAAAAAATAGTATGCTTGCTTGTTTAAGTGTGAATGAATACTTCATGTTTACTTTCTGACAATATATATTTTTGACTGAATATGTTGTAAGCCTTCAACGACATATGTACATGTATGCCTAAGCCTAAATGTGTAACAAAATTCTGCATAGTAAAATTTAAAAAAAAAAACATATAATAGTTAAAAACAAATCAACCCATAATTAATTTGAATTTAAAAAGTATGCTTACCTGTTTAAGTGTGACCTTGTACTCCTCCTGTGGTTTTGACATTTGGCATTTAACGAGTTTCGGAGGACAAAATCAACTCCTTTTCCTGTCAACTTTGAATGTGCAAAAACAATTGCAACTGATGAAAAGTGTGCAGTATAACGGCGCAGGCAACTTTCAAACCAATCAATGTAATGGAGGCAAACATGCTTTTTACAAATTATAATTGCAAGTGACTTAATTAATGTGGTTGGCATAATACATTGCCATAACAGTGATTAAAATTGGAGGATTCAGGTTCGTTAGGGTTAAATGCCAAATACTTCGGCCGAGACGCAGACCATCATCTTGTTCACTCATTCGTAGACAGTATGCTGCCCTCTTGTGACCACGGTAGGTTCAGTTATCCATCGCAGGAAGGGTGCATAATTGGGAGGTTTGAGATTCTACCAGCCAGCTTGATTGGACGACTAAACACCAGGTAGACTAAGATGGCAACATGCTTGAAATCACAGAAGACAAAATGAAAAGAAAATTAATATCTGCTCAGATAGAATGATTGACAATACCTATTATTCCACGCTGAAATCTTTGACAGCTCAGATTAGCTCTTAAATCTTTGAGACCTTATATAACTGCTTAAATTAAATTCAGCTCCAAATTTTGCATCATGAAATAAGTTCATTTGTTCAAGAAAAAAAATACAACTGATATTATTTCGGTCACACAACACAGGAGAAATTACTTCTACATTCAATAAACATTTTCTGCACATTCAATTCTTCCAGACCATTTGATATCAATAAACTTCCTAATTTTCTTCAAGCTTATATGCCATTTCGATATTGTTTTGGGGTACTTGGTTAACATCTTAAAGCTCATTTAAAGTAGATTATCCAAATTTATTTAATCAGTTTCTTGGCTTGAGGTTTCTCAGTCCCCAAACTCATATCCAAACACGGTATAAATTTGTATTGAATAAAAGTACATGTACACTGACCTGCATGGCTGGCAACTTGACTGTTGAACCAACACCTGAAAAAGATCAGATTTGTTAAAACGGTGCCTTCATCAAATAAATCTGAGGGTTTTTGGGGGGGGGGGGAGCGAGGTGTTTGTGTATTTTTAAAGCTTTAAACTGTTTACTTTATTTTTTTGTTACATGCATGTACTTATTTGAATTGTTTGCTCTGTCACCCCCCCCCCCCCCCCCCCCTTCCTCAGTGTTTGCCACACAATTTCAAGTCAAAAATCTACTCTATGGTGACATTGCCTTCAATTTGTAGTGGGACATCCGACATTGTTTTAAATTACTCATATGGAATTTGGGAAAAGGGGATTCAGATCATTTTACACCCCTACCCCACCACTGGACACCCCAGGATCCGCCTGCCCCCCCCCCCCCCCCCCATCTGACTTGAAGTTGAACCCCCCCCCCCAAAAAAAAAAATAATAATAATAATAATAATTAAAACAAAATAATAATTGGTTGGATTAATATTAATTAAGGAAACTAAACTCACCACTCCCTCAACATGAAGCTACAGTAACTGCTTGTTTTGATGCTAATTCCTCCGTTTATCCATGACACAAGCAGAATCCTTAAATAAACTGAAGGGAGTCCCTGCTGTTTCTTTACAATCCAAAACGTGCTGTGCTGACAACAAATGTTCGTGGGTCCAAAAACATCATTCACAGTCCTCGTCGGTCACAAATTGACAGCTAAAATAGCTGCAGGATTGTTCAGTTACGAAATGAATTATCCAGTGGGTCAGGATGCAGCAGTAAAAAAGAGATATTCTCCGCTAAAGATTAATTCGGATATCCCGCGAACAAAAACGTAAATTTCAGGACAGGCTGGCAGAGTAAAGTACGCATGCGCGAACAATTTGAAAATGAGGCCAAAGCACGTGTCGCCGTTTGGTTATTCCGTTAAACAATTGAGATTTCTAAAAGATCATCACCTAATTTTTATTAATTCAGGTTTGTAATTTTAAAGGTACCCCCTTTGAACAAATAAAGGATGATTCATCCTCGACCGGTATTTATTTTATTTTAGGTCATTCTCGTTGTTGCGGGTATTTAAGTTATTTTTTAGTCATTCTCGTTGTTGCAAAAAATATATATTTACTTGTCTTTAAACTTTTGGGCACTTGATGAAAGATTTTTTGTAATGATAAAATAATCATGCAGCCATTATTTCAAGGTCGGAAAGGAATGTGTCCGCCCACCTATAAATCTGAACAACTTCTTCATTATTAGTCAATTAAGGATGCTGATGAAATGATATTGTACGGTTATAAAAAAAAAAAAAAACTCATGAAACCCTTTGAAATCAAGATAATCTTTCAATTTATAATAAAATCTATATCAGAATAATGATTTCAGATTGAATAAGTCGGCAAAAGTGGCCCTAAAGTAAGAAAAACAGTGAAAATCTACGCCGAAAAAGTAGTTACAGTTTGTTGGTGAGGGCGACAAACATTTTCATTTGAAAATAGTAACTAAAATCTGCCAGGAGAGGGCGGCAAACTGATTTTATCAAATTTTTCCGTTTGAAAATGTCTGTCAATAGAGGGCGACAAACATGTATTTTTTCTATTTTTGGAAAATGTCTGCCAATAGAGGGCGACAAACTTTTTTTAAATGTCTGCCAATAGAGGGCGACAAACATGTTTTTTTTTTTAATTTTTGAAAATGTCTGCCAAGAGAGGGCGACAAATAGGTTTTAACTTTTTCCTGAGTGACCCATACCATCAACCAATACCTTTCTCAAAAACAATCGGGGAAAATACTCATAACTCTCAAAGGAGTTTACCACGAATATTTAATTAAAGTTTGATTATATTAACACCTCTTTCGTTTTGTGTTCAACTTTGAAGGGTTGGTTGACCGGTGACTTTGGGGAATGTTTTTCTCTAAGGTTAAGATCAGACCTACTAAAAAGCAGTCCTACAGTCCATTGCAATAAAGCAACTTTCCCGGTCCAATTTTATATCTACACATTTCCAGCAATTGGACTACATTAACATACTTTAACCTTAAAAAGGTACGAAACTTCAAATGCTAGGGCCACACACATCTCTACTTAGAAAGAAAGGATTTTTTGGGCCCCTTTTAATAATTGGTCTACATTTTTGGCTTAAATATTGTTTGTCGCCCTCTATTGGAAAATTTTGGAAAGACTTTTTTGAACTTGTAGGATTGTTTGTCCCCCTCTATTGACAGATTTTAACTAGATTTTTAGAGATCGAAAATTGTTTGTCGCCCTCTATTGGCGCATTTAAATGAGTTTTGAATGATGTGATGTTTGTTGCCCTCTAGTGCCGTACTTAACTAGTTTTTCAAGATTGTTTGTTGCCTTCTACTGGCTAATTAAAACTTTCAGATTTATTTTTTACTCTACTGGCATTCATTATTTGCATAAGAAGAGGAATTTAAGCCTTGTAATATTTCTTTCCAAAAGAATTCCAGACAGACAAAACAATGTGTGTATTTTGTTCACATTGAACAATTTATTTTCTCATTAAAGTGAAACCATGACAGATGGTTTCTTTTTAATTCAGGCATTAGTTAATTATTATATTACAAATCTTTTTCATGAAATGGTAACGCTTTATCGAAAATTTTGAAGGAAGTCAAATGATGAAGCAGGTCTTTAGTTTAGAGTCTCCTGTCAAAACTCACTCTGTCTGCCAAAACCAGCTACAACTAAACATTCTTGAAAATAATTAGAGGTCTACTTTCATTTTATGGAACTGATAATGGAAAAGTGATACTGAGCACAGCATATACACTTATGGGTAGCAAGCGCCTACTCAATACAACTTTTGAAGTATAAGAGGTTGTTTTTTGTATTCCCAATTGTAAGTAGCCCGATGCACCTCTGTCCTTGATATTTCTGATTCCATGGTAACAATAATTTATCATTCCAATAAATCCTGCATATCTCCGATATCAAAACACGGCATCTGTTCATTGGCTTTTAAGCTTGTGTCTCCTTCGGATTCCTCCACTGCCGAGAGAGGGGAGTAGCTAGGGCTCCTGTCATGAAGGGAGGGGAGTTGCACCTTTGCTGTGGAATCTTCCACTTCTGATGTAGGGGAGAAGTTGGGGCTGCTCTCAGGAGTTGTAGCCTTAGATCCTGTCTGATCCTTGTTCTTTTCTTGGTTTGCAAGTTCTTCTAGCCTTGGTGTCCAGTACTTGATGAATGCTTGCGAAAACTGGATCCCATTTTCAGCACCTACAGCAACAATGAGTTTGAAATAAGTTATTGTCTAATATGAAATCAGGTTGAACATTATTCTTGTTAAAAGTTGCAACAAAAACTTTCACTTTACAGACAGGACCCTTTCATGTTATAATATACTGACAAATCAGAGATTGTTTTAGGCATTTATGAATTAACAATTGTGATGCGATCAAGCAAAATGAGTCGTTTGTCAACCCTGGTCATTTTCTTTTTACAGATTGGAAATAATCTCAGCATTACTGCTGTGAAAACCGCATGCTGGTACCATCTTTAGGTCAAAAATGATGGAAGTCAGAACACCAAGAGATGTGATGAACTCATGTGATGAAGTGGCCCTATTTTGGCCTGAATCTCCAAATGAAACCTTCCAACAAAGAAATCACTTAGCTTGATCGCGTCACAATTAACCTCCATAATCAAATGACAAAACAGATTGTCTCATTTATTTTTAATAATAAATAGTTATCCCTTCCATCACTGCACCAACTGGAAACTGCCAGGCCTTTAGCTGCTCCATCCTGACCCAAAGTTTCCAGAGTTTCAGCTAATACAATGACTAGAGATAAATTAACACAGGAGTGTTTTACTTACCCTTGGACTGGTCAATGACTTTGCCCCACAAGCTGTTAGCAGATAGGATACGCAGGTTGCCAACAATCAACAGGTGGTTCTTAGATCTGGTCAGGGCTACGTTGGTTCTCCTAGAGATGGGGACAAGAACACAAGACAATCAGCAAAGTAGTCAATGCTCTTTAACACCAGTCATTTAACAAACCGCGGATTCAGCTCCTGTACTGACTCATTGATTTTAGGATGTTAAGATGCTAAGTAAATCATATAAGAAACGCCAGAATCTGCAACCGAAGCCTAGGTTCAGAAAAGGCAGTATGGACCTAGGCACAACTATGTCCTCAAAGGTAAGAAGAATATGGTTCCTTACTTATCCGAGTCAGCAAATCCCATGTAGTCAGTCCGGACACAAGACAGGATGATGACACCCTTCTCACCTCCTTGAAATGCATCCACCGTAGAGATCTGAATGGCTTTCAAGCTGTTCTGTGTACTCAATCTAGGAAACATAAAACAAAAGATTATTTGCATAAAGTTCATTGTGCTGAATAATGTACAAAGCAATTGCTCCATTTTGGCCATTCCAAACAATAAATGGCACAATGCTTCTGCCAACATTTTGGGGCCTTCTGTGAGCGTAAAGTGATTCTATACCCAGGCATGCAACTTGGAATTTACAAAAAACGAGGAAGTTCCAAACTTTACAGAACTTTGTACAGTGTTTTTCAATTTTAAATGGCAAAAGTCTGAAGTCAAAAACGAGGAAATCAGCTGATCCGAGGAAAAGTTGCATGCCTGTATACCCAGATTTTCCTCTTGAGGTGGGGGAAGGGTGGGGATATTAAAAGGGGGTGAAAGAGGGGAAGGAGAGGGGTAAGAAGGCTTCTTACTTGCTTGCCTGCAGTAGTACATTTATCTTGACCGTCTGTGCTTTGTACAGCGTAATGACACCTATATCAGCTGGTTCTACACCAAGTAGGACCAAGGTCTCAATCAGAAAGATGACAAAGGATGCCTCTTGCTCGTTGTAGTAGCTACCATCACTGGCGCAGCATTCCTTGCCGCTAGAAACACTGTAGAAGCACAGAGTTGGTATGGGCTGAGAAAGAGGAAAGCTTTTATTAGTCGAGCAAATGTGTCTTGTCATTCTCTTACAAATTGAAAAAAAAAATCCAGTAAACAATACGGTTAACATACACTCTTATTTTTCAAATGCAGTGGTAAAATGCAACTGTGTGCATTTCTCTCATGTGCAAGTACCACAGGTTTGTGGACATTCAACTGAAAAGTGAGAACGCAAATGTGAAAGTCCTTTCCTGGTTCTTTGTTGAGAAAACTACAGAGTACCATCCATGGGCCTCGCGAGGATATTTTCAGAAAAGCAAAAGAAAAGGAGAAAAAAAGGAGAAAGAAAGAAAAAGAGGCGCGAAGTCATATTGCTGTTAATTGAATGGGCTGTGGGGGGGGGGGGGGGGGTGGAGGGCTAATGTCCCTGCCCACCCTTGAACAATGATAAATCGAGAATATGCATGAAAAGTTCAGGGATTTCGGGGGGGGGGGGGGGGGGGGGTGGGGGGGGGGATGTGCTTCGCCCCCCTCTAAAAAAAATCCTGGCGATGCCTATGGTACCATCTACAATTCCCACACAATGTAAATTATAGTAGTAATGTGACATTATTTTCCTACAAAGCGCATGATTGTTTACTTCATTATTGGAAGAAAATTAAGATGTTTTTAAATACTTACAGCAAGTGGAGGTCTGTCTTTCGATGATACACCATCGATGAGTTGCTGATCATAGAATAAGCAGTTAGCAATGGCGCTGATTGTTGGATGACATCGATACTGAGTACGTAGTAGAATTGGCTCACAGCCCTGAAATATACAATGAGCAACAATTCTTTTTTTCATTTTTCAGTAAAACTGAGAACGTTTGCAATCAATTCTGAGTGCTTTTGTACTCCAAACTGAGATTTTCAGCCCACTATTGTCAGGTTTCAAACTGTGTCAAATTTTCTGAGGGTGCTATGGCAAATAAAAAAAATATGGGCTTTATCTCCGACTCCAAAATCATTAAATAGATGTTGAAGTCCAACTAAATAAAATACTTCAAACCACGGCTTTGCAAGTCAAAAGTCCATGAAGTCAATATTGAAATTTCTTGAAACAGAATCCTGAGATGAAGCTGAAGTTTAGCGTACCAAGAGGATGAGTCTGTTGAACAGCGTCTGCTCCAGGCCGTGGCGATGAGCAGCCTCGGAGCCTTGGATGGTTGGATCAAGCTGCTTAGGATCACCGACAAGGACCAGCTTCTCACACTGGAATCTAGCGATGGGGAGGAGAGAGGATGGCTCTGTCATCTGACTGCACTCATCAAGAAGGATGACCTGAGAGGTGGGTACAATGGTTTATTATCACAGCGTTAGAGTTTCCAATGGTTTTTATCAGACTGCAGAATTCTGTTTATTCTCAAATGCATGTTCAGTCAACCTCGAGAGTGCATTTGCCATTTTAATTTCCCGGCCTACTGAACAAGGCAAGGTTTTCAGCATCTGCAAATCAAAAGTTATGAATCAGTGGGACAAGGACAGCCTGTCTGCATAAAGTAGATTACATTTCATGTCCCAACATTCGGTTTCCAAAAAGTCAAGATATCAATGGAAAAGCAGTGTTAAATTTGTCGGTCGCACCACAAAGTGATGTGTCATGTGCACAAAGTCCATATAGAGGATACGTCACTATGTGATGCACCCAACGAATTCAAACAAACATTGTCAATTCGTAACTACATTCATTTTGTCCAAGTCAGAGTAACACACATACACACAGAGAGACTGCAAACAAACAAGCCATCTACTCACAGGGAACTTGAGACTGCTCATACAAGGGAAGGTACAAGCTGCACAGGTGACGCCCACCACCCTGACACTACCCAGGAGATCCTTGTTCCTACCCAGCCGCTGCCTCTCAATGCTCCTCCTGACGTGATGTTTCTCAGTAGGCGTTAGATCTGTCTTCAGCATCTCGTACAGGTCTCTGATCTCCTGACTGTCTTTCTTGTCCGAGGCGTGGACACTTAAAATGTAAAAGATGATAAAATTGGTGATGAAGTACTACATTGGCACTGGATTTGCTGAGATGTAGGGTACTTGGGTAACCTGTATTGTGACATTATTGGCATCTATGTGACTATTCAGGAGACTGTGGAACCCTGCCTCACCAGAGGAGGGGGACACTAGCAAAAATAATATATCCTGCTTCGAGGACATTAATTCCCGTTATCTAGCATCAAAATTTAGAGTTTGGTTTGGACATTAAAGGCTTCTACATGATTCTGGAACCAAAGATGAAGTTGAAACTAGAGAAAGATTGGAAAACTGTCCATAGATTCCACCTGTATGGCAGCACTGGCTTGGCAATCTTCTTGATGCTTCCAACGCGAATGAAATCCTCAAACCCAAGCTGCAACAACCTGCAGAGAAAGTTGAGAGAAAATACAGTAACAACAATCTAGCTCTTTGTCTTTTATCACGTGGGCACTGGCAGTACTCTATGTGATCACTGACAACAGAATTCATGAATTAAACTTTTCACGTACCCTAAGAGGATCCTGTCCACTGCCACATTGGTGGTGGAAGCGATGAGGAGTTTCCATGGCAGCTGCTGGGAGGCATCACCTGGATAAAGAGCATCACTGAGCTCAAACAGCTGGAGGAGGAACAGGACGGTGATGGCAAGGAGGAAGCTCTTTCCGGCACCAAAGACACCTGGAGGAGAAAAGACAATAATTATCATCATTTATCTGTTTATTTATGGTAGTGAAACCAAGATATTCCTCGTAAGTGTTCATGGCCGTGCTCAAAAGCCTGAAGAGGCAAGACTACCTGGAAAAAAAATGGAAGAATGCTCAGTTTTAGGCCAGAGGTAGTTAAGTCAAACCTTACAAAAAAGTTGAAGATCTTACCATGGATAAGTGTGACAGGTTCTGGGTTGGCGTTTTCATTGCTTGCTTGCTGAAACATCAGAGCGATTCGTCTCAATGCAGCAGCCTGGTCTGTGTTCAGATGGTGCCTCTCAATCATGCCTGTAGCAATCTGTTCCTGTGTGAGGAAGGTTGTAGAAGCTATACACTTAACCTCAGTGTACCTCACAGTTCTGAGGTTCATTAACAAAACCTCAGCAAAATGCAGTTTGTGATATGTTCTGTGAAATGCAATAAGAAATTTTCAATCCCACTTCTGACACCATGTGAACAGTGGAAGATGCAGGATCTGATCTGTGGTTGGATGTGTTAAACCTCATCGCACCTCAGTTTTTCTGAGCTTCATTCTGAGGTTTTCTTCATGCTTCAGACGAGGGAGAAAGCACTAGCACCATTTTGTTCTTGAAACTGATGGAATAAGACAGATCTCATAAATGGATGAGATCGCCATGAGGAATAAAACAAAGCTACAACTCACAATATCCTGAGCGGAGCAGCCAAGGCTTCTATAGTTACTGCAGGCTTGATGAGCAGGTGGCTTGAAGGCTGATAGTCTGGACCTGACAACAGACTGCGCTTCATCACACCTTGCAGTTAATAAAGATATAACATAACACATAAAGCCCCATACAAATCTTTTGTCTAGAGCTATTGTCTAGGTCTTCTGTAATCACAACGATAAGGAAAATGTTGACAACAGACATAGCTGTAGTCCGGAAGCCTGTTTGGGACACAGCCTGAGACTTTCATCGTGCAAGCTAAATCTCAAGCGAATGCATAACCATTCTGGGCAAAGGCTCTTATATAAGGCCAAAAAAAAAAGTCTCTGGTTTCTGGTATGCGCGCGCGTCGCCGTAGCCATGCGCGTCGGCAAAATGAAAAAGTTTTTTTTTCAATAAACGATGATGTCTCAAAACCGCCAAACTCACTGGTTTGACTGGAATCCTGCTGCTGCACAATTTTAACGTGTTTTTAGATTGGGTTATGGTCGAGAATAAGCTTTATGTGGCCTCTCTGGACTCCCATATATTTGCACTAAGTTTAGTCGGGCACCATTTGCAGTCATCAGCCGACATTTGAAGCAAAAAAATCAGGTAAAAAAAAAAAAAAAGCCGCGTCGCCGCACCACTTTTTGGGCAAGCTCCATACCAGAAACCGGAGACTTTTTGGGGGGGGGGGGGGCCTAAGCGAAGAAAATTATTACAAACAATTGATAACTAAAAATATGACCTTATTTATGTCAACCAAAACTTTCTTCACAAGCTTTCAGTTGAGTCATATTTATGGGTTTCCTTACCTGTTGCCAAGAAGGAACGGTAGTATGGGGACACTCCTGGCATTGATATACTCCTGGATGTTGTTGAGACACGTCAGCTCTGAGCTAGCATTGCAAGCCAGTAGGGCGTGTACAGTGCCTGCCAAGAACAAACAATGTAAATGTAATGCTATCTGCATTGATGACCCTAAGGTCCGGGTCTACAGTAATCCTCTACTGGGAGAAATGTAAATTTAACCTTAAAGTAGGGGCACCTGACACCATTTTCAATCATTGACGCTGCTTGACAAGAAGAACAAAATACTTTTCTTCAGATTTCACTTGCAAATGGTTGCATAAACTGTGCAGTGTTAGCTGGCAACACTTTCTTGTAATTAAATCAGGACTGACTTGTCGGGATTTGTGACTGACTGGGTTACACCATGGTCATGTGACTAACTTTCAGCCAATCAGAGTGAAGAATCAGCGAGCGGTGTGTTAGATATAAACACTCACACGATGATGTCCAGTTAGATGTCGAGTATCCATAGAGTGGCTCAATCTCCACGTCATTGTTGGAGGACGGTCCGTGGTACACACTCCTGGCTAGGAAGGTTGACCTGGGGTCAAAGGTCAAGTCCTTAGAGATGACCCAGATGTCCTCTGTATGACACAGACAACAACAACTTTCAGATTCATGAAATTTAGTGTTAAAAATTTACTTTTGACTTTAATGGAGCTGGTTTATTCTGTACTACAAGCAAAAATGCCAATTTGCCGGCTAGTGATGAGGGCTCATCAGAGCAACTGGGATTTCAACTTCTGTGAAATCCCAGTTACTTTAGCTGGGGTTTCCGTCCAGTCTCTTCAACTGAACATTTCGGCATCATCTGATCTCCACAGGTTTCTTATTAGGTTTACATTCATGAAGCGTCCTTGGTTTCTTTTGAGAAGTATCAGTTAATAGTTTTGGTATGTTAAATATACCTTTGCCATAAGAAGACGAGGACTCCTTTCTTGACAGCTTCAGGTATAACTTCTTCTTACTGTTGTCCAACATCTTTTGCTTGTGCTTTCTGATCCACGCCTACAAAGTAAATAAAAATAACTTTTAGGATTTTGTATTTCAAATCATAATGTATGAAATGACAGAACACTGATGAGCACAAACTGCTTTTCTATATGCCACGCCTATATTCTCTATAGCCTCATTTATCCAAGATATGATTGTGGATACTCACAGGTGCACCAGGCATCAGATTACTGTAGTTGGATCTCTTCTGAAGCTCACATCCATAGTACAGTTTAATATTATGGCTCCTGAAGTACACGGTGGCAGTGGTGGGATCCGTCAGTGAGGGTCTACTAGATCCTGATGACTTGGTATCCGAGTTGGTAGCACTGCCTTTGAACTTGTCAGCCCACATGAAGAACTAGTCAGTCAAAATATAAGTGGATTAGTCGGTGACCACTCTGTCATTGATTAATATTGACCAGTCAATTAAAAATTGTCTAACTATGGTATACTATAGTTCTTTATCAAACCTGCTATATAAAAACCCCGCTGTGATACTCACCTTACACTGGTTGGCCCTCTGAGCACTACATGCATAGAAGAACCTTCCCTTATTGGCTCCCTCCTTCTTGACGCACACCATCTTAGCAGGGTTGCCGTGATCGCATCGCGGCGAGGCACTGACGCCAGACTGATCACCAGACTGCTGCAGTGAGGAGTCTAGGTGCTGCACGTCGGCTTTGTCTTTGGCTGAGTGGTATCGCTGGCTCAGCTCAAAGAGAATGATATTCAGGTGTTCTGCATCAATAATTGATATATCAATACACATTAAACTTCTGAATTTTTTTACTCTGACAATATGGTATTAACAGCCATCACTGAACAGAAAAATGACAAAGATAAGTGGAAGAACAATGGTAGTTTGAAAGTCAGAGTAACGATCACAGCGTTGATGAATTGCTGACTTTGCTGACGCAAGCATGAAAGAAATCTGAGGATATGTATTTAAAACCAATTAAAGTATTAATTAAAAATCCAACAGACACCTGTAAAATACACTGTTTACCTTTCAGAGCAGATGTCAAGACTTGCTTGTAATGAGCAACACAGGAGAATGATGCTGGGATTTGTACTTGGCGTTGGAGGGATGCCACGCCTTGGACTTCATCGGCAGAGGGGAAGAACAAGTCCCCACAGATGCTCCTCTAGAAAATGACAAAGAAAGGAGTGGCTCATTTGTCCAAATCAAGTAGGAAACAAGCCATCAGATTGGGGAAATAATCGGCGGGGGTCTGAGGGTCGCTGAGGGCCCCAGACCAACATAGGGTCTATCGTATATGCTTGTATTTGACTAAAGGCGTCCCTTAAAGTACCCAATTGTTTTGTTCTTTATAAACTTTCATAGATACAAACAGTTTTACGGTAAATGATCAGGATTTTCAGACTTCAAAAAGGGATTCTTTAAAATCCTGAAACAAAATCCTGAAATCAAATTTTTTTTTTACAAAGCTCACCCATGTGGAAGTCATATTATTTACAGCACAACAGAAATTTTCCCAATAAATCAGACACAATTATATCTGTAATTGGTTCTTACCCCAGATGATAAAGCAGTCTGTCCACTGACTGTCATTGTTGGGGTCTGGAAGCCTCTACCTGATCTCCCAGTGTGTGGAGTTGGCAAGCTTTGGAAAGTACTTGCTGCAAGTGTCAAAATTAAAAATTAAAAACACAAATTTACATGTAAAGATACACACAATTTAGACATTACCTTCAGTACTTCCAGTCTTTAGGTATGGTAAAAATACAAGCATATACTACCTCAAAACTAATGCACTGCAACGATTAAACACTCGTTGGTATGTATATCTTATAAATAACTGTCCCATGTTTGGCTTTACTGAAAATGACCACTCAACTGACCTATCCCTATTTTACTAACTCAAATCCTATTGCTAAATTTTTTTCACACATCTTTGAAATAAAATGTGTATAGAAAATCAGGTTTAGTTAAAAAATTTCATTCAACTATGAGTAGACCAGCATCACCTGAGTCCTCTCTAGGGAAAAGTTTAGTTGTGCCAAACATGCATGTAGCTTCCATGTGTGGTAAGCCTATGTTTCTCTCAGCTCCAGGCACAGAAATGGTGTCAGAAGTGGGATGAAATTGTTGACGAAACGATGCTGGTGTTTCCAGCATCTGGTATCCTGTTGGAGTGTAACCTGGAACTTCAGGATGAGATAAGTCCTCCAAGATATGGGGAGCATCTTCATTCACTTCCAAGGAAGCATTCTTTAGAAATTGTGATAAATATGGATCACATGCGGGACTACATGTACGATTGAAATTGTGATCTGAGTTCCAGGAATGATAGCCAGGACTTTCTCTAGAGAGGTATTCTCCTAACTCAGAGTTGGTGTCAGGGGTGGGATGAATACGTGAATCAATGTCATCCTCAGCAACTGTGAGAGAAGGATGAAACATAGGCCTAGGAGGAGGAGTAACTGTATACTCTCTCTCCAAAACAGACCCAGATTTTGGTGAGTTTTGCTGAAACCTATCCCACTGACTGGTCTCCTGTAATCGATGAGAAGTTTTGCATCTCAAATACTCATCCTGAGAGACGTCTTCTTCCTGCATCCAATAAGGAACTTGATGTCTAGCTTGGATGGGTGTAGATGCTGGGACCTCTCTTCTTGCCTTGGCTTGGAAAATTGTTGGAGCTTCCGTTCCTCTCCGAACTGTCCCACTCGATACTGGATTGTACCAATAATTGTCCCTCTTCTTCTTCTTGGTTTCCTGGAGAGAAAATCAAGTGAAAAATTTAATTAAAAAACTCCATAACAATTAAAAAAAACAATTCTTTGACCACAAAAATACTTGTTGCAATTACTGTTACAATGCAATTATGTATTACATTTCCCAGCTGGGAATATATTTTGAAAGTACAAAAATGTACGTGTACCATGAATGAAGTGGCATTGTTCAGATGACAATTCAGTCAATGATAACTCTAAACTCTTTTTAGTCATTTGATAAAATGAGGTACCTTGTCTGTAGTGCTTGGAAAGCTTCCTTCAGATGTATTGCTGACATCATCAGACACGCGCCTCTTAAGCTGGGAATGTGGAGGCATTCCTGATGATTCCTCAGGATGAAAGGACTGCATAATATTTGGATGTCTTCCTTCAACTTTATCATTGGGTGAAAAATATGAAAACGTATGAATTACCACGAACTAAAAAAATGTGTCAATATCAGTGGAAAACACTTCACGGAAAAGGTTGGCTTGAAAAAGCAAGGAAAAGATAAAACAAGCGAGCAGTCCTGTTTAATTATTAAGATCTTCAGTGAAAAACTTGATTGGAGTTCCAGGTACATGTACATTGTAATAATTGTTGGAAAATTTTACATGCTAGTGTCCCTTATTTCCCCCTATCAAATTCTTGATGGGTTTCGCTGTACTTATTGGGCCGATGTGCTGTTTGTCAAATTTTTCAAAGTCCTCAGATTTTGTTTGGTTCATTATCTGCAACGACGGTTCAACAAAGGATTATTGATTGACAGACTCAGCCACAAGTAATGTACATAGTCATCAAAGAGCAACAATTAAATGTTATTTAAAACACTTACCAGTCTCCTGTGTGTAAGGCACTACTCCTGATGAGGGATCCCTTTCAGGTATCTCCATCACCCAGTCACGGTCCAATCTCCTCAGATCAAGACTGCTACAATCAGGTCCACCTTCCCCAACAGTGAGTACCTCTGGTTGCTCATCACATCTTGCCTCCAACTCAGCATAGTGCTGGCTGTAGCCTGGAAACATGGGCCAACATCTTGGAGACAACTGTCTTGATTGAAGACTTGGATTCCGTTGTACATATACACCATCAATACTTTCAGTTTCTTCGTAACATCTTGGCATCTTTGATAGCCCTGTGGTACCTATGTCTGGACTTACTTTCTGGCAATCAGACAAACTGTCATAACCGACAGATTGAGGAAACTGAGATTCAACTCTTCTTGTGACCTTGTCTTCATGGATATGCATACTTATTGGTGAGCATGGTGACATACTGGAACAGTCTCCTTCACAATCCGGACTCATCTTGAAAGCGCTCCTCCATTTGCTGTCTGGGCATCTTCTTGGAACATCAACTCCTGATGAAGTACCTTGCAATGATGAATCTTGTGTCCATCTTGAATTTGAAGTTAGTGGTCGTGTTCCAGGTAGAAACTTATGATAATTGTGTAAGGGAGGTGACAGTGAGGTAAGTTCTTTCTCTCTGGCCAGATCCTCCAGGCCATTGGCGTAACTATTATCTTTCTGAGACTCCTGCATGAGTGTAGTTCCAATCCCCATTTGGTTGCCAGTGGTGTTCAATACTTGTAACGACCCCATCATTGGAAACTCATGCTGATCAATTTCCACTTTATGAGACACTGTTTCTTGCTTGGATCTCCTTGCAACTCCCTTCCACTTCACTGGGAGATACTGTGGAATATCAGAGCGTGTCTTGAGTGATGGATTATCAACACATCTTGAGGCAGGGTCACTACAAAACTTCTGCTCCTGGAATATGCAAGACGGAAATTCCATCTTGCTGGGCTCTAAACTGCCTGTTCTAGAGTGTAGTACAATTCCTGAGATGATGGCGTATTTTCCTGCTGCTTCACTGACAGCTCTGTAGTTATCTTGTTGCAATACATGATATTCAGATGAGCTCTCTGCCTGTTCTGGCACACACTGTTCTCCAACAATTGGACTCCTGCTGCTTGGTTTTGGACAACTATCACCTGTTTCAGCAACGCTTCCTTCTTGGACAATGTCCAGCTTCTGCAAACCCTCATGCTTTGTATTTCTTGGTTGTAACGTCCCAATCTGTGGTACAACACTGTCTGAGATGTCCTCTTCTGTATTTATAAAGGGCTCTACACTCCTCAGCCAGTATTCCAGAGGATTTTCATGGGCAAAAACTTTTCCTGTCAAATCTTTGACTTCTGTCTTGATGGTCTCTTTGGGAGAGGAGAATTCATAAGTGCTAAGCGGAGTCAAGGGGGTTTCTTGAGAGACTTTAGATTTTTCCTTGAGTGGGATCTTTAGAATTTCATTTCGTAATGACTGATGATCTAGACATTCAAATTCTGCATTGCCAGAAATTTCAGATGTTGAGTTCAAGGTTGATTCAAATCCGCCTTCAATCTCTTTAGCACACTCTTCACACATTTCTTGAGCACTGTGCAGCTCTGTACCACACAGGGTACAGATATCCTTTGCATCTGTTGTTGTCTGTTGAGGCACAGACATGCCTAGTGGAATTGTTTCGTGCTGCTTTTCATACAAGTTTCCATCCTTTGTATTGACAAGGCTCCTGTCACCACAGTTCTCTGCTTTCTTGTTCCTGTCACCAAGGCTCTCTTCATCCTGGTTCCTACAATCCAAGTTCCCATCATCATGGTTCCTGTCATCACACTTGCCATCATCGTGGTTCCTGTCATGACAGTTGACTTCATCCTGGTTCCTGTCATCACAGTTGCCTTCATCCTGGTTCCTGTCATCACAGTTCCCATCATCCTGGTTCCTGTCATCACAGTTCCTGTCATCCTGGTTCCTGTCATCACAGTTGCCTTCATTCCGGTTCCTATCATCACAGTTCCCTTCACCCTGGTTCCTGTCATCACGATTCCTTTCATCCTGGTGCCTGTCATCAAGTTTCCCTTCATCCTGGTTCCCGTCATCACAATTCCTTTCATTCTGGTTCCTGTCATCACAGTAGTTCCCTTTATCCTGGTTCCTGTCGTCACAGATCCCATCATCCTGGTTCCTCTCATCTCGGTTCCCTTCACCCTGGTTCCTGACCTCACGGTTCCCGTCATCACAGTTCCCATCATCCTGGTTCCCGTCATCACACTTCCCTTCATCCCGGTTCCTGTCATCACAGTTCCCTTCATCCCGGTTCCTGTCATCACAGTTCCCATCATCCTGGCTCCTGTCATCACAGTTCCCATCACCCTGGTTCCCGTCATCACACTTCCCATCATCCTGGTTCCTGTCATCACAGTTCCCATCATCACGGTTCCTGTCATCCTGATTCCTGTCATCACAGTTCCCATCATCCTGGTTCCTGTCATCACAGTTCCCATCATCACGGTTCCTGTCACCCTGATTCCTGTCATCACAGTTCCCTTCATCCTGGTTCCTGTCATCACACTTCGCGTCATCCCAGTTCCTGTCATCACAGTTCCCATCATCCTGGTTCCTGTCATCACAGTTCCCATCATCCTGATTCCTGTCATCACAGTTCCCTTCATCCTGGTTCCTGTCATCACACTTCGCGTCATCCCAGTTCCTGTCATCACAGTTCCTTTCATCCTGGTTTCTGTCATCACAGTTCCCGTCATCTTGGATTATGTCATCCTTGCTCCAACTTTCTTGTTCTCTGTCATCCTGGGAATTATTTTCAAAAGTCCTAGGAAACAAGTTCCATTCACCCTGGACACTATCAATATGGTTTACTTCCTCCTGGGTCCTTTCACCTTGGATCTTGTCATTCTTGTCCTCATCTCCATGGTTACAGTTTCCCTGACCTGCATCATTCCCATTTTCCAGGATGCTAATGTCTTCATCGATATCCCTGTCATTCCTATTAACATGATCCCTATCATCTCCATTGCCACCATCCTGAATCTTATCATTCTGATTTTTATTTTGTTTGTCTCCGTTGCTTAATTTTCTTTCATCCTGATGACAGCTATCCTGTTTCCTATCACTATGGCAACTGCCATCCCCACATCTACTTTCTGGGAAAGTATCTCCCTGGTTCTCATTGAAGTTTCTGTTATCCTCAAAACTACTCCGTTTTCTGTTACTACAGTAACTATCCTCTTTGCTAGTACTGTCCTGGTTTTTACCTTCCTGGTCATTGTCTACGTTCCCTCTATTCTGGATGGAGTTATCCTGCTTCCTATCACTACAGTACCTGTCTTCCCTCCTAGTTCCAGCCTGGAAAGTATCGGCCTGGTTCACACTTTCATCGTCACTATGCCTATCCTCTTTTCTATTACTATGATTACATCTACAAGTATCCTCATTACTTCTATCCTCGTTTGTATCTCCCTGTTCCCAAAATTTTTCTTCTTCTTGGTTATCGTGAGTCTGTTTCCTATCATCTTCAGTGGGTTCGCTAAGGTTCAGATTCTCTGTTTCCTCCATACGTGTGACTCTACAAGGGTAACCGTGATCCCGATCTTGCTCTGAGATTTTTTGTTCTACACCGTTAGTGATGTGGGAGAAGTCACTTTCTTGGGCAATTTCATCTGTTATTTGCAAAGAAGTTGCATTCCAAGTTTGAGTAAACACCCTAACAACTGCTTTAACTGAAAATTGATTTCCTCATAAATAGTGGCATTGAACAAATTTAACGTTGAAAGCTTTAATCAAAAAGACAATTTTTAAAACATAAGAGCGACTATCATAAATTTTAAAGACTAACATTGAGTGCCTTAATATCAATAACAACTGTGGATGGAAAAAAAACTGAGTCACTATACTAACCTCTTCCAACTGCTGCTTTCGTGATTTGTACTTCCATTGAGTTTTCACATCTTACTCCATTTTCCATGCTTTCAGGGTACATTGCGTGTTTAACTGAAAAGGCTGGAGATTCATCTTGTGTCGTTTCAGTTTTGCCTTGTCTGTTGAAAATCAATGAAGGTTTACTATCATCTGTGCCAGGAAGTATTGCATCTCTTGGTGGATCAATACACGAAACAGCCGTAGACTCTGCCTTTGCCTGTCCCAAAAGTGTCATCACATCTTCATCCTCAGAAAATGTCAGTGCAGGAAATGAAGGTTCTGAAGCTTGAAAATGCACCTTTGGTGAGATTGCGACTTGGATATCAGAAGCTGGAATTGGTTGGGTTTTGGGTGCCACTTCAATGTCTGATTCAAGCTCTGGCTGTTTTACAGGGGGCTTAATCTTTGTTTTCCCATTTCCGAGAAGAGCAAGAATCTGTGAGGTACTTCTCCTTCCTGCAGAGTTCCGCTCGTTGTTTGCCTCTGAAACATTTTCCTTTAAGGGAATAGTCTTGGATTTCTGCATGGAGTGCTCATCTGTAAGACTGAAGTTGGGAATATTTTCCTTCAGTTGTTCAACCTCATCGGACTCATGTCGGCCCATCCCATTTTCTGTTGGTTGGTTGTCCTGCCAAAAACTGTGATGCAAGTTGTTTGTTGTTTCAACATTGCAAACATCAGAGGTGCATGTGGGGTCCATCTGGGGAGTTCCAACATCAAAACAAGGTGGAGCAAAGCTATTGTCGCTACCAGAAGTTACTGGCGTCTGGTTTTCTTGAAATGTTCTCCCACTGAGGTCTGAAGGGTAACGTGGATCCCAAGTGATGGGAGACTTTCCATCCATGCTGACACAGGTAGCCACATTTGCACTTGTACTTGCTTGCATCCCTCCATCATACACATTTAAAAAGTTTGTCCTGAAGCTTTTGCTTTCTCCTGCTGTTGCGAAAGGCCTGCTGAAGAGAGTGGGTTTGGTGACTGGGTCCGTGTGGTCCACTACTGAGGAAGGGGTATGGCTGACGGATGTAGAAGTCAAGCTTGCATCTTCTGTTGCTAACTTTTTGGATGCTTGTCTGGGGACTGTAAAACCCTGTTCAAACCAAATCATAAGTCAGACAGCTCTTAATGTTTAAATCATAAATCACTCAAATAAAAGAAGAAAAGGACAAAAGAGTAAAACACTTCAGTTTGTGTGGAAACGCTATGGTGACTTTGATGTGTGCATTTTAGACGCATTCATAACATATGTTTACTTACTTGTTTCCAAATGAAAAATGAACACGGTAAGGTACTTACACATTTGCTTGTGGAAGTGAAATTTACACTTATTTTACACACTCTAATAATAATAATAATAATAATTTGGGAGGCTAATCATCCTTACTCACAGCTGGTATGCTGAATTGCGAAGGACGCGGCTACAACGTGGTCGGGCCGCTGGCACGTAAAGGCGCCTATGGCTGCCGGCCACATCGACCCATATATGACCACGGAGCACAGCCTGAGATCGAAAGTGTTTGATTTTTCCGGAGGGAGGAAAACCAGAGGGCCCGGAGAAAAACCCTCGTGGCACAGGAGAGAACCAACGCACAACTCTACTCACATGCGATCCGCGGCCAGGATTTGAACCGTGGTCACCTTGGTGAGAGGTGAGCGCTTTACGCACAAGCCACCCATGCCACCCACAAGCCACCCATGCCACCCACAAATGCATCAATGCTAAGGGCACCATTTTATTTTAAACTGACCGTTCTTTTTCTTTTCAGAGGTATTCTTTTCTGACTTCCAAATGCTGGTTGATGCTGCTGTTGCTGCTGCTTTTGTTGTTGTTGTTGTTGTTGCTGCTGTTGCTGATGAACTTCACTGCTACAGGCCGAAGCCAGTGTAGTAGCTTTCTCTTCTTCAATTGTGATCAAATAGCGATCACTCTCAAGCTCTTCCCCCACTGAGACCTTTCGTGTAAGTTAAAAAGCAAGATTCACCAGATGCACAGACATAAAATTTACACTGTAAAAGCATGACCTCTCAAACTAGTCAAGTATAAGGCTTAATTACGCATGTACATAATACCTTTTTAATATAGTATTGTTTTTATATGCATGCATGTTATAATTCTGAGCCCATTCGTTTCATTATTTTTGTGCCTTCTACATGTATTTGAGAATACATACTCATGACAATTGTCCAATTGGGCACATGGTGAGCATGCATCTAAAATTAATAGAAGAGAGGAGTCAATTGTGGCAGTTTTGTAGTCGGTCACAGCAGAACATAACTAATCATTTGAAGGTACACACCTGGTCAGGTTTGACATGTAGAGCATCAAGTTTGGAGCCTTTCTCATCCAGCAAAATGGCTCTCGTACCCTGAGCACTAAGACGTAAAAATCCATCCTGCCAAGTTTTACTCTTTTTGGTCTTTTGGTGTGTGTACAGCACCTTTTATTTGATTTAAAATTTGAAGGAAAAAAAGGAACATGAAATAATACTATTAATAGGTGCAACTTTAACTAGGTCTAGGCCTACTTATTTAAATTTGTCCTGAGCCTATTTAATAGGCCTACTCAAATAGAGACTTGATTACTAATGATAGCCTGGTTCTGAGAACAAAAGATTGTGAAGTTGAAAATTGTCAGTTCAGGGAACCAGACGGTCGGCTGGACTGGACTTGTGTGTAATGATACTGACTAGTCACTCATCATGGTCAGCTGGTCACGTCAGACATCGGCATTTTTTCCCACAATTTGTTTTCTTGTGAAATTTAATTTTAATTTATGCTAATTTCAATTCTCAATCTTATTCAGTAGCCTTATCATCCCGAATTCCTGCATGTTTCAAAGTTTTGCATTGATCACCCCCCCCCCCCCCCCCCCAATTATGACGTCCGGAAACTGGGCAACCTTGTCAGCATTCACGCATTATTGCTGGTCATGCTGGTTAATCAACTTCAGCAAAAGCATGTGTGATCATGACATATCATTTACTCACACCGAAGTCTCTCTTTGTGTCACTTTCCATCCTTCCATGCATCCGAAATACACTTTTCAATTAAATTACGTGACGTTAAACGAGGCACATTCTCCCTCTCCAACATTTTGCGTTTTTCAAGTAGCGCGCCATCTTGCATGTCTTGCAAAAGTTGCCCAAACTTTTTTTAGGTATGCATTGTGGGTAATTGAACACTCAATTTAGACTGGAGGTGTGTCCTACCAAATGAGAACCCATAGTCAGAAATTAATACATTTTTTTTTTTTGAGGGGAAGATGTTTTTTAAAAATTTGGGTCAATCAAGGGCAAAATAAATTTAATGTTCATATTGTTGCTACAAAGAGGGGCAAGGCTGCACCCAAGTCCCATTTATAGATGATTTAATACTTTATAATTTAATTGTTTTATAAAGAAAACTGATATTTACATCACAAAACGTCAGATAACACCAAAACACATACAAATTGTTACATTGAACCCTGTATTGTTTTATTATACATAGATGTGCTCAATTAACACATTACACGAAGTGACATATTTATTTGCAATGGTGCCTTAGATATAAGTTTCTTAAAACACAAAATAGAAACACTGGAAATGGTTGTCCATCCTGTCTTTGTGGTCTCAACATTTGTGGTTTATTTGATGTTTATCTTTTGAGCATCATTTTTGAAAAGTCAAAAATGTCCTTTGGTTTTTGACAGATGTGTCTAGCACCTAAATTCCATGTGTTAAATGCCTTCTATTTGATAAAAACTTGGCTCTTTATTTGAAAACTAGAGGAGTTCCCTTTGGATTTGACCATACAGTACTGACGAAATACACACAGCGCACAGATACAAGTGTAACTTGCACACATGCTTGAATAATCACATAATTAGGGATTTATATATTCAACATGGCTAAAGTTTACAATTTCTTCAAACACATTTGAGATTTAGGTATGTATATTACAACTCAGTCAAGTTACATGTATTATGTACAGTACTAGTTAGCTTAAACAAAATATATATATTTGCAAAAAAAACTATTTTTTAGCTGCATTGACCTCATTTTGTGCATTTATGACACTGCGATACATAAATCTCAAATACAATTAAATACATCTCAATTATAGTAATTTCAAAATGTTAATAAGATGACAATAATAACTAGGATGATATACATGTAAAAACAATAATTAAAATGTTAATATAAATGATATCTGAATGTCACTGACATAATCTATTACCTAAAAGCCTCTAATTCAGTAACATTGGTTCAGCATTTCTTTTAAATAGAAGTTGAAACTGAAAGTGTAGACTAAATCTGACAACCAAAAAAAAGGTTCCACAAACTCATTCATGTTCCTTCACCAACAGGGTGTTTAACAACTTGAAAAATGTACATGTAGGCACACCTCAAATTTAAGAATGAGCCACTTCAGAAATTGCATCTACTTGCAATGTCAAGACTTAAATTAGTCTACATGATGTCAGAACATTACAATCATCCACATTTTCAAAGATGCATTTATTTTTCAAAACATGGTGTTACTTAAAGTTTTACAGCCTTACAATGTAAAAGGATTAAGTGAAATAAAGACAAAAGTTGGAAACAGACACTTGAATAAACAGACACTGCATTGAATAAATAACAAGGCTTCACAGTTTCACAGTGCAATGGGTCGGAAGTCAACTTTTCAAGACCTTTTTTGGCTTGGAGCTAAATCTTAAGAGTCAACATCTCAAATTTGTATCTCAGAGTCTGTAGTTGACAGGCGACTGATATTGCCTCATCATCACCATGTGTGGGTCAGGCGGCATGTTGAACGGAACTCGTCGGAGTGGCATAAAGTTGTCTCCTAGGATATCGATAGTCACACCCTGACAACGAAGCCTCGTTAGACTACGCTCAGTGATGTTTCTGCAGTCACGAACCTTCAGTGTCTTCAGACTGGGGCATTTTTGTGCCAGTGTACTGTGGGAAAATGAAGACAGGACAAAAAGTGACCTCATCAAATAGCTTTAGTTCAGGGGTTTTGAGGGCTTTTGGATGATTGTGGAGGATGGAGGATGGAGGATGAATGGAAGTCGAGGTTTTGGAGGATTTTGGAGGATTGAGGGCACATAGTAATTAGTTCCAGCTCATTTTGGAGGGTTGAGGCTGAATGTCTGTATGAACAAGAGGATGATCTTGGAGGATTGAGGATGAATGCATTTTGAGAGGCAGGGCTGTCCAATGATTTTGAAGGATTGAGGCAATGGGTACCCTTCATTTCAACATAAGTGCAAAATTTTGGTGGATTTTGGAGGATTGAGGATGGTTCCGAGCAAAAAGGGCCTAGGGAGGGAGTTAGGGTTTTGAGCAAAGCATTTCTGTTATGTACGTGTAATTAGTTGACAATTAATCCCTTCTGTCTAACTGCTAAGCCAATTTCTTGGCTTAGCAGCTACAGGAAACAGGGCCCAGAATGACGTGAACACATGTTAAAATGTTGTGAAAGTGCTAGTTAAAAACAATAAAATGCCTAATATCAAGAACTCATACTGACTGGATAGCTGCATCAGTGACACGCCAACATCCTTCCAAGTCCAGATACTCTAGTTGATAACAGTTCATGGCCAACTGCTCGACGGAGACCTGCGTGATGCCATATATCCTAGCCAATGACAGCCAGCGTAGCTTGGGCTGTAACGAAGCCAGCATGTAGATGGTGTCGTCCGTAAGCTCCCAGCAGCCTGTCAGGTCAATGCGTTCCAGATTCTTGCACTTCATGGTCAGGCACTCAATCATGGATGACGAAACCCAGCAGCACTCTCGTAAAAGAACCGTCCTGAGTTCTGGGCACATCCCAGCAATCATATTGATAGATAAGTTTGGACATTTTGACAGGTCGATATTGCGGAGACGCGGGTTCCTCTGGATGAGGGGCACCAGTGTGGCATCGGTCATCCAACTCTTACAGCTAGTCACTACCAGTTTCTGCAGGTTCTCGGCATCACTGGTGGCAATCTTGAAGGCATCTACAGACGCCCGGCTGGCGACACTAGACCAGTCCAAGACTTTCTGATGTTGGAAGTATGTCTGGATGAGGTCACAGAAGTCTTTGCTCATGGAACGGAGACGGAAGATGTCGATGATGCTGAGATGAGGCAGGATGCGAGAAATGAGGACATCCTCCCAGGGAAGATCAATCAGGTTGATGCTACAAGACCTTGAACAAGAAGCAAAAGCTTTCAATTGCTAACAAATTTTCCTTTTTTATGGTTTACTTGATACATGTCAGTAATTAACAATAACTGTGTAATCTAGTGATCCCAGTTTGCCATTTCACAGCTTTGCAGCCAGCAGATTTCACTGTGGTCAACAATTTAAAGAAAGATTCCCATATCTGGCCATCACTAATTTATTTTTCCCTTCAGTGACCTATCAGCCATCAGATAAAAAAAATGTCATAAAAAGTCAAATTTAGCAAGGAAAATATTGAAGTATTTACTGAGAAAACACATTGAAATTTCTAGACCAGTCTCATAGGGTTTGTGCACAGGCTGATCTTTCCCAATTTAATATAGCCATACGTTACGCTAGTTGCAGCATATTTTTTAGAATTTGGTACGTAGTAATGTTTCAGTTTCAGTAAGCAAAACTTACATGTCTGCATCGATGGTTTCAACAGTGGATGTGGCCTCATCAGTGACCTCTCCAGACATGATTTAGAATTCAATGTTGTCCAGCGACGTAGAAGGCCTTATTATTTTTCTGAATTCAAATCAACCACATGATGATGATCGTCTCAACTTTCGCGTCACTTTTCAACATCAAAGTAACTGCAAAGTGCAAATATCAAACAAAGTTGTATGGCCTACTATATGCAAGTTCAAGTTTGTACTATTGTAGAGACATGAGAGAGAGTGGGGTCACAAGAAAACTAGAAACAAAACATTAACCACATCATACAAAATTTGACTATGACGCCCCCCCATTCCCCCCCCCCCATCCTCAGCCCCCCCCCTCCCCCCTCCCCCCTCCCCCCCCCCCCCCCCCCCCCCCCCCCCCCCCCCCCCCCCCCCCCCCTTGTTCGTGTTGTTTGTATGATAATTGGGCAGGCGGGCCGAGATCATGTGCAAAATAGTGTCCACAATATTCCCGCAAAGTGTTTTGATACAGAATCACGTTAATACGTACGGTACAAAGGAAATACACTTTGAGCAACAAATCAAGAAAAAGTGAAGAATACGTCTCACCATCTCACCACATGATCAGCAACTGCGCAAAACAAAATAAATAGGCCTACGGCCGGTGGACCGGTGTTTTTCACGGAAACAACAAAGGAGGGCGCACTTGCAATTTACGGTGTGTTGATGTGGTTCAAGTGGTTGGTGACTCATCCTTGCTGGAATCGTTCACTCGATCGGTAAATCATTGTGAATTTTGTTTGGAGTAATTCGTTCGGTTCAAAAATCATTTCGCTTGCATTTTTTGTGTTGTTTTTGATATCAACAATTTGTCAACGTGGAGAGTTTTAGTGGTGACTTTAAACTTCATCTTTGTTCTCTTGTTTAGTTCCAAGTTGACTGCCACTGGCAGTGGGTCACTGGCCTGCTGGCGTGACTGGCGCAGTGCTAGTGCTATAGTGCACCTCACCGGTCGTGATAGCTCCATTACTCACACATTAATTTTCTGAATAATTAAACACAATGAGGCACAATGATTAATAGCGGTATGTTTAATACAAAACTAAAAAAAAAATCTTCATCTTTCAGTTACACATTCATGAATGTGTACTGAGTAGCAAATACTCAGTCTGCTTCTGGTCTAGTTAACTTTATTTTTCTCCGTGTTCTTAATCATTGTAAATTAAGCATGTTAGAGTTAAGAGATTACTTTTCACTAGGCCCACTTCCATGTTAGTCCGAGCATGCCATGGTCTGAGTAACTTGGACCCTAGTACTTTGCTACTAAGTAGTAGTAGTAGTATAAGCAGAAGTACACTTTCCTACTTATTGCCTTTTTTTTAACATTGGTACATGGCCTGGCGATACTATTGCCAGACCATGTCCAAATCTACCCCTAGATGGGGTAGTCCAAATGTGAAAAATGGCGATAAATTTTATCCAAGTTACTCAGACTACTTTCATGTTAAACATCTGTTGTGAAGTTTATTTTATTTTTACGTTTTCCTATCTTAAGTCAGAACTTGATTGGTTGAGATGGCATCAGCACCACACAACACCGCTCCAACTCCGAGCTTCAGCCTGACACTGAACCCTCCTCAGTTGAATGACGCTACCAAAACATCATCCAATCCATGTAGTCTGCACAGTCCAACCAGTATGTTTGGCACTGGTGCAATGACGCTGACAAAGGAAGAGAGAGAAAAAGTACAAGACAGAGTAAGTTGCCCAGACAAATGGCTATGTAACTGTTCCGTTGAGCAAAAAAATTAACTGGTATCGGATTTTGACCTCCAAAACACTGAACCAGTGCTCTGTTTATTGACTCTCCAGCCCTTTGTGGGAGCCTCCTAAACTGTCACTGTCTTTCCTCAAAATATCCCCACAATCACTATTTTGGTGTGACCTTTTCACAACTTAGTTAACATTATCCCTGTGGTTGCAACGATATAATTGTCAACAAACTCCTCTTTTGTTTAGATTCTTCTAGAACCTTACACCTACATCCTGCAAGTTCCTGGCAAGAAGATTCGCATCAAATTGACTAAGGTAGGACTTTGTTTTTTATCAGTTTTTCATTTCTGTGATTGATATTGATCTCTTATCTTTACTTCCCACCCATCTGACCATTGCATGCCTGAATGACTCCAACCTACAGTGTTTGTGATTTGAAATTTAGCTAAATCGTGACTGCCATATTTGTGTTTGTTCTTCTCGCAGGCCTTCAACCACTGGTTACAAATTCCCAGCGAGAAACTGGAGAAAGTCAGTGAAATCATTCAGATGCTACACAATGCAAGTTTATTGTAAGCTACTTTATTATAATTGTCACAAAATTGTCACATTGGCTAAAAAAACTGTCAGCCAATTTTTGTAGAAAATTTGTGTGAATTTTAAATTAGTTTTGGAAATTGTATTTATAGCTAATATAAATCTCAGCCTTTTTGATAACTTTCCTTATTCCTATTCAGAGTTGACGATATTGAGGATAATTCTAAGCTACGTCGAGGCATTCCAGTGGCTCACAGTATATTTGGCACAGCACAAACCATCAACGCTGCAAACTATGTCTACTTCCTTGGACTACAGAAAACAATTGAGCTTGGACACCCAGAAGCAACCAAAATATTCATGGGTAAAGTTTTTGTTTTCATTTTCAGATCTGAATTCTAGATATCCATCATTTTCAGCATAACTCATTATCATCATCATCACAGCCGCGCTCCTTTTCATCATTATTTTCTAAAGAAAAAATATTGAATATTTCTGGGTTTTTTTTTTATTTCAGAGCAACTCATTCTTTTACATCAGGGGCAAGGCATGGATATATGGTGGAGAGATGCGTTTGTTTGTCCGACAGAAGATGAATATAAAGAAATGGTGCTGAAGAGTGAGTTTCTGCTTTACATAATAATAATAAAAGAGACTAAAAGAGAACAAAAAAATAAACCATCACCACCATCACATCACCAAATGTAATTCATTTGAAATAATCCTTAAAGAGTATGAACATTCAGATAAGTGTATTGTATAATGCCTTCTGTTATTTTTTCTCAGAAACTGGAGGCCTTTTTGGTTTAGCAGTGAGGCTTATGCAACTCTTTAGTGAAAACAAGAGGTAAGATTTTGCAGTGCAAGTCACAAGTTTATCATTTAGACTTGTTGGCGTTACAAAAAAAGTTGACTGTGGTGTGTTGTCAGTTGTGCCCCCCCCCCCCCTCAAAAAAGCCATGTCCAACATCACAACAGTCAACAATTGATTCATTTTTCCCCACCCTTGCTACAGTGACTTCACCCCACTCAGTGACATGCTGGGCCTGTACTTCCAAATTCGTGACGACCTCGCCAACTTACAATCCAAGGAGTACACAGAAAACAAGAGCTACTGCGAAGACTTGACAGAAGGCAAATTCTCCTTTCCCATCATCCACGGCATCCTCAGCCGACCGGAAGACAACCAAGTCATGAATATACTCAGGAAGAGGACCACCGATGAAGAGATTAAAAAATACTGTGTGGATCATCTAGAAAAGGTACGTCTAACATGCACCATCAAATGAATTAGATTGAGCAGGGAAATGAGAACAGGATTGGAACCTGCAACTTGAGGGATACCCGAGGGATACCCGAGGGATACCCGTGGCCTACTGAGCTATTTCTTTTGTTTTTACTTCCACAGATTGGTTCGTTTGACTACACAAAGAGTGTTCTGGTGGAATTAGAAGAAATGTAAGTGTTTCGGGTGAAATTGCCATTTCATAATGCTCAGTGATAAATAGCAGGGGTTGAAATCAATAAAAGAAATTTGTGCCAGAGTTGTTAGTTATCATTTTAACTGTTGCTGTGCGAGACAAATACCTCAAAAAAAATTGATCTACACCATCCCTACGGAATTTGTGAGCGCAGACATTTTGATCCTGTGGTAAAGCCACTTTCCCATGGCCATAATTTGTTGTTTGTTTTCCTGCAGAGTTCTACGTGAGATGTCCAAACTAGGCGCCAATCCGTACTTGCAAGCAATGGTAGAAGAACTTGGTAAACTCTACAAGGAACCCAGCCAATGACGAGGGAGGTCTGAGATAGTTCCATAGGTACTAGCACATATGGGCCCTTTCACACGGCAGCAAAATCACAAAGGTCCCATGTGAATTTAGCTGATTTTGTTATCTTGCCTAGACAGTTTGTGATCACATAAATTTTTTTTACATAAAAAATTCATTTAACATGAGGAATAATCAGTTGCTTCCGGCATTCATTAATGAATAATTATGGTTTGGATTTTTGAACATGTATATTAATAAAAGGTATCAATATTCCAAGTTGTTTTATTTTGGGATTTTTGTCTTTAAAGTTTCCTTTTGCTGTAACAAATGGATTTAAAATAGACTTTGCTTTCAGATGTACGTTTGTCATTTCTTGCACATTTCAAAAGGCTGTGTAAGATTAAAGTGCAATATAACAGTACCATACATCTGTATATATTTATTTTGCTTTAAGTGTACTTTTCTCAAAGGCAAATGTGGTTAAAGGGATGGCAAATCGTAATCCGTATTAATTAAATTTCCAAGTTCAGACAATTGTATTTTAAGATTCCAAATATTATCAGCGCATTGTACTTTGTCATTCTGTTCCTAATTTGGATTTGCACATTTTTACTGTAATCTTACATTTTGCGCCTGATTGTTTGAGAACTCAACTCTAAAATGTTCTGAAAAGTTAACATTTACAAGTATGAAATAATTCATATAAAAATTGGTTTTTATTGAAAAAAAAAAGTGTTACTTTTACCATTCCAGCATGTTTTTTTAGAAGGGGGCAAGTATGAAAAAAAAAATTCTGAAAAACAAAGAACAAAACACATAAAAAAAAAACCATACAAAACTTTTTGACAACGAAACAAAATGATGCTATGCAACTGTATTTAACTTCAGGGCAAAAAAATTGCAGTTGTAAATACCTTTATTCATCACATCATAAAATACTTTTTGTATAATATTACAATTTTTTTTTAAGTTCAATTACAGTTAATAGATTCCTTAATGAACGTGTTCACTAATCAATGCTACATTTTTTTTAGAGCGAGAGAAAAAAAGAAAAAGTTATAGAACAGCTGAAGTTAGTGGCCATGTAAAAAAATTGATGGCCAAAATTGGCGGCAGTGAAAGAACATGTACTGATATTTAAAGGAGTTTTCTTAAAGTGCAAGGAATGAAAAAAATATTGATTTTAATAAGGCTTGAAATGTATAGATGCTTTGCACAGCAGCCATGTTGGAGGTGCATGCCATTTTGTTTTACAGGGATCACATGAGTAGCCCTCTTGTGCATTCATTGTTAATGCATTAAATTAACAAAAACACCTCAAAGATGTCTGCTGAATGCAATAGGTCAATGTGAGCTATACGTCAGTAACAGTTATGGGCTTACTGTAGCAGGGTGTTTATGGTGTTTATAGTGATACGTATTCACAAGTGATTTTTTGCGGTTAAGTTTAGAAATGACTATTTACTGACTACATTCCGTGAGCGAGAAGCAAATTAAACATGAACCCATTTTACTGGAACTGAACAAGACTGCTTTTTGGGTTGCAACTTTTTGGTTCTAAAGGAGATAATACATGACAAGTCTTGTTTTGAGGACCACAGTTTGTATCCAATTAGTGTTTTGCTTTCCAAAGTTGATAAATACACCGCCATATACTGAACCAAACTGGTTACAACTGCTCTGCGAAATTCAAATAAAACTTATGCGTTTCATTCATATGTACATCCAGGGATTGTATTACACCGTGGCAACAGTTTATCTTATTAAAAAAACATCGGTATCGTTACCTATTCAATCCGACCCCAAAAGCCACTATTAAAGTTCATTCTGATTAATAAAAGTTTGAAATATCTAAATAATTTTCTAAATTCAAACCTTTTTTACGTATAATAATAAACCGAAGCTAATTTTAATGTGTACTCGTAACATTTAAGTGAACATTAAAAATCAATCATTACTTGTACGAAAACGGAATAAATTAATTCACGATTAACCATCGTTCATTTGTAAGTACATGACTAAATGAACGAGTGCCACAATTTGTGACTGTCTGTGACCACTTTCAAAATATCCTCCTTTTCTCTTTGATATAAAAACTTTATTTTTGTTGCTAGTTAGGTGCAGGTATACACAGTGAAAGGCTTGTGGTGCGATAATAACAAACAATTGCAACACACATACAACTCTGCCTGTATGCACACATCTTAACCGAGTTCTGTACAAGGACGAATTCCGGGTAACCCTAGCTTTCTACTAAAAATGAAAAAAAAAAAATGAAAATTATAGTTAGATGAGGAAGTTTTCATATTTTCCATTCTTGTCAGGAACATAAGAATGTTTGTCTTGAGAATATAAATGCTTTATTATTCTATTTATCATATTTCCATTGTCATACAGCCATCATTTCAGAAAACAAAAGCCTAAGTAAATCAATCAAATGAAAATAGATAAACGAATGCTAACAATTTCCCAACGGAACGGAACTCGTAACTCTTCTGAACTACGCACTAATAAACATACATGTAGCAGCACGATAACTATTAAAATCAAATTTAAATACGCTGATGAATTATGCATAATCACAATCATAAGGAGCTCCAATCATGGTCAACTCCCATCATGTAATTAATGCATATTAAACACTCATTCTTATTTAAATACTGGCAAGCTGGTAAAGCAAAAGACTAACAATGAACAATCCCTAAAACAGTGACCCACTTTCACTACATTTCACCTGAATTACAAAGTTTCAACTCATGAATTGGCTCAATTTCATGGGGATTCTCAACCGAAAAAATAAGGTGCCCATCAAGTTTCTGATATTCTGCGCTCATTAGGTCCGAGAAATTGGCCCATACTATGGGCTCCCTGCACATGTACCCCCTCAACGGTTTGAAGGGGAGAGTTTGGGGAGACCACTGGGAGAGACATTCGACACCTGCTGACGACACCTGCTGACACCTGCTGCTCACGCGGAGATGCTGCTGCTTTGTGCATATTCAGAATAAAATAAGTCGCGTGTACTTCGCGCTATACGTGCGCGAACCAGTACGCGCACACGGCGTGTCAGGTCTACTGGGATCCTTTATTGGTCTAAAAGAGCCCTCTCTAGTTCACGCATGGAGCCCATTGGCTCCGAGTAAAATACCACAATAAGTTAGCACGCAACAGAACTGAATGAGAATTGACAAACAAATTAATGTTACTATCTCTTACTTGGTCGAAGTAGGCTATATGACGTACTCCACAGCAAATGACATCACGATGACATCATATGCAAAGAATACACCCACAATTTAAAAAAAAACCTAGGTTTTTTTCACAGTTGTGATTGTCAAAAGACCGTATTTCTGACCAAGAAATGGTTCTGCTTTGCTAATCTGGGTACACACAGAAATAAATATACCAAAAATTCAGTAGAATATTTTGTAGCTTGTTTGTACTTCAATTTGTTTACCATTTATTTTAAATATTAAATAATCTTCAACAATTTGCGGACTTTATTTCTGTTTATACCCTGAGAACTTGGTAGTTGCACTACTTGATTCAGTCTAAAGCATGGCCTCGTTCATAATACTATGCAAATTAGTTGCGATCTGAATGAATAAATCATTTCAGGTTTATTCTTAATTCAACATTCTCCAAATGTACCACCAATTTGGCAATTGTGGGTACATTACATAATAGATTGCTTAATTTCTTACGTACATTCAAAATCCTGCCATTAAATTAACTTAAAAAGCATACACTTACAAGCACTTCAAATACTCAACAATAATATTCATTTCTGGGGGGCTGTTAATCTGACATTCGTTGACCTTTCACCTCTGACCTGAACCACAGAGCTCATCACAGGCTGGTCTGTTGGAAAGTCTGCGGTGCTTTTGGCAGGATCCGTTTCTGTGCACCTTGCCTTTTAATATCACCGACAACTCTAGGCGGTTGGAAGGGTACAGCTCCAAACGGGTCAGTATCCTCGACATCCGCCCCTGCCCCACCTCCAGATGGGGGTTTCCCCAACTCATCCAAGGCAGGCCGTGGCGCGAAATCATCATCAGACAACTGGACTTTTTTGTTCAGGGCGGGGTTTGCGGTTGGGTCTTCGGCAGCGAAGGGTTTGGAACCGAAGGCATCCAGGCTTTCCTGTGAGCCGATCTGACGCGGCAGGCTGCCGGGGCTGGACTTCAGCGAGTTGGAGGCAGAACTTGAGCTACTGCGGCGAGAGGATCTGGAGCTGTTGCTGCCACTACGGCGACGCCTGCCACCAGATGCTGTACGGCCTGCCCGGCGGATACCGCCTGCTGTGCTGACTACATGTGGACGCTTGTGAAAAGCTGTAGTGGGAATAAAAGATAGTTGTCAACCAAGTGAAATTCCAAATTTCCGCACAAGTCTTCCGGTCTCAATTCAAAACAATTCAAGGCTCAAAACAGCAGGGATAAACCTTTTTTTTTTTATTTTTACGTTTTTTAGAATCAACACAAGACACTCAAGAAGTCATCCAGTCTCAAGTAAAGCGACACACTACTACAATGAAATGTCATTATTTTTCATCTCATTGTTACCCAACTTCTGATTTGACTAACTTGACGACAGCTCTTGTAGAAGCCAGCAGGAACAAGAATATAAATGCTAACATTTAACAACTGGAGAAATAAGTCTCCTGATGACGAACAGAGCTCATTGTTTGAAACGTAGAGTTTAAACAACTGAATTTTCTCAGAACTACACAACTCAAAAAGAATACTATCCATATGGTGTTACCGCAAACTTTCCATTCTTTCTTCATTCTTTGAGAAAGAAGGTTTCGTTTAAGGTGGCAAACAATTTCATATGAAAGAGAGCACAAAATAGCTACTTACCAGCATCATGTGTGTGTTTATGATGGGACTGCACGGTTGACGATTGACCCTCGGTGACAGTAAGTTTCGAAGCAACAGCCTCAAAGGGAACAGCGCCAAAGAGATCAGCACTACCTTGCTGGGGCCCACCCTGGGACTTGACAGCCCCCTTCCCTAAGTGTTCCATCTCAGTAGGGGAGATCGGGGTGTTGGGTTGCCTGTGGCTGACAGGTCTGTATTGGAACGCTGTGACTTGGGTTTGTGGGCTCCGGTCGCAGATTGATGGGTGTCGGGCCGCTTTTTGGAGGGGAAAGGAGCCTTGGAGAAGACATCAGAGCTCTCTGAAGTCGAAGATGTGCGGCTGCCTTGTCGCTGGACGCTTCGAGGGTCAAAAGGAGCTTCACCAAAGGGGTCTGGCTTGATGTTGTGAGAAGGAGGGGAGACCGGAGGGGTCAGGGTACAAGAACTCAGGGCCTCACCTCTGGGTTTGGAGATTTGTGGTTGGGGGATTGATTGGGTAGCAGTCCTAAAAGGGGCTTGGCCGAATGGGTCATCATCTTCACCCATGTCGATTAGCTTCCCAACTGGGGGGTTAGGATCCCGCAGGTTAAGCCCAGCCAGCTCCGCATCAGAGAGATCTTCTTCACGAACAGGTGAGGTGAGGGCAGTCGTGTCCTCGTGCTCATGTTGATCAGAATCATCTTCGCTGTCCTCCTCTGATGTGTCTCCCTTGTCCAGCAGTCCTCGATGTATGTGTTCTTCGTCCTTGTGGGTTTCCAGCGACTGTGTGTCAAAGTCCTCATAGCTGTAGTCGCGAAGGCTGTCCGTAGCCCTGTCTTCACGCTCACTGCTGGACTCACTAACCTTCCGTCGCGGCGAGAACGGCACAGCACCGAACTCATCAAGCTGCCGCTGGGGGTTGCTGAAGTCTAGCGTCGCTTGGGGTTCTTTGTCCAGATTCTCAGCAGGTGGGTTCTCGTCACCGAAATCCCCCAGAAGAACCAAATCTGGCACCTTCTTTTTCAGACCCCCCTCCTCTTTAGTGCCGGAGGGGGGTCTGACGGCGTCCCCCGAGGGCGCTATACTAAGACTCTGACCTACCACCATCTCCGTGGGGCTGTTGACAGGAGGGCTGAGAAATGGCCGGGCACCAAATTCGTCGATGACATGATCTGGTTGTTGCTGGGCAGAGGATTGGCTGGTTCCCTGCTTGGAAAGGCTGTCAAGCTCAATTGCACTACTGGGTCTTTGTTTACCTGCCAAAGTATGTCAAATACCATATTTTAAATAATTTTTAAATGTGAGTCTACTATTTGTATTTTGAGCGGAAAGAAAGGGAAGTTGTCTCACCTTCTGAGGATGAGAAGGGGAGAGCCCCAAATTTATCCGTAGCAGATGACCGCTGTGGTTCTTCACCTGTTCAAAGAACAAAGAAAAACAGTTTTGAAGAACATTGGCAACTTGCTCTACTCCAACCCTTCAGTTTCCATAACTTTTCTTTAATGGGTTTTGTTCTTTCAAGACGGAATAAAATAAACAAATTAGAAATAAAACCTGTTGATTTGACTCACCAGGGGCCACTTTCCTGAGCATGTCAAATTCGCTGTCGACAACTTGGTCCGGAGACAGCGTAGCAAAGTCCCCATGGTCCTTGAAGGGGTTACACTGCGGAGCCTGACCTGGGAAACTCCGAGGCCTGGCATTGCCTGGCGAGGCAGAACGATCGCTGCCAGCGGGAACAAACAACTGCTGCTGCTGTTGCTGCTGCTGCTGCTGCTGTAACTGGTAAAACTGCTGTTGCTGTTGCTGCTCGGCCAGCTGTTTCTGCTGCTGATGCGCTTGCTGTTGTGCTTGCTGTTGGGCATATTGCTGTTGCATCTGCTGCTGCTGTTGCATCTGTTGTTGCTGCAACTGCTGTTGTTGCATTTGCTGTTGCTGCTGCTGCAGCTGTTTTTGGTGTTGTTCCTGTTGCAGCCTCTGCTGCTGTAATTGTTGCTGAAACAAAGGAAAAACAGATAAATGGTATTTAATGTAATCCTTTAAAGAAAGTCCTTCATCAAGAAATCACAGGAGACAATCCCTACCTGCTGCATTTGTTGTTGCTGTTGCATCTTCAACTGCTGCTGTTGCTGCTGATACTGTTGCTGCTGTTGTTGCTGCAACTGCTGCTGTTGTAACTGTTGTTGTATTTGCTGCTGTTGCTGCTGCTGCATCTGCATTTCCTGCTGGCTCAGTTGTCTTGTGAACTGCTGCGCTGCAGCCGGTGGGTACTGCTGCACGTAGCCAGACTGAGGTGGCCTGAATTGTTGTTGGTAGCTGGCATTCACTGGGACAAATGCATGGCGTTGTGGTCCCGCAAACTGCTGCTGTACACCTGTACGTAAACAATACAACAATTCTGAAATGTGCAACTGTATTTCTTATTTATACATCGACAAGGCTTTGCCTCGCTCGCTATGCCTGACACATAACTTTGCTCAGCACTACTTTTTGCTTGTGCTTTAGTTCCTTACCAGTAGGATATTGCGGCGTCGCGTTCATCTGCCGTTGTTGTTGCTGCAGCGAGTATGCCTGCTGCACTAACTGCTGCGGTGTGTACTCAGATATCAGTGATTCTGATTGCTGTTGTTGCTGCAACTGCTGCTGTTGTTGTAACTGTTGTTGCTGCAATTGTTGTTGTTGTAACTGCTGCTGCTGCTGTTGTAGCTGTTGCTGTTGTTGTAACTGCTGTTGTTGTTGTTGTTGTTGCAACTGCTTCTGCTGCATCTGTTGTTGTTGCAACTGCTGCTGTTGTAACTTCTGTTGTTGCAGTTGTTGCTGTTGGGTTGGGGTGTGTCTGTGCACCTGAGTGGGCTGGGTTGCTGCAGCTTGTTGCTGCTGTTGTAACTGCTGCGGGTCCTGGGAACTCTGCTGCATCTGTTGAGGGCTCAATCCTGGACAACAAAACCATTTTTATTTTGTAAAAAAAATGATCGTAATTCCACACCTTCAGTAGACTTGCAACTGGCTCCACTACAACTCTGTATTATGAATAACTTATCCAACTTACGGTTACCGGGTGCCCCCTGGTTAGGGGCGGAGACTCCAGGCTTGCCACGGCCCCTAGCAGCAGGGATTGGCAGCTGCAATACACTGGTGGGTGGGACAGCGCTGGCCTGACCTGGCTTGGGTCGTTGCCGTGGCGTTACCGAGGTACTGATTTCCATAGGTGTGGCTGATATCCTAAAAAAAAACAAGTACAAATATGGAACATGCTTGATCAAGAATAAGGTTAACTTCACCAAAGTTTGAACAACCATTACAAACACATTCAAGGACGATAGTTGCATCACTGGTTATCAATAGCCACACAAATTGCAAAGTATAGCAGGGAGCCATGACAACAAGGTTTTATTAAAACGTGTGAACAAGACCTTACCTATTAGTGTTCAGCTTGGCTCGAGTGTCTTGCTGCTGCCGGTACTCCGTCTCTGTTAATGGTGTAGGCAACTTACTCATGTCGGGCACCGGTGATTTCTGGATGATAGGGGAAAAAAACAGTCATGCTCAATAGCCAGTAGGAAGGATTATCAATGATCTACAGTGAATAACTGCATAGTGGCCAAAATGTAAGACGTTAGAATTGGATGTCACTTGTTTTAAAAACAAGCCAAATCAAGATTTACACCAGATGACAACTGTTGTTTGTCGATCTCATTTAAACCTGCCGGTTTTTTGTGTGTGAAAATAATCTAGCCTACTTGAAATAAAAACTTGAAAACAAAACAGAAAAAAAAAACAGCTCAAAACACGATAATGAAGTTGTCTTGGAAGTATAACTATTTCTTACATGGAGATTTTGGACAGGTGTCTCCGTTCCCATCATCCTGAATGCAATGTAGGAAACCTGGTAGATGTCTGGTCTCTTGTCAGGATCCACCTCCAACATGAAACCTTCAAAAGCAATAACAAAGAAAGGCCTTAGTGTATGTTTGGGTTAATTTAGTGTAATATCACCAAATGTTACAGGATTTAAGAAAGTACAGCCAAGCTACTCTCACTTAACGTGGGACTTGATGCCCCTTGAAACCTGGTTGGTGCAAAGTGTATGCCATTGGGTTCCTGCAAAGTGGAGGATTTTGTAGGATTGAGGAAGGTAGAGCCAGGCCCACTATTATTTTACATGGGACTTGATGAGCCTTAAAAGTTGAAGTACAAAGAAAAGACCAATTATGATGCGATCAAGCTTGATCATGCGATCAAAAAAAATTGACCAGGGTCGACAAACGAATCATTTTGCTTGATCGCATCACAATTATTGTCTTCATAAGAGTGAAGGATTCAGGATGAATTCTACAATAATTCCTTAGTGGTTACTGTTTTGAACTTACATATAAGAGAATGCATCTCCTTAGAGTAGCGTGAGTTGTCAGGAATGGTGAAGTTGGCGCTTTGTATGGCTAAGCTGCTCTCGCCAAATGGCAAGGTGAAATAGCACAGTTTGTACAGCATACAACCCATGGCCTATCATGATAAAGAGGATATAGTAAGGCAAGAACACTCCTATGCAAACATACATTCTGTGCCAAGGTGTCATTTCATTTAAAATCAAGCAAGTGATTGTTTTCAACAGTTAAGAGCTCCTAGCCTACATAAAGCAGGTTTGACTGGTTGTGATTGTTTATGTGACTTGCTACAACTTTGCTTTGACTGTAGGTGATTGATACGCCAGCTGTGCTTACCACTTATGTGCGTTTGTCTGTTGACTAGATTTGACTAGTCATAGTGCTTGCTTTAAATATGATCTGACTGTTGGCAACAAGCCTGTGTAAAAGGCATGGCAGGGGAAGAGGATTGATTTTTGACTGTTTGTGACTGTTCAGAGGGCAGGAGTATTAAATGTCATTTATTTGTATATTAAACCTTCGCTCTATGAATATTTGTTGTTACCAGTCAGCCAGATATGCCACCTCCTTCTCAAGCAGTGTTACTGATTACTGCATAATTAATTAGCACTTGTTGATGAATGGTTGAGGACCTACCCATATATCGGACTTTGTCGTTATCGGTATCTCTGAATAAAGATCAATCATCTCTGGGGAGCGGTAGGACAGGGTGGTATACCTGCAAAAAAAATGAACCAAAACATTGATCAATAATAATTAATATTATTCACGCAGAGTTTTAAGCAGTGCATGGGTGCTCTTGGTTTTTTTTTTCAGTGCGATTCTTTGGGTGTGTGTATCTGTGTTTTGTTTGTTTTTACTGAATGGTCCATGATTATTTTTTATACATGTATATTTTAAGTGTTTTTATGTACCCATATTTTACTATTTACTATTTTTAGTGTTTTCTGTAATTGTAGTTTTAAATGAATTCTGTATAATTGCTGGGCACCTCTGGAAAACAGTGTACCACTGAGAGGTTTTCCCAGGGTAAATAAGAAATAAATAAAAAATGGAGAAAGTAATTAAGAAAAATACCAACAAAAGAAGAAAAGTACTAAAGAGAAAAAAAGCAAAAATCTGACAAATATCTCAAGTTGATCCTATTTTATCTGCATTTGCATTATAAACAGAGACCATCTTCATTGACCTATGCATGAGTTTAAGTAGCATCGTTAAATCTCTAAACCATTTAGAAGGTACAAACAGAGCTAGTACGGTGGCTGAAAGGTTAGAGTGTAAAGTGACCAGTCAGATTATTTTACCTCTCCAGTTCATCTTTGATTGGCTGTACACCATGTTGCTTGGGGTCCAAGACTTTGCCTGTTGCACTGCCAAAGTCACACAGCATGTAGCTGCCGTTTGGATGTAGAAGGATGTTCTCAACCTGAACAAACGATAAAATATTCCATTAAATTCTACAAATTGGCTTTGTTTAAATCTGAAATAGGCTCTGTGAATGGGTTTTCACAATTTCAACTCAACTGATACTCAACTCTTATGTTTATTTATGTGAAGTTGGCGTTGAGTATGAATACTTATTTCGTTCGTTTAGGCCCCCCAAAAAAGTCTCCGGTTTCTGGTATGCGTGCGCGTCGCGGTAGCCATGGGCGTCGGCAAAATGAAAAAGGTTTTTTTCAATGAAAGATGATGTCGCAAAACCGCCAAACTCACTGGTTTGACTGGTATCCTGCTGCTGCACAATTTTAACGTGTTTTTAGATGGGGTTATGGTCGAGAATAAGGTTTATGTGGCCTCTCTGGACTCCCATATATTTGCACTAAGTTTAGTCGGGCACCATTTGCAGTCATCAGCCGACCTTTGAAGCAAAAAAATCAGCTAAAAAAAAAAAAAAAAAAAAAAGCCGCGTCGCCGCACCACTTTTTGGGCAAGCTCCATACCAGAAACCGGAGACTTTTTTTTGGTGGCCTTATCCTACCTTGAGGTCCCGATGGATGATGGGGGTCTGGCAATGGTGCAGTCTAGACACGGCCTCACACGTATCACAGAATATCCTCATAACCTCATGTTCAGTGAAGCCGGTGCTCAGTCTCTCATTCATCTGCTGCACCACATGGCCATCTGAAGATTGTAAAAAATATGTCCATGTATGGCGTACATTTGCATGGAGAATTCGGATAGATTTTACAGATATTCAAGATGTTCAAAGGGAAGTGGTCACAATCAATATTTTGATAACTTACCTCGGCAGTACTCCATTAGTATAAGGACCTCATAGACGTCTGCACTGCCCTTGATGATGCTTGAGTCTATGTACGGAACAATGTTCTTGTGACCTGTCAAACTTGCCTGTAAGAAATATTTTCAAAAACTTTAAATCAATGACCACTTAAAGGGAATATACATCATTTGCTTTTGCTGTAATTTTCAGAAATGGATGGAATTGGGGGGTTGGAAATATATAGCAAATATAGTTACACTGACTTTTTTGAGGTTTTGGGTTCGAAAATGCTATAAAAACCAAGAAAAACGATCATTTTCCTGTAGTCTGGTTCCCTGACTCCATATAAGAAGAAACAGAGCAGTTTACATACATTGGGGAATTGTAAGGTCAGGTAACCAGTCTAGCTGGCTCGTACCCGTTTATAGGTTTGTAATCGATTGCAAACAAGTGCGATGGTCAATTGGGGCCAGTATTTGAAAAAAGCCAGTTTTTTCCAACGCTGATCGGCCGATCAGCGTTGGAAATTGATACAAAAATACCACTTTTCTTGAAAATGACAGTATACCAGGTGCCATGATTTTACAGGATGCTTTACACTGTCATTCACTAACAGTCCAGCAAGGTATTTCAAAATGATTTGGTAGTTTTATTTTTTGATGTTTGCAAATGTTGTATTTTCCCTTTAAGGTACATGAAGCTAGCAACTGGTCAAGTGAGAATCAAGCTCAACAAATATTTACTTAAAAAGGTTCTTGACGTGAATAAGTCTGTTCATTAGCATGTATTTTGCAATGTTTGCATAAAATAATGGTACAGACAGAATTTTCAATAACAGGGCCATTCTTGCCAACCCTACCCACTTTGGGCATTAGCCTACCCATTTCCTAGTCTATGTAATAGACAATGGCACAGCCATGGTCTACATTTTTTTGAGCAGATTCGCTGATTAATTATGCAAGATAACCACATCTGACTTCTAGATTTTCACCAAACAGAGGGCACTTTCTATATCGGGTCTTCGGTCATTCACCCGTCGTGTCATAGACATGGATGAAAAAAACCTAGACACAGCAACACAGGCTGTGGTCACGCGCTCTGTATTATGTTACGTGCCCGGCTGTTGTTATATTACAAAACACTGCATTCGTATTGACCAATCAATCATTTAGTCCTGATTTGGGAATTAAATGACGTCACGATTTAGTAAAGTCGACTCCAATTGGCTGAGGCACGAGCTCGCATAATTCTGCATGCTTTGATATATCAGACGTTATACTCGGGTGATACTCAGACTACCCATTACCGAGGCTGGCCTACTAATACCGGAATGTGAGTTTTGTTTGTGAAAAAAAAATACAGTTAAAAAAACAGGCCAAATTCTGGTCCAGGATGAAGGAGAATGCACCTTTAAACAAAGCCAGGTTAAATGTAGTGTGAATGTCTGGCCTGGAGGGTAGATTATCCCTCACATTAATCCTGCACGTACATTCGTCTTCATAAATTGACTGATGTGCAGTACATGCATGCTAGAACATTTACAATATGCACAAACACGAACATGTGAGTCTACAGATCTTTTATTCACATTATCAATGTTAACATTCACGCCTGAGGTTTTGTAGCAAAGAAGCCGGAAATTTTCGGTCTCATGCCAGCAATTTTGCCTAGCATTTTAAGTACATGTACTTCACCAAAAAAAAATTCTTGTAAACTTGATAAATTTAAAAATGGTCTTCATGACAACAGTCTTGTGTGAAATATCCGCAAGCGACAAAACAGGAAATACACTTATCCCACGTAATCGTATGCCGGTATCTTCTTCCCAATTTGATACTAATTGATTTTTGTTCAGGCATGTATTCCGAAACCAAAATTATCCCGCGGCGCCGGGAGGCACATCCTGTTAAACCACTGTGGTAATGCCAAGCATTTTCAGTCTGTGTAACCGCTGTTAGTCTCTACTTTAAATATATTCTTCATATGAAAGTAGAACACGTACCGGTAGTCAACAATCTAGTTTTAAGTTTTGATGGGGCGATGGGGAATGTTTTCCTTGTTTAAAAACATGTGTAAAATATCTTTTGTCGTGAAAGCCACAGAAGAGCTGAAAGTAAAACAACAGAAGAGGACTACAGTTTTGAACTCAGTTTTGTTCTTTGAACCCAGTTTTGTTCTAGTTTTGTTCTATGGTTTAAGTTCCATCATGTTCAATATATATAGAGTCACAAAGTTGAGTCAACTTCCAGTTTAAAGCTGAAAGAGACTAAATTAAAGGTTTATTTTAGAATGTCTACATACTTACACATGTGCAGTTTGGTAACAATCAGTGCCAAAACCCTGTTTAATTCAAACCCACTTTTGGCATAATTTTCTTTTGCAGATTCGCCACACATTGCATCATAATGAATGTGAGGCTAATCTTGCAAGGCATGTACATGTACGGTACATGTAAGTTACAAAGCTAAAGTAATACAAGAATTCACTCAAGTAGAAGTACAACAGCCGCCCCAACCAAACCAAACCAATATATTCGGATGCAAAGGTCCCTGGCTTCACATGTAGTGCATTAGCGCGCCACTTAGACAAAGAGCAGCCGGGTCTTATGGGATACATTGATCTTTTTGGACAGACCCGCCATCACAGATTGATCTTTCTCATAACAGAATCTGTGGGGAATCCTGGACTCTGTGTAAACAGCTTGGGCCCAAAAAAAAATCAGCCAGCTCTCTGAATAAATACGTCTCCAGAATTGTAAAAAATTGATCCACTGAAGGATGAAAAGGAAAAACAAGATTCTTTGATTAAAGGGAATATACATCATTTGCTTTTGCTGTAATTTTCAGAAATGGATGGAATTGGGGGGTTGGAAATATAAAGCAAATATAGTTACACTGACTTTTTGGAGGTTTTGGGTTCGAAAATGCTATAAAAACCAAGAAAAACGATCATTTTCCTGTAGTCTGGTTCCCTGACTCCATATAAGAAGAAACAGAGCAGTTTACATACATTGGGGAATTGTAAGGTCAGGGAACCAGTCTAGCTGGCTCGTACCCGTTCATAGATTTGTAATCGATTGCAAACAAGTGCAATGGTCAATTTGGGCCAGTATTTGAAAAAAAGCCAGTTGTTTCCAACGCTGATCGGCCGATCAGCGTTGGAAATTGATACAAAAATACCACTTTTCTTGAAAATGACAGTATACCAGGTGCCATAATTTTACAGGATGCTTTAGACTGTCATTTACCAACATCCTATTAAGGTATTTCGTAAAAACTTGGTAATTTTATTTTTCGATGTTTGCAAATGTTGTATATTCCCTTTAAGTCCCCAATTCCCACATCTTCTTATTTTGAAGCACTGAACTTTACACAAAGCTTGGGAAGTATTTGGAGATAAGCCCAAAAATAGAACGTATAGTGCATGGGCATTATTATACACAATTTACTTTTGACACATATTTTTTTCACAGTCGTCACTATTTGAAGTTTACTTCAGTGTAAAAACAAAAATTCTGACAAACAACTCAATTTTGTTCAACCAGTCACAAATACATTTCTTTTTCACATAAGAAAAAGTAATTTTGCGGCACCTGTGACAAAACATCAGTTTGGTACTATCTAGGGAAATTCCCAAGAAGGATATTGCACACACCAAACCTTGTGCTTCAATATGTGTACACAACAGTGTACTGAACGCAGTATATACCGGTACATGTGCACACGCAGTATATGCACACGTTGCCAATGGCATGTAAAATTTACACTCAAAAGACCTTGAAAAGAGCCCCTGATTTTCTGTGTGTAGGACTTTCAAGTGCACACTTCATGTACATTGTACGTTTTTTTTATGGAGGTTGACCGCGCATTACAATGGTAACAATAGTGGGTGTGTACCTCAAAAAAGTCTGCATCCAAACTAGAATAATGGAATAGGCCCCCTATGTATGAAATCCGATGGAAAATTATAGTACTGCTTTATATTTCAGGTCATGTAAACAAGGCATAACAAATTTTATGGAGCGACTTTCATCAGCTTTGTGCAAGAGGGTGAGATTTAAACGCCATAAAAATACTCACTTTCAGAATGTTGATACAGCGCTGGAGATTGTGGTGGAAGGTGCATGCTGTGGCAGAAAGCTTCCGAAGGAAAGCAGGATCACCCCTGATGTCATTGCACACCTCCTCGATCGTGTGTTGCGCCAAACAATCAAAGAGGTGTGCAATGACATCAGGGGTGATCCTGCATTCCTTCAGAAGCTTTCGGCTGCAGCACGCATCTTCCACCACTGTCTCCAGCACTGTATCAACATTGGAGGATGCCAAGTCAAAAGAGGCAGATTCTGAAAATGAGTATTTTTTTCGCATGGCATTTAAATCTCACCCTCCAGCACAAAGCTGATGAAACACGCTCCATTAAATTTGTCATGCCTTGTTTACATTATCTGAAATTTTGGTTTCATTCCATAGTGAAACAACAAAATTATTTAGGATCAAAAGTAGGACATATTTGTTTTGACACGTAGTACCGAAGTTTGTGTGTGTACACTGTATCAGTTTTGCAATCTTGCTGGTTAACTTGTAATCCTATAAAAATCTAAGATATGAGTTTTAAGGCTTCAAATGAAAATGGAAGAATGTACATGTATATTATGTGGCCAAGAACTACATGTACTGGTGAGCACTACTTTTATTTATATTTTCCTTACTTGTGTATTCGTGCTCCGCAGCACCCCACTGTGTCTTACATGTATGTAGATGCATGTCATCAATTTGAAACTCCATAGAACGACCAAATTTTGTAAAAAAACGCAGCCTGTCATTAATTAAGGTACCTTGATTAATCCCTTTGTTTCTTACCATGATTTTAATCTCTCGTTTGCAGACTGCCAGGTCCTGTTCATTGTTGACAAACATTCTCTTGAGGGCAAAGTGCCTGCCAGACCGTGCTTTAGCCAGGAACACCAGAGCAAAACCTCCTGGAAAAAACAATCAGTAACAACACAAAACAAACATTAAATCCAATCATGTCAATGATTTTATGAATTCAGATTAACAACAATCTCAAGAAAAAAAAAGTATACGTCATGAATGCACATGCAGAACTAAATTTCTACAATCGTTCTCAAGGGCCCCTTCAAGGCTTCTGGATTTAATAAGCAATGCATCATTGAGCAATTTTCCACTTGACTGAATACTAATTTTCTGGAGTGGAATAAAAACTAATATGCATATGATACATGATTGCCACCCATGGGGTGAACAAACTTTTTTAAAACACCTTCAGTGAGGTGCGATGATGAACAATACAGATGTGCTGCAGCCAATTATGTACGTGTACATGACGAACAGTACTGTCATGCTGTGTACAAGACAACGACAACTATGAACCATAAAACAGCACGATAAAGTTACTGTCTGCTAATTAAGATTCTGATATTATTAGTGTACAACAGTCAGTGTTTCCCCTGGCTAATGAAGTGGGCGAGGTGGTAACAAGATGATTGAAACGAAATTTATGCAGTCTGCAAACTGAAAAGAATGCAGCACTCACAGAAATGCGCGATGATTCCAAAAACACATCGAAACTGTGAGTTCTTGATACATGGAGGTAAAGGAAAACGCTCATATATTACACAAAATGATCTTTTTTTCAATTGATATTTCCTTTATTGTAAATCTTCACAGCGAGGTGGTGATATTGGCAAAAATTGAGCGAGGTGGTCACTGAAAGTAGCGAGGTGGGCCGCCTCACGTTTGAATGGGCAGGGGAAACACTGACAACAGTAATATAAACGGTAAAGAAAATATTTACAGTTTCTCAATTTTCTTTTCCCCCCAAAAAAGTATTGTCCATTAAGGGAGAACTTTTTACATTGAATGATCAACTTTAAATGTGCATGGCAATAGAATGATTCACTGTCCTTCAGAGTTTTTCATGTTCAGTATATACAGTTGAATTGAATTTAAACACTCCATTCTGTTTAATTTGCACACCCATGTTTCATTTGTACAGAGCAAGAATAATTTTGAATGCATACCCAACAATATTTTTTCAAATTTGTACTAAATATTAAAACCACGATTCAACCAATTTTTTTTTCAATAACAGCTTCACTAGAATCCATACTGCACTCTATAAGGATTCATGTAGCCGAGTATGCTTCCTTACATGTACGGCTGAACAATTTTACAGGTTTCTTTGGAACATGTGTGGGTAGATATCCCAAGCCATGTATTTTTAATGACGCTGTCATAAAGCCAAGAGCAATGACATTGTAGCCGACCGAAAAATAAACAAGTACAGTACACCATGTAACATTGACGTCAAACGGACAAAGTAAATATACGTTCAATGTCCCATGTAGCTGTAAATTGCGCAACTTTTGTCAAGAGTCCTCAGAATCCAGTGTGATCCGGGATTTTCCAGTTCAGACCCACCCTGTATTCTAAACCATCTGAACTTGTCTGAAACATTTTTACACATGCTCCTGATATATTTTTTTAACATGCATACATAATGCATAAATTAACAATGCACACACGTTATTTGTGCATCAATTTTGTTGGTACGTGTACATGTATATCGGAACAATTTTTGAGTACATGTACAATGAGTATGACCTTACTATAATTTAATATTTTTGTTACATTTGTTCCTTATGCAGTACACAATGCATACGCCTGTCCCTACATTTTTATTGGCCAGCAACACTACTGAATAACTGCTTTGTTTGTAACAAAGGAAGTTGTTGCGGTGATTGCTTTGCGCAGTGTATAGACCCTAATGGCCTCTTCTTTGTTCACAATTTAGACTTTGCCCTGGAAATTGCCAATACCTACTCTGGGTTTGGTCCACACTTCAGACTGCATACATGAATGTATGCACGAACATGCTGGCTGCACACTCGATTGAAATTGACAAATGTTCTCATATTGTCATAAGACTGGACAGGAAATATGTACATGTATGTTCTGTGCATGTAAAATTACGGCAGTGCCTAATACCAAATATTGGAATAATTAACCATCCACCAAAAATCAGAATACCATTTCATAAAACGGAATATTCAAAAAATACATCATGTAAGCGATTGGTCTTGTGAAGATGATAAAAAATATCCTTCATATAATTTCATTTATAAATTGAGTACTTTTATTCTTTTTTCAAATGCCAGATTTTTGCGAACAGCCAACTTTTAAGGCATGCACGATTTGGGATATTCTGCATGGAATTAGCCCTAATTCAAATCATTAAAATTTGTTAAATATCGACCAGTCAGCTACCTTTAATATAATATATCGATACATAAATATACAATTTTATTTTAAAAAAATGACATGTACCTCAACGTCAGTGTTCGAATATTTGATCAAATCCAAGTTCAAATAATGCACAGCACTATGTAAACTTATGTGTAAATTACTAAACACACAGTGCACATTTATACTGTAAAACAGTGCAAGTGCATCATGTGTGATGTATGGTGGAGGCCTATCCATTTTCTTATTTCCCCAAGGTACAATATTGGAAATCCCAGACTTTGTTTACACGGCCATGTGATTTACAGGGGCGACATTTAGCAGCACATCTGGCAGACCTGGGAATGGCCGTGGAATGGCAGTGTGCATTGCTCCTTACTGTGTGACAAAACCCTGGGGATACCAGGTAATAACACACTCCCTGGGGTACAACTAGTGGGATTGCAATTATGAATGATGCTGAATAATGTGTTATAATAATTAACTACATGTAATATTTTAGTATCCTGGCAGTGGCACCACTTTTTTTTTGATTGTGTACAAAGTCAAGGAGTCATGAATATGTACTCAATATCTTCAAACAAATTTTTTAAACAATTCTTAGATCTAAATTAGTTTCATTAATTTAACCCTAACCCTGCTGAATCCAACAAGATCCAACTATCAAACCAGTTGGAGCCTGTTGGATTGAGCAGTAAAGTAACCCCTTGTAAAAATGTACATGTACATATTCAGAGTCAGATTCTGTTGGGTACTAATAATACACATTATGTAATAACGCCAAGTTGGACTCTGTTGGATCCAGCAGACAACTAAACAAATAGGCACAGTTGGATTCTGTTGGATTGAGCAGGAAATAAGTGTTAGACTCTGTTGGATTTAGCTGGGTTGTCCTGAGGAACCCTTAGGCTGTTAGGGTTTTAATGTTTTTTGGGGTTTTTTTCTTTTATTTGCCAACCAAAGTGTAAGGAATGTAACAAAAGTTGACTGCAAATTAAGAGTGGCAAATTAAAGAGACACATTTCACCAAGAGGCCCCATTAGAAAGTCCTAATTTTGGTGAAACAGTGGGATGCTTGGGTATTTAAAAGAACCCCCATGCCGAGTATTAGGCCGCAATCTTTCCATGAAAAAAAATGCCATATTTTACCAACTTTTAGTGCCCTTAGCAGAGTTTACTCCAATGCGTGGCCATAGAATTAGGGCTATAAATGGTAAATACACTGTACTGCTATACAGCTGTACACTAACATGGATAAATTCGCTGGGGCACATATGACCAAACAAAATTTGAACAAGGTAAAACTAACTTTTTACCTTTAATTTAGAGTAGGCCTATTTATTTATTTATTTATTAATTACTTTTTATTCAAGAAAAGAGTACAAGTAGCATCTGCAAAACAGCACTGGTTGTCGTTACGGCACTTCGCACAAAAAATATATAGGAAAACTACTTTGTATTCCCGATGCAATGTGATAAGAACAAACAATTAATAAACATACAATAAATAGGCACATTGAAACACTCCAATTAATGACTAAACTTTTTAAAAAGCAACCAAACAGGAAAGAATTTCATACATGGACATCACTTATTTTCCTGCAGTGACCTATATCGCTGTACCAATCAGGCTCCATATTATTACTTATCGATAACAATTAGCATGTCCTAAAAAGTCAAATTGAAAAGAATGCTGCATCCTCATGCCACTTTTTTTCTTCATATACCAGTACATATCATCTCAATAAGGGTCAGTCATTGCAAAAAAATTGATAAGACATGAATCTGGGGCTGAGAAACATTTCCAATTTTGTTAGGAAATTTATACTTTAAAAAAAAATCCTCAGGACTCTCCTTAGACTTTGTACACAATCGCTGAAGTGGCGTTGGCTGTTGGGATCCAACATTCTGTCCGTCAAATTTTGCAGGGAAAATTTTGTAGCATTTATGATTTAGTCCTACTGAAAAAAAAAACCCACCGAATTTGGAAAAAAATGTTGAAAATTGACGCCACTTCAGCGGTTGTGTACAAAGTCTATGGAGAGTCAAGGCCTATTTCCTTACAAAATTGGAAATGTTTTTCAGTCCCAGATTCATGTATTTATCTGTTCATCATTTTTGCAATGACTGACAATAAGTGACAAAACTTGCAAATTTTTTTCCCAGATTTTTTTCAAACCAGTTATAGGGTGTGTGCACAGGGTGTCAAGTGATGCATGTCCGGGTATGGAACTCTTTCCACCAAACATTGGGAGTCTACGCAGTACGCTCACCCTCTGCAATAACATCCTCCACCGACACTTGAAATCTCCCCACGCTCAAGACACGGCCCACGACAGAGCTCGCCGCACCGCTCGTAAATTTCTTGCTCTTCTTCATCGCCGCTTCACTTGAAAACCTCAAATTTTATCCAAAAACGAAACGAATCCACGTATCCCTACTGTGGTGTGTGGAAACTTTTAAAACTCAGGCTACATTTCGCAAAACGTGGAGGTAAAACATGAGTGCAATACGTAGAATTTCTCACTGCACTCTTCTGTACTTCCACATCACAACATGCAATTTTGTCATTTGTGAAATTCCGTGGTTCCCCGAATCGTTTATTGCGTGTTTTTGAATGCCATCGTGTTCGTCATACAGGACACCAGTTAATCAAAGATGAGTCATCCACAAATTTTTGTTACACCTCCGCCTGGTCCCCGCCTCTCCATTCAACATAACGAATTGTGTATTAAACTTTCGTAAGCCATGCTACATCAGTACTTGACCTCTGACCCCTAAGCGCGCGACTCGAAAACACGAAAATGGCAGATGTGGATAGCAAAGAAAGGTATTTTATTCATAATTTCATACTTCGTATTTACAATTACTTAAAAAATGGGCATTGAGGATATGTTTTATGACTTTGAAAGCTAATCGTATGACCAACACCTTTGTAGCATTAACTTGATCATTTTAAAGCGAATTTATTGCTGTTCTGTTTTGTTTCGAGCGATCATGTGTTTATGTGTTGAACTAATTTCGTGATAATTTACGGGGGACATCGAAAGGGGGCGTGGTTTGCCCAAGGCTTGGAGGTATAAAAGCGTGGGGTGGCTGAAACGTTTATAAGTGATTACTTGAAACTTGTTTTAATGTTAGTTTAATTCAATATTTGTGATTCCTACGCCTACATGTATTTTCCTTTCTTTTCCTTATATTCAAAGTTCGGCAACAGAAGTGGAGGAGGATGTTGCCATGGATACTGGTGTCGTCGAGAGCTTTGATGTTGCCGAATCACAGGAGGTAGAGATGGAGGAAACTGTCAGCCCCTCTGACCAGGAATCAATGGAACCTCCCTGTGACGACGATGGGGCATCTACGGATAACATGGATAACAAAGAAAATGTTGCAGCAGAAGTCAGTTCCACTGATGCAGGAGGGGGGAAGTTGAAAGAAGCCGCGAGCATAAAAGGAGACTGTTATTGGTGGGAAATTAAGCTTAAATTATTGTACATGGTAACTTTACACAGTTAATAAGAGTGTTTGGAAAGATTTCCATATACAAAGTTCACTCAACACCCTGTGTACAAACCCTATGAGATTGGACTGAAAAATTCTAAGTGTTTTCTAAGAAAATGCTTGTATTTTCTCACTGCTCAAATTGACTTTGATGACATGAAATTGCTATCTGGGGGCTTGTTAGTCAATACAGAGGAAAATTAGTGAACTTCGTATATGGAAATCTTTCCGAGTGTTTAGTATTGTCTGGAACTGCTGACCAATGTATCATACATATTTATAGATAGAAACGTTTAGGAGATTGTGTAAAGCCCAGTTTACATATATGTTTCATTTTTCTTTTCATTAACCCTCAGTGGCAAAGAGAGAAGTCCCAACAACATAGAGCTACAATGCAGTGTCTGCCTCAAGTGGTTTCATAAGGACTGCATTACCTGCAATGTGGGGTAAGTAAATATGTACCAGTTAAAGGGAATGTACAACATTTGCTTTTGCTGCAATTTTCAAAAATAAATAGATTTGGAGGATAAGTATGTTATAGAAAATATTGTTAAAATGACTTGTTTCACGTTTCGGGCTTGTAGATGCTGGAAAAACCAAGAAAACCTATCATGTTCTCGTAGTCTGGTTCCCTGACCCCACTTAAGATGAAACGGAGCAATTAATACACTTTGGGGAATTGTAAGGTCAGAGAATCAGTCTAGCAGGCTTGTACCCCTTCACAGGTGTGAAATCAATTGCAAAGAAAAGTCAGAAAAGTCAAAATATGAAAAAATTAGGAACAGTTGTCAAAAAAAGTCAGTTTTCTCCAACGCTTGTCGGCTGACCAGTGTTGGAAAAATACAGTTTTTCTTGAAAATGTCAGCACACCAGGTGCCATGATTTTACAGAATGCTTTAGACTGTCATTCCCTAACAATCCAGTAAGGTATTTCGTGATAATTTGATCATTTCATTTTTTGATGTTTGCAAATGTTGTATCTTCCCTTTAATAATAGTTCAGAACATGAAATTCATTTTAAAACAAAACACTAGACCATTTGACCAAAAATTATAGAAACTGTTACCTTGTTTCATTATTCTATAAACAGTTAACAGAGTGACAATAATGCAGACTATTAACTGATTGTATGAAATTTTCTTTTGCCAGAAACTGCATACCATACATGATGACTTACTCCTTTTGCTGCAAGTATTGCAATCCAACCAAGTCTGAAGTGTACAGTCGAAGGATGGCCAGTAAGTACTTTAATCATTTGTTTATTTCTAACAGTGTCCCGATCGATTTTAATTCTTTTCCAGCCTTTTCAAAACAATCAGATTTTAAGTCTAGTCTTAAATCTTGGCTTAAACCATAAAATGACAAATCTTTACCATGTTAAATTATTTCAAATTTTAAAACAAATCTTCTGGTACTGATTATCTCAAAATAAGGTTCAACAACTTAATGTTTTTTTACATTTAGTCAAATTGTTCTGCTTGCCCCTTCAGATTTCAGCCAGTTGTGTCACATGGCCCTCGCCAACTTGACGGCCCAGCAGCGACTGGAAAGCACAGACAAGATCATGTTCTCCAAGGAGAAAGACTTGATTCCATTCATCAACCAGCACTGGGAGGCACTGACTCCAATGCAGAGACGAACCACCACCACGTGGCATGCTACCATCGTCAAGGCTATGGTAAGATTATCCCCTGTCCCAGAGTAAATGTTCTGAAGAAACCTTTTCCTTTCATGATAGTCACCTTACATGGTGTGTGTTCTCCTAAGTTTCACCCTCAGCTGTTCAAAGTCTCAAACTGCAGTTGCCTCTCCGAGTAAATTCCTTGGATTTTTGTTTGTGTTTCAGACAAAAGACAGTGATATCTTCATCTGTAAGGAGAAACTAGACACCAGCGGAGCCAGTGAAGAGGATTATCCTCTCTTTGGACTCATTGATCAGGTTAGACCTCCATTTTTGCTCATCGAACTCTCCTCAAACTCACCAAAGGCATTGTTTCCTATCTAACCTTTCAAGGAGCATATAGCCCAAAGTGTGGTAATAATGTGTAGCTTTATCATCCTGAATCCTGCAAAAAAATTCCAAGAGATTAATTGCATTTACTGTGGGTGAAATTACCAGCACAATCAATTGATACGGGATGTCACATGCAGAGTGTCAAATTATTTTACTATTAAACTAAGAGTGAACTTGTAGTACAAAATCTGCCTCAGCTCCTGCGTGCATGTGATCAGAAAATGTCCAATATCCGAACTAATTGCACCCCCTGCTATTAATAATGAGAAACACTGTAATGAAAATTTCAGTGAGAGTTCAAAAATATTTTTTTTGGAAATCAGAGTAATTCATTTTTTTTGTACGATTGATAAAACTTGTACAGGATTTGACCAAGATCAGTCCAAACTATGACCCCTCGAAGCAGAGTAGCACCAACAAGGGAGAGCTCAGCCAAAAACTCAGTTCATCACTGTCCGCATCACTGAATGGTAAGCAAGAATAACTTCATACAGTTCTATAATTTGTGCTGTTTTGATTGTTCTTGGTGCAGTCTGTCACTTGCACATAGTTCTCTGTAAAATAGTAAAGCCCTTTTACTTCTTGATCTTTTGTAGGAGGCAGTTTGTCCTCGTCGCTTGGCAAAAGCCGCGGAACAAAGAGGAAAGGGCTTGAGAACAGCCAGAATATCACATCAGGAAAGAAAACCAGAAAGTGAGTTGAAACATTTTCTGTCAAAGAAAATTGTCGTAATGAAATCATAAGGTCTACAAGAGATTATTCATTCGTTCAGTAGTCGTTTGTTACAGCAATTGCCACAGAATTACCCGCTAGATCTGGACTTAAAAAAGGCAACTTTTCTAAAGAAATCTTCATTGCTGAATAAAAACAAGATGCTTTTAATGAAAGTGTTCCTCGATCCCCAAGAACATTACTTTGTTTGTTTTTCACCCCAAGTGACATGATAACGGCCCAGAAGTTACCCCCTCATGGGTACCCCTTGGAGCACCCCTTCAATAAAGATGGCTACCGATACATCCTGACTGAGCAAGACCCTCACGCACCCAGCAGTGCCTTTGAAGAAGATATGTGGATAGGCAAACCCATTCCTGCCTTGCTGTACCGTATGGCGCTGGGGAGGGAGGTGTATCTGGCATCACATGATAGAGGTAGGCGGAGCTAGATTATGAATATTCAAATTCTGAAATTAGGTTCTGATTGACCTTAGAAAGAGTATCTGGCATCACATGATAGAGGTAGGCGGAGCCAAACTGAATATTCAATTCTGAGGTTGTGTTCTGATTGACATTAGGGAGAGTATCTTGCATCACGTGATAGAGGTAGGTGGGGCCAAACTATGAATATTCAAATCTTGATTTTTGGTCCTGAACAGCATTAGGAAGGGGTGTATCTGGCATCACATGATAGAGTTAGATGAAACCTCACTATGAATATTCAAAGAGTTTGAGTCTTTAATTGCATTTGGAAGCGAGGTGCTTGTGGCATCAGATGACAGGGAGATAGAGCCAAATTTATAATATTCAAATTGCTGGGGAAAAAAAATTCACTTACAAGAAAAAAAAAATTAATGTGAGTTTTACAAATATCCTCGTTTTCTTGCAGCTCCTCAACTAAAGATCTCAGAGAATCGGTTGTCAGTGACTGGTGAGAAAGGTTACTCCATGGTCCGATGCACCCACGGTACAAACCGAGGGGCCTGGTACATGGAGATGAGTATTGATGATATGCCAGAGGGTACTGCCACCAGGATCGGATGGTCACAACCGCTAGGTAAGGGTCCATCAGGAATCAAACAAAATTGGTACCAATCTCAGAACAAGAATTGTACCGCTCTTTTTTTTTGAGGAATTGGCTCTCTGTAGTAGCTAATTCTAGTCAGGTGAACTCCCACAGAAGTTTGAAGATTTGGCTATTCTGGGAAGAAACTGATTTTGTAGAATCTCTGAAAATTGCAACAAATTTTAGGTGGTAAATATATTGAAGAGAGCTATTATGCTAATTATTGGCACTGTACTAGCCATTTACTTTTAAAGATCACAATGGAATTTGAGTGAGGATTTTGGCCCGAAAAATCGATTTACAGCTGGTCCTTGACTTTTGGGCTCAGTTGAAATTGATTCCAATAATATTGGAGTAGCCCAAGGCTTGAACTGTTCTATACCACTCATATTTGAAACTTACCATAAGAGACTCAATCAATTTAGTACGATGACTTCTTGCAGGTAATTTACAAGCACCTCTGGGCTACGACAAGTTCAGCTATTCCTGGCGTAGTCGGAAAGGAACTCGCTTCCACCAGAGCATTGGGAAACGCTACGGGGAAGGGTATGGTCAAGGCGATGTGCTAGGATTGTACATCAAACTGCCTAGCAGGGTACCGGCTGATAAACTACTTCCGTTGACATACAAAGATCGGGTAAGTTGGAAAATGGGATAGCAAATTCTCATAGCATTTTTTAACTTGTGTAAATGGGGACATTTTTCAATGAATTTGCTTTCGATTTTCCTTTTCAGGCACTTATCAAGTTCAAGAGTCATTTGTACTTTGAGGAGAAGGATCTTGTACAGGAGACAGAGAATGATCTGAAGCCGTGCTCTGGATCAAAGGTGAGTCATGTGACTTTACGCTAAGGATCTCAGCTAGTAACTCAGTCTGTAACTTACTGGTGATCAAGTCTGTGCTAGATTTGCACTAAACTTTTGAAATTGACTGACAATTTCGAACACTGAGGGCGTGAATTCTCCCTCTATGGGGAAGACTGAACAAGTAAAGGTCCTCAATGATTTATAGTGGCTTAGCACTGATAGCTCAGCTTAGCACTGATAGCTCCGTGTGAACTTTAAATTGCCAATTCCTCTTTTTTTAATGCCTTTTTATCACAGATTGCATTCTTCAAGAATGGTGTAAGCCAGGGCGTGGCATTTGAGGACATCTTTGAGGGCACTTACTACCCATCCATATCAGTACACAAGGGATGCACGGTAAGGCTAGGCTTGGTTTTCAAGCTATCATCAAAAGCTCATCCTACACTCTGCTTTTGCTTGTTTAAATCTTAAGATTCCTCTGAGAAATAACAGAGGAAAGATAAAATAATCCTGCAGGCCAGATTCCAAACTTCATGGAAACTAGTAAATTGTGCAGTGATGCAGTCTTTATGATAATGAAAAACTTGTGTGTAAGCATGGAAGTCTGGCATAGTCCATAACTTGTTCTTGTCTTTTTGGTCAGGTTTCTGTCAACTTTGGTCCTCAATTCAAGTACCCACCACAAGATCTGGAGGACTTTCTTCCCATCAGTGAGCTGGCTCACCGCGCTATGGTGGAACAGTCCTTGGCCAATCTGGTCTACCATGTGGACCACGAACAGGACTTCAAAGACGCTAGCAAGGGGTTGTTACCCCAGTCGTGTTGATGGAAACTGCCTTAAAGATTGTTTAGCTGAGGATGATCGAGAATCAACAACTGGCCACTAAAAGGAGCAACAATGGTAGCATGCCAGGAGTGACCATGTTGGCCAGAGGGAAAACGATGCCACTTAGCTGGTAGCCACAATTTATTTGCAGGCCATTGCATAACATTGCATACCAGGTTTGCGTACCACTGTTTTCATCATTAGAGGCCAATTTTGAGGGGCCACAATTATCAGGTGGCCAGAATTGACAGCCACATTAAGAGCCTTTGTAGAATGGTAACCGCAGTGGACAGAAAACTGTGATAGCCCTACACTGCAGGCAGCCGGCAGCAATGGTTAGGCAGCCAAGATGAACAGATGGCCTCAAATGAATGAGTAACCTTTATTGAACAGAGGCCAGTGGATAACACGCCACTTCAGCAGCCGATAGTTGGCCTCAGTAGGCCATTAGTTGCGATAGAAACCTAGAGCAGAGCTAGGTATCCACAATGGAGAAATAGTCGCATTCCTGAACACAAATATGAAAGTGAATGAGGTTTCTAGTACCTCAGTGTAAACCTCCGACAAAATACCTCAAACATTTATTTCATGACTGCTGAAAATCTACCAAGATGCCTTTTAAAATTTTGTTCTTTTGTTTTGGTTGTGTTTTTAACTGTCCTTATTAAAATTAATCCTTAGAGAATATTAAAGTTTGCATAGCGTAGAGCATCCAACGGAAAACAAGAATTGAGATTTGTAAATCCATCTTTTTAGGGCTCATTTTGTACATTTTACATTAAAAATCATTGTCTTTTCCAGAAAAGAAACAAATTTGTGTGTTGGTATTTTGTTGAGTGTATAGTTAGTGACTTTGTTTACATTTAAAGGGTGCACCTTTTAAAATGCTCTGAATTAGCATGTCTGTGGTATGGTCATATGAATATCAAATCTGATACACCCAGTACACCCAAAGAAGATTGATTTTGATAAATGTTATGGGAGATATTTGGCTATTTTGGGGGTTTCTGTTGCACCTGCTTTGCATTCATAAGATTTACTGGACTCTTGCCCTTCAATTCACTGATCTCCCTCCCTCTGTACTTAACGTCCAGCTCAATTCGTGTGACATCATTGCGCAGTTGTTTGACATCGGCAAGTGCTTTCTTCACGTCACTTTGTAGTTTGTCGTGCACGGTTATGGTTAGGTTTTGGATACTTTTATTGGCCTGGTCGATTCTCTGAGAAATGCCGTCAATTTTTTCAGCAACCGCGTCCTTATCTTGCCGTTTTCTGGGGTCATTCATTTGGTTCTCGTGTCGGGCAATCATCTTGCTGATGTAAGCGATGAGCTCATCAAATTTGCGCTGCTCAGTCTTGAGAGACACGATCGCTGATTGGTTGTCTCGGCAGAACTTCCTAGTCTCCTTTAAAGCCGCTATTATTGACGACCTGCCTTGGACAAGCTTCAACACCTCGAAGGAGCTGTCTGAGAACTCTTCCCTCATAAACTTCAGCTGACCTTTGATTTTCTCGATGTCGACGGAGACATCGCGGACAGTTTTTGACATGGAAGGATCTGCAAAAACCTAGGAAATTTTGGGATGTCCTTGTAAGAGAAATTATTGAAAAACAGCAGACAATGAGTTGAAACTGACATTGAGAGGTGTGAATGAAATAACATTTGTCAGTATGAAAAGGTTGTTCAGCAACAGTTTTTCACGAAACTTTTTCCAAAAATTGAGAGGTAATTTTAGTTCGTACGTTAAGCATTCTTTGTAGCTTACAAGTTACGGTCATCAACAAAACAAATACATTCTGTGCACAAATCTATCTAGGCCTAATAAAAATTGAACGCCCTAAGCAGTTCGGAGGTTACGAGCAAAAAGATGAAAAGGCTACTTACTTGGACCGTAGGAGGACTAACAATCATCGTCTTCTTGCCCTGAGTTCCCGCTATTCTTTCGTGACCTGCTGCCGGTACTTCTCCCGGTAGCAGCAGTTTGTGGGTTCGATCGTCCTCGTCTTTTCCCGCCGTGTCTTTCTTGCGTAAACACCGAGCCGTGGCTAGCCAACGCACGGCAGGCAAACTCCGCCGAAATGTCCAAGAACTCTCGCCTGGAAACCACCCTCGAAAATGCTGTTGACTTCGGCGTTTACTCCTCGTCTGCTCAGCATTAAAATTCAAACTCCTCGCAGACGATAAACTTGTATACATCTCACGACCCAAAGTGCTCTGTACACGGCGAGCGATTGCCCCAATGCTCAACATGATGCTGAACTTTCGGCCAATCAGACAGCGCCTACCCACCTGTATGCGATCGACATGTGTCTTTTGTCATGCAAATAAAGTGAAGCCTACATTTTAAAATGATTTTCTCATCAAGCGCTGGATTGAAATAGTCCTGCCATACAAAGAAAATGAATTTGTTTTATACAGCTCTTCTGTATTTGTTTTCTTCAAACAAAACATAATAATATTTGTATACGTAAATTGCGTATCTGCGGATACAGAATTATGCATTGTTTCGCTGTTGTGACGCAATAATAAACGCAACTTACGCACGTGACCTGCTTTTTGGAAGGCATAGCATAATCTCATTGTGACGTAACAAGGTTGAAAATTAAAACGGTATTGCGTTGGGAACAACAACGAATGTACAACCATAGATATCAAAAGATTTATTCTTCTGATTTATGTACAACAGTCCACGGGGATTGTGTTACATTTCCTACAGTGACGGTAAAAAAAAATGCGCGGAGAATCCAAGTATGCAAGGAACTGACTTCTTAAATTGTAAGCGTGATATTTGCTGATTAGGCAAACTCTTTTTGTGTTTAAAAAAAATGTTTTACATTATTGCATCATTGGATTATGTATTTTTATTATTATTTATTTTGAATAAAGAGGACATTAATACTCCTCAAAAGTCTCCCATTGTATGAATCCATGAGGTTGAAATAAAGTAGCGATTGTATGCCCGTGTCAAATATCAGATTAAAAGCGCGCAGTGTTGCATCCGATATCCGTGCATTTTTTTTTTTATTTCAAGGCTTGGCAAGTTCGCAGCGAACTTTTGTCACTTAACCTGTTTAGCGCCCTCTATTGCCAAAGTTTCCAAACTTTTCTCGATTTAAATTTTGTCGCCAAGTCTATTGGCCTTAAGCTTAAAGCAAGTTTTTTTTATGTTAAAAAAAGTTAATTCCTCTTTACCAACAGAAATGTTAAGCTATTAAAATTGAAAATTAAGTGTCCATAAGGGACTGTTAAGTAAAAAAAAGAAAGACAAACTTATTCAGGAATCAGAGTAAAAAAACAATGTGGTCATATATGATCAAAACTCCACTCGAAACTGAGGGAACTGTTTTATTTTTCTCTGAGATAATATATCTGAAGGGCGATCACTACCAAAAAGAGATACTTCAAATTATAGATTCTGTCCAATGTACATCCGGTATAATATATTACATTACTTACATCTTTCACTTTGTTAACAAGTGTGTTGAATAATATTCTTACATACAAACTCCTTAATCAGAAAAAGTCTAGAACACTGGAAAAAAAGAAAACAACAAAACACTAAGTCACACACTCATGTCAAGCAGTATAATTCAAGATTTCCTAACCAGCAACACAAACTTTTATGTCCAGACCACTGCACGCTTTGAAGTGTTTGATCTGTGCACATAGCAGTCCTCTACCGTAACAATTGTACACACACAAATTCTTTTAGGGGTGGATATATTTTCACGTCTAAATCTTTGTTCAAAATGATCAAATGACATGAATTTCAATTTGAGGTTTTTGCTGGCTGCCTTCATCGTCTAAGCCCTGTGTACAAGATCATGCAAGAAAAAAAATCCTTGTACTAAAGATTCTGACGACCTCCTGTTTTTTAGTGAAGTCATCTTGGCTTCTCAATCACCAAGCTATTGCTCGACAGTGGCAGCATCAAGTCCTCAAAAGTCTGACAAGTTGTTCAAAACTGTTAATTATGTTTACAAATTTGAAGTTTCTTTTTCAATGCCACCACAATTCATTCAACTTTGTCACGCCAAAAAACACATCAGTACTTTGTGATTTTCTTAAAATAAAAAAAATCAGACAACATGTCTGACAGGACTGACAAATTGTTTCTTCTGAAGAGCTTTCTTCAAAATCTCTTTCTGCAAAACCAGAAAGTATATAAGTATTCACTTTTAGTTAAGTACCCGTTTGTGTTTAGTTTCTGCAAACACACACACAATATCATTCAATCGTATTTCAGATTTAAAAAAAAAAAAAAAAAAAATCAGTTTTTGTAAAAATAGTCGGTCAAAAAGTGCCCACACCACAAAGACAACATGAATAGTACACATGAAACGTGAAAAGAAGCAATAAAAGCAAATATTCAAATGTAAACGGTGTGGGGTACGCAAGACTAACTTTCATCTGAATGTGTACAAATTAACTCATATCTGCCTGGGTGCAGTGCTTATTACAGAAAGCAATGACTTTTAAATATGTCAAAGCTCTTTGTTTTGTCAACGTTTGGGGGGGGGGGGGGTTGTGCAGAATATATACCTCTGATGAGATTACACATAAAGAAACTTAAAAAAAAAAACCACAAATAAACATGTACTACAAAAATAAGTACAACTCTAACTGGAATGTGAAATAATAGATAGGAGTAAGACACATAGATATAGACTTAAACATTCCCATAATGTAGGAAATAATTTCAAAATTTGTCTTTCAAAGTACACTTTGTTCCTACACTTTTTACAGTTTAATATTTCAACTAAATAATTTAAATCATCAATTTTGTCCCAGGGTTTATTGTCCAATTATCAGTGAATATTGTAGTATTTCATTTTGATTAATGTACATTTATACATTTCCAATATACAATTTTTTTGTACAGTAAGTAAATGTAGTCCCACTATAAACTGATATGCCACTTCAATGTGTTAACTTGTTACAAGTGATCAGTTTAAAGTTCTTGCAACCTACTTTCATGGTGTGAGGTCCAAATCCTGCCATGCAATTAGGAAGAATGCTCAAACATCATACAAGTTTACATGTTCTATCAGTCACTGGTTCACACTCCACCAAAGTCAGCATATTGCTGGCCTGTTGCAAGTTGATCAGACTGCAGTTTCAGCACAGCCATGGCTGTTTCAAGTCAACCGGTCCAAGTATCTTGAAACAAGCTATCACAGTCTACGGTTCACATCCAACCATAGCTGTAAACTCCTGTCGAAATCCAACCGCTATTTGGCACATGCTATCACAGTCCGAGGTCCATATCCCACCCTGGCTGTGCTAGCCTGTTCCAAATAATACACTCCACCGCATGGTACGCACTTGAATGGTCTAAGGTTCGACTCCCGCCATGGCAGCGTTAGCCCATTGCTATAACACTTTAAAGTAGCCAGCTTGGTTGTTTGGGTACTGATTGACAGGAGTGTCTATGTGTGTTTGTGAGCCTGGTATACCGATACTGATGCCAGTAATGCCTGTCATTATCCCATGGTTACCTGCAAATGAAAAAAAGAGAAAAAAATTAATTCAACTAGAGGTTCACGTTTGGTTTTGTTACAAACGCAGGGTGATCAAGCAGGCGACTTTTTCGTTGGACATGCCCAGTTCAGTTGTAAATACTTTTATGTAATAAATTCAGGGATGAGACTGTCAATTTAAAAAACTCTGAAAATTGGATGAAAGGTCTGAAAGATGAATTGCTTTCTATACGGATAGTGTCTTTTTGTCAGATTCAAACAGTCTCATTTCATACACACGTCTGAAAAAATATCATGCCTGTAAATTACATCCTCTTTAACTTGCATCTTTTTTTTTCAAATAAAATAGTAAGCAGGAGCTAATAGGTCCAAAACTGGCCACAATTATTCCAGAAAGTGTTAGGCTTAAAAGAGGTTATACAACATGATAGACAAATCTGAACTTACCACCGGCAGGAGGAGCTGCAGCTGAGGACTTGAAGAGGCTAAAAGATTGCGGAGTTGAAGATCGTCGATTGAGGATACCAAACGGAGTATCAGACTGAAGAGAGACAAAACAAGTGAAGACTGAATTACAATTGTTTATAAAAACGTTCACTGGATATTCTTATGGAGCCACAAAGAAATATGGTGAGCATCAACAAGTCTGCCTTAGCAACAAACAAAAAACAGCTACAAGCAGATTTCAATGTCAAGTTTACTGACTTTAACTTCGAGTTTAAAATTTAAAATATCTTTCTTTAAGACACTGACTTTCTTATCTGTACCTACCCTGAATGTGTGTGTTGTGTTGGGTCTTGATTCTGATATGAACGTCGCTGATCTATCTTTCAGTCTCAATCCCCTGTCGTCAGCTGCTGCGCTTGATATTCGGAATTTAGACGATGCTCTCTGTGGAGACAAAACAAATAAAACAGGAAAATATGAAATACACTTGATGCCTTCTTAAAACTTTCTCAGATTTCATACCCCCAGCTGGAACCATCAGAATCCAACAACAGCAAAGCATGAAGCCTGCTGAATCTCATAAAATCAAACAGCAATTTTGGATCCAGTTTGATCCTGCAGACTGGAGACCTGATAATCACACATTTATGAGCAAAGGGCCTATTAGTTAAATTAGTTGACCTGACATCAAAGGTCATAAGTACAAAGACACACCAGCTGACCTCTGACTCTATATCAGTGTAAGGTATGGAGGCAGAACTTGAACCATTGATCCTGCCGTAGTTGGCCCACTTACATTGCTTGTATTATTGGACGGTTTAGTCTCATTGCTGGGCGTTTCTTGTTTGGTCTGCATCTCCTGGACTGCCTCAATGGGTGGGAGGGCCGTGCCGCGACTCCAGTGATAGGGTGGGGAGGTGGCTACCCCTGGGTGGGGAGGGGAGCCTAGTCTGTCACTAGCCGTGGTTCTGTGGGTGGGGAACAAGACAGTTTTATCATTAGTTATTAGTGGGGAAACAGGGCCATTGTGTAAGTGAGTAGGTGAAAAATTTTAAGAAAATGGTCACAAGTTCAAAAAGCTAGATTTAGGAACAGATTTTCATCAAGTTCCACCTGCGTGACAAATTTCATCCAGGGTTCCAGTCACTGCCCACTTCTGTGGCTTTTCCTGTGATACCATCCATGCGTTTTCCTCAGGGTTCGAAATTAGCGGTAGCCCGCTAGCCAAATGCTAGTCAAAACAGCAGCAGGCTAGTTAAACTATTCCTAAACTAGCCTGGCTAGCGAGTGAAAAATTATTGGGATACGGCAAAGATGAACATACAGGAAGAAATAAATAATTAAATTCAGAAAGAAAACCCCATGACTTTGTGTCTAATTTTATCAACTGTTCTAAAGGAACGCATGGTTTCATTACCAGAAAGAAATTAAATCAAGAATGAGTTCCGCTGTAACTTACAATCTCTTTCCCGTGATAATCCCCTCCATGTTGGGTGTCTTTGACCGGTCAATGGGTCGCAGCCTCGCCCTGCCTCGGGCAGATGTTAACCGATAGTTGTAGTTATCTGTGGTCTTGACGCTAGTTGGCCGGTTGGACCGGTTGATTTGGAGAAGGGTGCTGGAGCCAGGCCGATTGACATGCAGACCAATCTGAAGGGGTAATGTTTGTAGCTCCTCCCTAAAACACCAAATAAGGAGAGTTTAAAATTCTACTGTGCATTTAAATGACTCGTCCCCAAAACAACACATATAGAAGACTGTCATTTCCACTGTGAATGGCTTAAGTAGTTGAGCTTGGCCAGTTTACATCTGAGCCAATCTACAGGGCACAATTTGTAGCTCCTCCCTAAAATACCATATAAGGCCATACTTCATCAACAACTTTCCTTTACTCCACTTCATCAAGTCAGCTGATCGACTAAATACAATCACAATCCATCCTCTCAAATCCTGTCAATCTTTGTCTCGTTTGAACGAGCTCAACCTACCCCAGTGCTGAGGGGGCCCTAGTATCCCTATCGTTGGGTCTGTTGTGGAGAGCCTTGGATGATATCGTCATGACCCCTGTCAGGTTCTGCCGATTGGCCAATGAGATGTTGAAAGAGGGCGCTGTGTTTAATCGCTGGAATAAAAAAAAATAGAAAAAAAGTATCAATATAGCAACTATATTCATGTCATGATAGATAACTCAGTAAAAATAACCACATTTGGAAACAGCTTATCTGTTGGCTTTCGTGTGATAAAAAGAAATTAAATGTAAAGATTTAACCATGTGAAACATTTTAATAATCTTACCACAATATGTAAGATAGAGGCTTCTGCTATGTACAATGGCTTTTGACTATGGCTACCGATCATTCATTGCAACATGACATGATCAATACCAAAAGCCGTAGCCACAAAAACAACCAATTTGGATGCGGCTTACTCACCCCGGAGCCCATTGGGGCTAGCTTATTGGACGGACCATCGAGTAACCCCCTACCCATTTGAGAACCAAACGGGTAGGGGCTGTAACTGAGATCAAAGGACGGCTGGACAGGATGAAGGACAGACATGGAGGAAGAGACGTCTTCCGGGCTGGAAAACTTCTTAACTGCAGAGGCAAAAGTATCACAGAACGGTAGTTACAAAATATTTTTATTAGAATAAAATTCAATTCTTTCACAACCAGAGGAAAAAAAAATTACTTTATTTGCTCAATTTTTGGTACCTAATTGTCATGCAATATACACGTATACTGCTTTTGAATGGTTATACACTGATTATTACAATGTACTTGGCACCAAAGCATGCTACTCGGTATTTGACACGTTTAAAAAAGGTCCCAAGGGTCAAATATAATACAGATATCAAGCAGAATAAAACTGCTCATCAATTTTATGTGCTAAGAGAAAATAAGCGGGATGCCAGTCACAAGCCATATACACTGCACAATATTTTGGCTGGTAACAGTTTCTGCTAAGCATATATTTTCAGTGCTTAGCAGATGTCTGTGCCAAGCAGCTCCACCAAATCAGTCTAAAGCCTGGTTCATACTTCATGCGAATGCGAAGCGAATTTGACGTCATGAAACATTCGCTGCGAAATTCGCCCGAGTTGAAATGTGTTCAACTTTTGCGAATTCGCAGCGCGAATACTTGCCATGACGTCACAGATTCGCGTTCGCTTTCGCTTTCGCATGAAGTATGAACCGGGCTTTAGTAGAACAAAACTCCCATCTTACTCTCTGCCTGCAACTCCCAGTGTCTGGCCAGCAGTAACCTCATCCATCCAACCACCTCAGTCCACATGACATCAAAGCATTGACTGTAGATGGAGTTCTGTACACAGGCATTTGGTGTCAGCGGTGGGAAGCCTTTTCTCCGCGGGGCGTGGTATCTCTTCTGTTCGTGACTATCCTCCTCCCTAGTAAAACAAGAAATTCAGAAAACAACTTTAGTGACCAAAACTAAATATTGGAAGCCTTCCTTTCAACTCACACGTACTGAAGGTCCATGTAGTTTGAAATCAACAGTTGAATTTTGGAGGAGGATTTTAGTTTGATCAGTTAGTAGCTCACCAGGGTTTCAAGCGATCGTAGGCGAAGTACTCCTCAATGACGCCGTCCGATTCGAGAATCTCCTCTTCCATATCGGTGAGCTGCTGTCTGACTGTCTCGTCCTGACTTGACCCCATGGTAGCCACAGGGTCAATAGGTCGCAACCGACTGCCAACTATCGATAACCTGTGGGTGTACAGACATAAATATTTAACGGTAAACTCTGCAGACTGTCTATGGAATTCTATGGTGTTTGGCCAGTTTAATTTCTTTAATGGATGGCTCCTCCGTAAAGGCACATCAGCAGCATTTCAGAGGTTGTCTGTTCGAATTCCACAAATTACTTTACCTTAGGCATTGATTCACAAGATAAGAAGCCCCCAAACAAAGTCACTATAAACTGATAGACTACCAACAAAGAAAAATGATAGACTGCCAACATAAGGCAAAATTCCTCCATTGGTAAAGCACCAAAACTGCAACCCAGAGGTTGTAGGTTCGAACCCCTTTTTTAAGCCAATTTTAAGGCTCATTAACCTGAAACATTGATACCTGTTTAAGAGCCTTACCCTTGTGGGTCTTGACTAGTATCGGAGGGGTATTCATTCTCCCCTAGGTCCATGAGTTCCTCTGCCGTGGCTGGCCTAGGAGCTGTGTGGGGAATGAACTGGTAGCCCAGGTCACACGGTGTGATCAGCTGCTGACCAAGTATTCTGAGGAAAGAAACAGTTGGATGGATGAGATTGAATATCTTCAGATGTACAGTTATTCTGTCATTCAGTCTCTAGTACCTGGGTTGAACTCAAGCAAGAGATCACAGTGCTCATAGATGTCCTTAAGCAAGGCATTTTACAACAATTGCTTCCCTTTCTTTGTATCATGGCGAGCAACAGACATTTTCTTTTTGATGTTGGTGTCCTGATCAGCAGTAATTCTTGAAACTGTTCTATCTCAAGTCTCAGTTTTGCATTGAGACAGGTCACAAGGTTGCAACTGCAAAACCAAGTCTTTCTGAAAGCTCTGGCACGAATCAAATCAGGGTAATTGGCAGTCAAAGCCAAGAAAAGACCTGCTACACAAAACGGACTGATTCCCAAGAATCATATAATTGATGGGCGTTGTCAGTCCGCAACATCTCACCTTAAGTGTGGGAATCTGGAGTTCCATTCTTTACACTCGTTTTCTAGTTGAACTGAGGTAGTTGCGTTCTTCTGCCCTTCAAACAGCATGTCGTCGATTTCCTGGAACATACGATGGACCGTCTTGCCTGCTTGCTTGTCAAATTCCTGAAGACACACAAACAACTCTTGGTTAAAAACCTGATAATTAAGCCTAAAAAAAAACCAAAAAATTTTGGAACCACAACTAAATTAGACTGGTACCAATGACAAGAGAAGTACAAAACTTCTGAGTAAAAACAAACTTATTCGCTATTTCTGTAGTTGAGGTTTTAGACATTTTCAAACTTACATCATCCGCCCATGAGAAGAGACTACTCCTCTCTGTGGAGTTCCCAGACGTCAGCCCACCGCTGTTAGACATCAGTAAGAAGGTGGGTCTCTGAACGTCATCTTCCGATGGGGAGGACATGCCACTAGTGCAGGGTGTGACATAGCTGTGGATAGCTTCGTTGACACTGTTGAGGTAGTGCATGGGGATGACGTCATCGGGTCGCTCCAGGGATGGGTAGTTGTCTGACCGGGACGAAATACCCCGTCTAGAAGAAGAACATATGCAAAATTAGGTTTTAATCCTAAACGTTTTGTATTTCAATTTCAATTCTTTGTGGTGATGAGTGCAGGTTTTTTTTTTATAAATGCAGAGGGCAGTGTAACTCAAGAGCCTGCAGAAACCTGGTGAGAGAAAATAAAGGAACAAACATCCAGAGGACACTTTTTAAAATATGTACATTTGTAAATGAGTATCTAACACTCTTGCCCACCAAACACAGACATGCTGTGATCATACAATATTTGTTCAGCTAATGCAGTAATAAAATGTCCATCATAACAGCAGATAAGAACCATTACACTCCATATTATGTCAATGTGTACAAATAGCTGACCAGCCTGGCATATCTGATTGAAAATGCAATTATCTGCCATAAGCCATGGGCTCTAGATAAGATATTGAATGATGCTGTGTCCCCTAGGGCTCTGCATCTCTGCTGTTGTTACACCTTGTAATAGATATGTATGCACATAATAATGTTCGTTAACTGCAGTTTCATTTCAGTGCTATTGGCTAATGGCAATATGACTATGCTCTTATTATTGGTTTTTTTTCATGAAATTATCTGCATGCATCTGTTATGGATTACAAAATGTATACAGGAAATTTACTGAGATTCATAAAGATTCTGTAATAGAAAAGAAGCAGTACGCATACTACATGTACATAAGTTGCTATTCAGCCGCAAGGCAAAACATTGGGTTTTAAAAAAAAAAAAAATTAGATAATGAAATAATTATAACATTTTCAGGACAGACAATTTCATATACATATTATATTTGAACAGTTGAGTTTCTTTAACATTGTTTCATTTAAATATTATTTGTTTTGGTAATGAACTCCAGACTCCTTGTAAGCAGCGCCCATGGCACTGTACACGTACATGTAGCTCGCTATATGTACATGAAAGAAAAGACAGCTAGCCGCGTATGTACTGTCCATGTACCAGTTAAGATAAATAACACGCATGCTACTTGACCGTGGCGCCCCACGCTACCAGAGCACTCCAACGTGAACATCCCTGTCCTCCACTACAGTCAGCCAAACGGCTTTTTCGCATGTCCAGAACATATGTTGCAATGGGAGGCTTCAAGGGCCCGGTTCAAATCAATCACAATCAATAGAGGGCAGCCATCTTAACTCAAGTGTGTGTGGACTGTACTGTGTAAGGCTGTAAACGTACTCTAGGCAGTCCTATGCTTAGAGTTAAACTAGATTTCACTTTCTGGCCCAATTTTATAGCTCCTCTGTTAACTGTGAGCTACCGTACTAAACTATCTCCACTAAATGTAAATGTAGCACGAAAATTTGTTTTAGCAGCACATGTACTGGTAAATGCACCTGTAGTTTATTTCACATGTGACATTTTGTATATGTATACACATTCATCCAGTAAAGATTTGGTGCAAACACGGTTACTGCAGAGTCTCTTTGCTGAATTTACACAAAGACCACACAAATGACAGCTGAAATCTAACATCTCATAATGTACATAAAGGGTGAATAAGAATTGGTAAATCAGTAACTTCTAAAAACACATTCACAGTACATGTGAACTACACTTGCATGCGCGTTCAAAATATATGAACCAAAACACAGTTCATAATGTGTATAATCATTGACAAAGATAAATTATACAAATTTACCCAACAACCACAAGACTGTGGATTTCCACTGCCTTTCTTCTCATGGCAAGGGATGCCGGAGTATCAAATTTCCCAGTGGTTACAGTATACCCGAAACTGATTGAAATGATGTTTCTCTGTCCAGAACAGCTGCTGAGAGGCTGCAGCAAGCAGCGATGGCAAGTCGTCCCACTCGATGGGTACAGTGAACAAACAGTACACTACATGCTGAGATCAGTGCACTGCCTTGCATGCCGATTTCTCATAACTGACCGTATGCCGATGGCAATGTTTTGCCGGTCAGGCGCAGTTAAGATCTGAGTCCATCAAGAAGTGAGCAACTGAGCAAATACGGACTTGAAGAAGGATGGATGGACGCTTATCAAAAGAAATCACCGATGAAAATTACCTGGTTTAATATTAGCATGGAACTCTGTGTCTCCCAGGAAATATATGGAAATCAATACATCTGGCAACCAAATTCCTTATTTTTTTGTTGGCACATTCTGTGTAAATAAGTAATGCTGGAATGCACAGTGTACAAAATCAACAACACATTGTACAAATGTGATTGATTTTTCAGTATGAATTATTCAATTCCCCAATGGAGAATAATCATATTCCTCATCATATGTGAATTTTGTGGATGCATACGTAGTTTACGTACACATTTTCATTGTACACATGTATGTAGATCATGGCCAGGTGTAAATTTATATGAAACATCTTCAAAATAAAGACGTTTTTATTTCATACAGAAACATGTACTATAGATCTGGGTATTACAATGTAGTTCAATGCTATTTTTTCCATGCGTGCAATTTCGATGAAATGAAATTTTATGGCAATTTTTTTTTTGGCATGTACCTGTACTGAAAGCATGACTGGAGTTTTTTACCATAAATTTTGGTCCAATTCTTGTCCCTATCAGGTCAAGGATGTCTCCCTCAACACATTGCTTCATAGCACTAGTATCACATTACAGGGGACTCACTTCACACATGGGTGTAATGGGAGGTTTTCTAAGGCAAGTACACAGTGTAGACACTGGGAACAATATGTATAGGGTCTTTATATGGTTAGCTTGGAGTTTTATTGTTTTATTGCTGACCTCGTGTGACCCATTAGGACATTATAAACAAGAACTGTGAGGCTAAGCGGAGAAAAATCAAAGTTTAGGACGAGATGTAAGAGCTTTCTGTTAATTTCCAAACTGCCCACAATTCAAGTAAATAAAATAAAATTATGTACATGCTAGGGTTTTAGTCATGAAAGATCAGAATTTCTTTCGCATCCAACCAACAGCTCAATAAAGTTTGACAGAAAAAGAACATGATTGCTTGAGCTTAGATTTTTGATAAAATCTGGCTACAAATAAGGGGTTAAGCAGTTTACCAGCGATTTTAAAGTAAATCTCAGAGAAAATATTATTAAATCAAGTTTGCCACCATCTCCTGCCTCCCACAAAGTCCTTTACTATAATTGCTTATATTTTACATGTATTGTAATAAAAATAAGCAGAAATAGACAGAGGGAATATCCTTGGATTTTAACCGAATTTGGAAGAAAAATCCTTGGATTTTTAAACCACGCACAGCAGGGAGGAGCTAATATTGAGAAACTGTGACCTGTTTCATATTACCCCAAGGTTTCTTACCCATAAAAAGAAAACAAAAATAAGCCTTGAATATTTTTAGGAGCTATACTTGGGTTTCACTGTAATTACAGCCAACAGTGGGAAACCATACACAAGTTACTTAGACCTCATTAAGTTAAAAGCTGGTGCAAGGTGACATGACTAAGATTCAAGGGCATGCATGTGGACTGGCTCCGTCAAACTGAGACCTGTGTTGCCAAAATTGACTTGATTTATAATGTAGTTTATATTTTGTGTTTTACTGAAACCTCTTGCATCTAAAAACTGATATATTTGTCCTCTGTTGCCAAAATTGACTTGATTTATAAATGTTGCTGTTGTGCAAAGTTAATATTTGGCGTTTTACTGAAGACATCGTGTCCGAAAACTGAAATATGGAAGCAATATATTCCAAAAATAATTGATCAATCTAAAAAAAAAAAAAAAACACTGACAAAGACAAACAAGTCCACACCTGAGGAAAATATGTTTGAATTTTAGATTAGTATTTTTAGTGAGAAAAAAAATGCATACTGTACTTCTGCGAAACATCTGCTAGATGGTACATTAGCTGGGCTAATTAATATCACCATGTATACACATTAATAATTCCTAAAGAATATTATCTAATATCGTGAATGAACGATCCTTGGGAAATGCACAGCTGTGAATGGCCTGGCGTTTTGCAGCGAGCAAACATGGAACATAGTTGACTGATTGGCACCGACATGCAAACAGGTGGAAATGTGACGGGCACAGGAACCAAGTCACACGCTCAAATTGGTTGGAATAATGTGTTTTTCATTTTGAACATGAATAATAAAACATGTCGGCAGCACCGCAAAGACTGGAAGATTGTGTTCGTGAATTTTTAATGAGTGTTTGTTTTTCCCAAGTAGCAACAGTATCATCGTCATGGAAACACCCCCAGCCAAATACAAGTCACATTAATCATACGATATAGCATAAATGTAATATGCAATAAACTGCGAACTAAATAGCGTTTGTGGGCCGAAAGCTTCACAGACATAGACTTCCCGTGTCACTTAAATTGTCCATTTAATCAAAGTGACTTTGTGTATACAGCGATGAAACCCAACCGAGCTAATCCAGCTTAGTGGACCGTCTTCAAACACGGACACACTGCGATCCTGCCTTAATTGCATTTTCACTCCTTCTTATCCTAGACAAACTTGCAAAGTGCAGTTTACGGGACTAAAATTTAATATCGTCAGAGACTCAGAGAGTGATATATACTGAAGAGCGTGGTTACCTGGCAACACCGTAAACAAATAAATGCAGCATAAAGGGATGTGTTCATCATAAAAAAAAACTTGTCCAATACCCCAAAAATTACAAGGTTCTAACATTTTGCACTGGAAAAATCTCTTTTATTCAAATCGGCACCACCCTGTTTTCAATGCCCCACCCAGATTGTGTTACTGCAGAAGCAATTTCCATATTCCACACAGTAACATCAGAGCCAATCACCTATGACTTGTATCATGTATTAGTACTCTAAACCACTGATAGTACAAACATGCCCTGGTGTGCGTGTGTGGCTTTACGTGGTATCATCTGTGACTGCATGTTTTAAGTATACATTTCTGTTGATGACAGGGATGCAGTCCGTTGCTAAGCAACAGAGGAGGATGCCGTGCACGGCTCAAGATTTTAAAATGATTGGAATTGATCTAAGAGAACCTTCAATGATGGCCAAATTAG